CCAATGGGCTCTGCTACGCTCCCCTTCTGAATAATCTCTGCTAGCTCGCCCGCAATACAGTCGAACTACTGTAAAGAGTAAATCGGACGCTTGGCGTGAATTCGGCGCTCCGATTGGTAAGTGCATGGGTTGTGCCGGTCGGCCCGAGAAACCAGGCTCCCCTTAAATTCCTCAAAAATAACTGCCCACCGGGGCATAAAATTCGAGACGCCAGGAAACGAGAAAGCCCCCCCGCTAACGAGATGATCGCGCAAAAAGGGTGGAGACCCGAGGGATTTCTGAATTCTGGGAATCAGCGGAAAAACAGGGCCGCAAAATTACGATTAGCAATCGTGGTATGCTCTCGAAAATCAGGGGGTTTGAAAAAATTTTGAGCAGTGATTAGGAGTGCACGGAAAGTAGCGAAATGTGGCGTCTCGGAATCGATTGTAGCGTAACGGAACAACAGACTCCGGCGTACTGTAGCGGAATGTAACGAAATGGCGTCGTGGCTACGCAAGTAACAAAAAAGCTCGCATTGTAACGGAATGTAGCGGAAAGAAACGAGATAAAATTGAATGCGGAATCGAACGGAATACATCGGATTCGAACGTAGTGGAACAGAACAGGACGTATTGTAGCGGAATGTGGCGGAATGGAGCGTAACGGAATCGAAAAATCCTATCTTCCGAGAAAAAGCTACGAATGTTGCCAATCCTTGGGGGTAATCGAGTACGCAGCACGGCCAAAACAACCTGGCCTCGAGACAGGAAAGTCATTTATCTCGCACTAATAGCTTCAGGTAAGCGGGCGCGAGAGAAAGTGAGAGAGGCGAGAGAGGGAGAGAGAGAGAAAATCCGCATGCAAATCTTCCTATTCCCTTTAAAATATTCTGGAAATTTCAAAACCTAAGGCACTTCCGAATTTTTCCTAATTACGCTAGACTCTGGCTCAAAAAAAGTCCAGAAAACGTGGCGATTTAAAGTTCGCTGGCGTATTTGAGTGTCTGCGCCCCGGGGCCCGATGTTAAAAGCGGAAGTCATAAACGGCCGGGCAGAAAGGGGGCCCGCAAAAAAGTGGGTAGGGGCCCAGTCGGGGTACCAAGGGGACCCAGAAGGGGCCCACAAGGGGCCCAGGCTCGAGCTCGAATTGCTTACTTCACAAGGGTTCGATCACCCAGGTTTACAAAGGAGACCCGAATAAGCCCAAGGCTCGGCTAAGACTAAGCCCCAGCCTACGCCTAAGCCTAAGCCTGAACCTTAACCTAAGCTCCCCTTTCACGACCCAGATACGCCATATAACCCGAGGCAAAAACAGCAATTTCCGGGGGGCTTATGATTCGGTCTATTGACAAAAAAGTCGGCCCGGCCAGAGCCGCCTAACATCTGGAAACGGCAGTAAAACCTGGGGTTTTTGGCTGTTCCCCCGGGTAGGCTGTAAACCGAGATATCTGGCGGAATTGGCCGGATGGGGCAAACTTTGCTTCGGCTAGCTAGCAAAGATTCTTTAGGACTCAAAATCACCCGGCAATTCGACCTGGACGTTAGCAAAGATCCTTTAGGAAAAATAGGGCCAAAAGGCGGTAGCAGAGAACCTTAAGGAGCCGAGTTTGGCAGGGCAGGCTAGCGAAGTTGCGTTAGCAGCGAATCAGTTCTGAATTTTAAACAGAATTTTTCAAGTTTCGCCGAGGAATTTTGCCTGAAACTTATAAAAGGAATTCCCGCCAAAACCGCGACAACCAAAAATCTTGACATTTCCTTGAAGTTAATTTGAATCCTTTCAAACAGCTATTTTACATGTCGGTATTTCGGCTGTCGGGATTCTGGCGGTCGAGATTTTCGTCTGTCGGTATTTTGGATATCGGGTTTTGCGCGGTCGGCATTTTGGGCCTCTCCCTTATGAAGGTTTTCCAAAGGCTCAGAACGATGGAAGCTGCCAAAAATAGCAAGTTGTAAAACGTCTAGGCTTCTAAAAAGATATTTAAGAGACTAGAAAAGGCTAAAAGGAAAACTGATAGTTTGAAAAACCCGAAAGGCAGCACAGCCGGCGGCGAAAAAAACGTTGCAAATCGTGGGGAGCACCGGGTGGCCGAAGCAAGCCGCAGGGGCTTTGGAAAAGGGGGGAATGGATGGAGGAGTGAAGGGGCGATTTTTCGAGGCTTCTCCCCCTCTTCTACACTATGTGTGTGTCCTCTTGGCCTCCTATGGGGGGCCTAGAGGGCTCTACGCTGTGGCTTTTGGCCGTTATGCCCAAAAAAGGGGCGCGAAGGAGCAGGAGGAAGAGGACGTTGGCCAGTCTGGAGCAAGGTGCCACTAGGTCTCTCTCTCTCTCTCTCTCTCTCTCTCGCTTCGAACTCGTTGTGGCACGTCATCACACACAAAGCAAGCATCCAACTAGCCGCGAGCATCCCCACACCAAAAACCACCAAGATGTGAGCCCCCCTAATTAGAATGGGTCTCCCCGGGATTACCACCTCGTGCTCCGAGCTTATTCCGGCTTAAGAGACTCATGCTTAAGCTGCGGACTCCTAAGCTTCATCTGTCTCGCTTGGCCGACCCGACGTTCTTGACTTCCCGGGCCCTTTAAAGCTAACTTAACCGATGAACTGGCACCACCCCTTTAAAGGGATCGGCAAAGTATGGCAGAGTTATGCTATGGACTTTCGTTCCCTTGAATGCTTTATAAGTCCTTTGCCGCGTCGCGACACGCAACGCGTGCTCTCCATTGCACGGTATAATGGATTACAGGCGCTGATCTTTTACTATTGCTAATCGTAAAACTTTACAAATTTTGATTAAAAAGATCGATTTTTCAATCAAAAAGGTAGATTTTCGACCAAAAGTCACCTAGAAAACTATTTCCGAAGTTTTTTTTATGGTTTTTCTATTCCAAATATGGTTAACTTTTGCTAAAACATTATTAAAACACTTACTATTATAGTAGTTAGAATTTAATAGGCATTTCACGCTAATAGGTAAAAAGCCCCCACTGATAATGCGAAAGACCCAGTTAATACATAAGGGGATCATAACCAACATTTTTTTGCCCGATGCTGACCCCGCCAAAGACCAATTTCCCTGCAAAAATCTCCTCACCCACTGGGAGACCAGGAAATAACGAGCGCTAAGTATCGTAAATACCGAAAAATTCAATGTTCTTCTTCTGCTTGAGCAGGTTGTCGGTCCCACCCGCCATAAATAACCGCCTAATCCGATCGTGGAAACAAGCTGGAACTTTTCTAACCTCCAAGTGATTATTGGTGCCGAAGAGGGCTTCACCCGAATCGATTTCCTTTGCTGTCTATTTTCGAAATCGTTACGGCAGTGAAACAAAACTGGCTGTTATGAGCAAAAAGAACTTCCCAGACATCCAGAAAAACCCTTTTTTGCGACTTTTGGCAATTTAAAATCGCAAAATTCGATGAAAACGAATGGCTCCTACTGTAATTTCATCTAGAAAATACGCTCGGTCACGCTACGGCTTCTCAGCAAACGGCCCCTTCAGACCAACAAAAAAAAACGAGCAGACAAAAATGTATTTTCGCATTTTTGTTATCTTAAGAGACGCAATTTGTCATAAATATGCCACGCCTACTGTAACTTCGTCTAGAAAAACCTAGTTCGTTGCGCGACGTTCCGGCATCCGTGGTCGTCAAACCCGTCAAACCGCGGATATAGAGAAAAATCGTGTTTTTGCATCGGGATTTTTGTAACTGAAAGATAAAAACATTCGATAAAAATAGGCTCGTCCTACTGTAACTCCAACTAGAAAATTACGCGCTTTTCAGGCAGCTCCGACCCTTAGATCGACAAAAACCAAGTAGTCAGAAAACTTGCACGTCCGACAGCACGACGCGGTCGCTTGATAATGCAGGAGAAACGGCCGGGGCAGCCAAATAGGAAAGTCGTCTGCTTCAGAAGGAAGGGACTGGCTGGGCCAAGGCTTCTGAGTCTACTAGAGGCAGCCAGCACCGACCAAAAGAGGGGATGACATGGCTCTCGTCTCTCTCTCCCCTTCAGCACATCAGATTCGCATATGGGCATTCCCCTTCCCTTTCCAAGCCGCTTTCCCCTCGATTCGAAAAAGCCTCAACCAGGCCATGGGGGCCCTAATCTCAGGTGGAGGGCCCCCCAAACGGGGATTAAGTTCGCGAACGCGCGCCCCCCTTTTTCCACGGGGCCCGGGAGGCCAGGGTGGGCCCCTAGGGGATGACATTGCAGACGTCGTCCTCAACACGACTTACATCTGTCCAATCTAAACGGACGCTGAAGCCTGAAGTTTTATATAAAGTAACAATAAAAATATGTAGCTTGAAAGCACGAAGCTTTTGAAATGGCGAGAACACATCTGCTTGTCAAATGATTGCCAGACGTCGTTCGCCCCTGTTCTTCCGGCCCCTCGATAGCCTGAAAATACCATTGCCATTTTGAAACCGCCCCAATTTTCAGACATTCTTTATTCGTTTCACCATAACGACACTTTCCCGCATAATAAACAAAAAAAAACGGAACGAAAGAGTTGAGAGGAGACATCCGACAACGGGTTCTACAGGTCTCCGGGGTGAGAATAAATTACAATCGATCGCACAGTGCTTCATTTAACGGGATCATCGCGAATTAAAACAGGGGATGTGTCCGGGGAGAAAGGAGAGCCATTCCGTATCACAGTGGCGTGCGCTAGTAGAAGAAAGGTGCTGGAACCGAGCAGTCGGGAGACAATATATTACAAAACAACAGCAAAAAGACGCACACAAGCACAGAAACATGTTGGTGAAAGATACCGCCACCTTTATATAACAACCCCGGAAAGTATTAATGTTGTTTTGCGAAGAGATAGTGTTCAGGTTATTCGGGTGCTGTTTAGCAGACAGTATCGATCGAACCGCAATGATCGGAGAGTGGACGTGGATGGAGGGAGGGATGCCTATCACAGAAAAAAAGTGGGCTAATCGACGGGCGAATAAATAAGGCGCTGGGGTTTTTTTTAATATGCAGTTAAGCGGTCCGATCGAGCACGAGTCAATCGTCGTCCTCCAGGTTCAGGTCGTCGATGTTGAGGTCATTCACGTCCTCGTCCGCGTCCTCCTGCGCGTCCCCGAAATCGTCATCCGACCACCGGTCCTCGGCCTCGGCAACCACCTGTAAAAGGTATATTGGACATTATTGGAACGCTCCCCACCTGCGGGCGGTTATTCTGGGCCTCGTGGATCAGATCGGGCTGCGGGTCGTGCGCCACGAGGTCGGGCTTCATCTGGCCGACGACATCGGGGCCACTGTGGTGCGCGGGCTGGGCAATCTCGCGACCAATCTGCAACAGAACTTTCCATAGCTCATTCAAGGCAAACCTCATCCTCATCTTCGTCACTCTGCTGCTGCTCCTCATCTTCCTCGACGTGAGCAGGCTCTTCCTGCCTGGGGCTGGGCGAGGGCAGCGCTGGAGCGGCGACCGCGACGGCAGCAGCCGCAGCCGCAGCTGAGGCAGTGGCGATGAGCGCGGGAGTTGGCTAAAAAGAAAAGGAGTTGTGCATGGGAGAGGCTGCGTACCTGCGGCGGGGTTGGTTGATGGCTGAGTGGGGGCGGTTGGCGCTGCACACCTCGAAGATGAGCCTGGCCGTCAGCGTCAAAAGTGAGGGCACCACTTTGCTCGGCCTGCTCCATCTCCTCGTGGATGTTACGAGTTTGGTTGGGCTTGGCCTGGGCGGCCGCCTTTGCCGGCACGGCCAGGTGGGCCAGCTGACGAACGAACGATTCGACCTAATTCAAATTTAATATCTTTAGAATCCTGCGATACCTTAAGTGACTGCCGATAGCCGGGGAAGAGGTTCTCGTACTTGACCGGATCAGCCAGGGCCTCAGATTTTCGCTGAAATTAAAAAATTTCAAGAAGCACCTAAGGGATTTACCGTATTTTGGCTCTTGCTGGCAGCACGCTCCTTCCACAGAGCCAACACGCGCGGGACTTGACTTGGGGCATGTGTACGCGCAAAGAAAGCGGCTTCCGGGAGACGATCAGAGCTGAAAAAGACGATTTTCTTACACATTTTTGAAATTTTTTAATTCGCGATATTTTCTATGGTCCCACTATTCGGATACCGCTAAGCTTTCGAAAACGTCGTGGAAACTTACGCAATCAGCGTCTCCAAGCACTTGTCGATGTCGCCGAGCATAAAGTTGGAGAGGAAACTGACGTTGTGCGCTCCGTTAGCGGCACTCTCGTTGGCCAAACGGCCGAGCAGTGGAGCCGAGCCGGCGCAAGAGGCGAGCAACAGGAGGCCTAAAAAAAGCTTATGAAATTGAAGGCACGCCCTACCTCCGAAATCACGAGCCCTGCCGAGACAGTCTCCAGCCAGCATCAGATCCGACTTGGCGGTGGCCACCTGGCTGAGCGTACGCCACTTCTCCTCGCTGTCGCTTTGCAGCGCCAAATCGTAGGCCGTCTTGAGATCGCCGAGAGCGATGGCCAACTCGAACCTAAAATATCAAAATTTGGAAGGGTCCATTAAAATATACTTGTGATCAGGATCTTGAGACACGGCCAACGCCTGCTTCTTGAAGCCCTGTTTCTCGAGGAAATGGGCGACACGGGTGCGGTGCTCCTTGGGAATGTGGACCAATACCTACAAAAAAACAGAATTTTTGGGCAAATGATTGCCGTACCTTGTCAGCCGTGTCAAAATCGCGACGCATCACGGCCGTCTGGTATTCCAAAACGGTCAGGAGAAGCCGGTAGCTGACAATGTTCAGCTCCTTGTCCATGGCGTAGATTCGGGAATTCGGGGCTTGGTAACCGAGCTAAAAAGATGATATGAAAAACAAATGGCTCGGTTACCAAATAGAGCGGGCGATCGAGATGGGCGATGGTGACAATCTCCCCGCCGACGTAGTAGTTCAAACGGTTGTGCGAGGTGGTGAACACGAAGCAGTCGCCGATCCAAAAGGCCGTGCCAACGGTCTCGGCTTGCTCGCCTGAAACAAAAATTATTTTAAAAAATTGCAGAAACCGAGCAGCTGCGAATTCAATACTCATACATCAAGTAAATGATTACAAAGTTTAAATACCCACCGACAACTTCAAAAGCATCCTCGAGGCCGTCCTCGTTGAAATCGGCTGGCGAGGCGGAGGCCACCAGGTCGGCGTTGTACTTCAGAATGTAGAACGAGTCGGTCCCGGCGATAGCAACCATTTCACCTGTAAAGTTATATTTAGAATTAGTCGAAAATTTACCGGAATCATTCCAGTACACGTGTTGAGCGGCAATCTCGATGCGACGGATCAGGTTTCCAGTCTCCCAGTCGTAGAAACACAGCGACGAGTTCGAACGGGCGGCGAGCAGCGGACCTCCTTCAATACCCTCCATCACGATATCGGTCCGGATAGCTTTGAAGTCCTAAAATCGCATAGTAAAAGTAAGCACAACTTCGAATACCTTGAAGTTCTTCTTGATCTTGATGCTCTGCGCCGATTCGCGGACGGCAAACATGTTCGGGTCTTGGCCCCAGACGAATTCGAGCGCCTGGCCGAAATCCTTGTTGCGCAGCGCCATGGCCGTGTAGACGATGTACTCGCCATCACCGCAAGCCACCACGAATCTGGAATGATGGGAACGTAAATGAAATGCGACAACGCAGGCTACCTTCCGTTGCTGGAATGGGAAAGGGTTTGCGGGTAGATTTCACAGGAGCCGAGTTCCTTCACGGACAGCGGAACACGGTCGCCATCTGGAAATTTTATTAATGATAAAATTTAACGGTTTAACGGTAATGCAGAAGTAAAAGTTTAGTCGACCGCAGATTAGCAAAATTTCGACATTTTCCAATATGTGATACAATGATCCTACTATATATAAAAAAATAGTGTGTGTGTGCCACTTTGCATCCACTTCCGTATTGTTGTTCCAGTCGTATCTCTATAGGGGAAGAAGTTAGGAGTGGGTACGATACGACATTAGGTGCGTAATGGTCTAGGGATGACTGCCCACATATCAGATTTATAAAAATCAGCCATTTTCGATATTAAATTTAAGTTTTTGTAAAACCCTCTTCGTTAGGAAAAATTAACATTGACCGGAAGTAGGAAGTCGCCTATATAAAGGGTCACAAGCGAATCATTTTCATTTTTTTGGTTATCTGAATTCAGCGCAATTATGCAAAGCGTAGAACAGCATGCGGTCCAAGACGGGGCCAGGGTTGAAAAGTCGCGAAGCGGCTTTTCAGCCCTGGTTAAAAATTAAAAATTTAACTACCTTGCAACTGCTCCGTTTGCTCTGCGTCGAGCGTCTTCAAATTGAGCTGCTGGACGACGGAGTGCTTGGCGACAAGGATCTTCCCAGATGAATCCATGGAAACCTAGAAAACATTAGATTCAGACCGGGGCTAAAAATTTTACCGCTGGTTCTTCTCGGCCCAATTTCAGCGTCACCGAGCCCTCGTCGTATCCGATGGCGATGGTGTTAGAGCCACGATGAGCAGAGATACACCAAACGCGGTCTAGGCCATAGTTCAGCGTCGTCTCAAGTCTAAATACACATTTTAGGAAATTGTTTGAATATCATACCGGTAAGTTCCCGAGTGCCACAGGCGGACCGTCGAGTCTTCGCTTCCGGTGATGATCAAGGGAAGCTCGGGGTGGAATGCGACCTAGATATCGATAATTCCGAAGGAGAAGCACTGCACGTACCGCTGACACGTTCTGGGTGTGGCCATCGAGGGTCTGGACGCAAGTCTTGTTTTGGTAGTCCCAAATCTTGATCAAGTGATCGTCGGCTCCAGAGATCAGGTAGGGCTTGTCGCCACCGTGGTAGTAGTCGACGCAGTTGACCCCCTTCTCGTGACCTTCGAGCGTGAAGTTCGGCACATTACTGCCGAATTGCCAGACCTGAAACACGGTTAGAAGTCCAATAAAGATTTTTTAAAAATAGTTTATCACAATTTCCATACCTTAACGGTCTTGTCCAACGAAGCCGTGGCAAAGGTATTGTTGTCCTTCGGGTTCACCGCTACCTGCATCACGTAGTGCGTGTGCCCTAAAGAACGTAAGCTTCAAGATTTTCCGCAAAACCGACCTTCAAACGACTGCTTCATCTGCCACTTGTTATCCCAATCCCACAGCTTGATCAGCATGTCATCGGAGGTGGTGAGGAGGAACGGTTGCGTGGGGTGGACGGCGATTGACCTAACGAAATAGTTGATAAAAAATCCGTTCATACCGCAAGTAATCTGAATGGGCCTCGAACTGGTGCACACGCTCGAGGGTGTTGTAGTTGTAGACGCGGATGTTCATGTCGTCGGAGCCGGTGATCACCCATTGCTTCCGGGGCACAAAACGAGCCGCGCGCACTGGCAGATCGCAAACCTGAAGAAAAGAGGTTCAGAATACTTGAAAATATAGACCACATCAGATTCAATCAGCCAATCCCTACCTCGATCGTTTTGAGCAGCGCCTGCGTCTCAAAATTGTAGATGAGCACGTTGCCATTGTAGAGGGCGGCCAGCAGCCACGGTTCGCTGGTGTGAATGTCCACGGATTTCACCCGATCGGATCGTGCCAGCAGCTTTCGATTCACGTCGAATCGATGAGCCGGCATTTTCCTGTAATTATAAAGTCTCAAAAATCTCGTAAAATATGGGGAAGAAAAGAGAGAAACGCTGGGTCTCAAAAATCCCAAAATTTAGAACGTGCCATTTCAGCAAACAAAATTTTAGCAACTTGGTCAAAACGAAGTTTCAATCTCAATTTTTTTTCTCGCGCCTTGCTGGAATTTCACTTATACCAGTTTCTGAAATGTCGCGTGTTGAAATGAAAAGCTCCCAAAAATTTAGCGATTAAACTTAAAAAACCGATTGAAATCAAAGCCTAAAATCCGGCGTTTTGGCAGCTTTTTAAGCTCAAACGCTGAAATAATTATTTGAAAGTTGTAATTTATGCTCCCTAGTAATTATCTGTAGCCTTATAAGCAAAACGGTGACGCAGGGCCAACGAAAAGCCGGCTTGAAGCCAGCTACTTCGTGGCGACTTTGGACATCTCGCTAGCCAACTCATTTCAACGAGGGATCGCGCCGGGACCATTTTGGCGTGGAGATAGCGGGCGAGGGAAAGAGGGAGCCGAGAGTGAGGGGCGAAGAGAGAGCCGGAGCGGCGACTCAAAAAGACTGAAGACAAACTATTCGGTTAGGCTATCAAATGGACGATACGTTCCTATTTACAAAAGAAGTTAAAGTACACATGCGTAGTCTATACTACCGTGAATTGTCAATTACCCTAATCCGATTTCGCGGCTCTAACAATGCAAAAAACTATAAGTTTTTGTTCTAAAACGACTAATTTTTCCGATAAAAAAATGCATCGATTCCGTAGATTACTAATGACAGCGCATTTTAATGTAAATATCTTAGCTTCCTTTTATTATTTCGTATTCTTTTACTTAGCAAATGCTACTGTGCGAGTCGTGCGGAATTTTTTCCGTTTTTGGTCATGGAGACCTCTACGGTATGACTATATTTCTAAATTTTCTCCGGTGATTCCTTTGCAACCGTTTTTAAAAAAAAGCTTTATCAAAACAACTTCAATATGTACATATCTACTACCGGAAGCACTATGGGTTGTTAACATCTACGAGTGGCGTACGTACAAACTAGAATCGGTTGGCTGGAGGGGGGAAGGCGAAAGTATATGGGGGCAGAGCAGGATGTAGGGCCGCTCAAAAATCGAGCCGCAGCCGAAAGCTTCGGCTCGCTGCTCGGGGCAGTCCATTTCCTTGCTCATTCTTGGGGGCATCCTTGAATTTTGACATCCCGTAATCAGGCACTAGAGAAGGTATATATTAAGGGGGTGGCGATAGGGGAAATGAGGGGTAGGAAGGCCGCGTGGGGCACCGGGTCACCGTCGAACGAAGCCGTGGGGACGCGTAATTTTACTTTGTGATAGGTGGAGGGCTAGAGGGCGGTGAAATTGTCAGAAATTTTGGAGAGGAAAATACCTTTTTGTATCTAGTGTCATTACCCCAAATTTTCATCTCGTGAAAAAACTGGCAACTTTGTTTACGATCAAATTTTCATCATTTGGTCGTCTCTGACATCCGAAAATTCATTTTTAAACATTTTTAAGTTCAAAAAACTAAATTAAATTCATCAAAACGAATCAAAACCCTTTTTTCCTCTTCTAAAGGCTATTATCACCGCCATCTAGCCCCCGCAAATTAGAAATGCAATCGAAAGTCCGTTGGCTGGGAGTGGCAGCGCAAAGAAAAAGTGTTTAGGAGTGATGAGAACATGGCGATAAGGCGATTATGTGGGGGAAGGGAAAGAGTTGGAATGGATGGATTGCGAGAGTTATTGCCGATTGTTGCGGATTCAAGCGCGCTGTCGATCACAGCTCCATTTGGTCAGCCTCGTCCTCGGAGAAATCGGAGATTGTCGAGTCGGAATCCTCGTCATCCTGAAACGGGCAGTTGTCGTGTTTTGTGCTTCACTTGCCTCCTGGGAATTCAGTCGGCCGTTCGTTCGGTCGTCTGAGGCGTATTTTTCGACGTATTCTAAAAAACACGTATTTAAAAATCACGTTTTTTACTAATTTAGTTCTTTCTCATTTTTTGAGTAAAGGTTGCTTAGCGGGGGTGGAGGCAAATTTGACCTTTTTTCCTACCCACCAGTGCATTTCCGCGCAAACTCCTCCGGCTTGTGTAGGAACAGTGCGGCCGCGTCGCCGTTCAGCGGGTCGGTCGGGTTGGGGTAGGTGAGGAGTTGCGGGAGGAACGACTCGAAGATGTTCGTCAAGTCGTACAGCGCCGTCCACGCCTGAAAAAAGATTTTCACGTCTGTATTCTATATTTAAAGCTTCGTCCCTCTCCAGCGGGGACACATGTGACGACGTTTTTGCTGGAAAGCCCATAACAAGAATAGGGAGGTTTTCTGCGTCTCTCGGTTGACCCCGTTCCCTCGCATGGCAAATGGACGGGCGACAAAGCTAATCCTCGGAATCCTGATTATCCCCGTGGTCGAAAAAATGGGGAGCCCGAGGTCCAGGAGATTATCCGGTTTGTTTGGCATTAAAAAACAGGATTCGACGGAAATAACAATTAATTTAAATTATTTTCGGACTTTACATTATCGGGGGGGGGGGGGGGGATGAAAGGGGGAAACTTAATTTTTTGTATTATTCCAGAAATACCTCGTCACGTCATAGAAAGTATTTTTAATACGGTTTTTCGTAAAGGTTACCTATCTATCAAACGGAAAAATTGTCTTAAAACGTGGAAAAAAAAGGAAAAATTCGAAATTTTTGATCGAAAATCGATATTTCTATATTTTTACAACAAAATTTGTAGCGTTTTGTAAAAAGATTGTGTTAGAAAATATTTTTCTTGATGCAGAATAGCTTATCCATTTCCCCTCTTGTTTGCCAACCTGGTTGATGACGTCAAGGCACACGGTACCAGACGCCTCGTCAATGTTCGGATGGTAAATCTTGTTCAGGAAGCCGATGGAGGGCGATTTGAAGGGGTATTTCTCGGGCAGCTCCACCCGCACGCGCCACACTCCGTTCTCGTAGGCGGCTAGAAAGGGTTTTTAGCTCTAGTAAAGGCTTCAGCGTTTTTCCAATCCAACCCTGATAAACTCACTTCCTTTCGGCCCGTAGAACTTGACGCTGAACTCGTTGAGGCCGCTGAGGATGTTGACCTCGTGGTTCGACTCGATCCTATGCTCGAAATGAAAAGGGTGTTGGCTTTCTGCTTACAATCGGATCAAATCCGTGTCCATGCGCCGTTTCCCGGCACTCGGCGACGACATATTGTGCGGGCGCCCCTATAGGCGTATCGATTGCTGGCTGAAGTGGGGGAAAAATTGGCTACAGGGTGCAAGACGGTACAGAAGGGAAGAAAAGTTGTATTTTCAGCGCAAAATTACTAGGAAAAATGGAATTATGGAAGGTATTAGCTTTTTTGCTCAAATAAAAATCAATCAAAAAAAATTATATGAGCCGATTAATGTCAGAAAAAGTTAGCAATTTTAACCTAAAAGGAAGTCTTTTTAAAGCGAATCTTACAATTTGTTTGAAATTTGTTAGATCACCGCCCTTTTTTAGGGTGACAAAAATAAAAAAAAGACTTTCGCACCCATTAACGCATCCAAAAGCTTACTTGCCCATCGTTTTAAAGGTGCCCGGCACTTCAAAACTCAATCTCAAGTGAAAAATTTAAAAAAGATAAAACACAACCTTGCTTGGGTCTAATGACTTGTTTCCCCGCGGGCCTAGTCAGCCCACAAAAAGTTCAGATGCCCTCTATTGGAGCGCGGGCCCCCGGAAAAAAAACGAAAACAAGCCGACGTGGGGAGGGTGGAAGGAGGGGGGCAGAGGAATAGCTTGGGCGCAGCGCGTCAAGATATTTAGCATCATGTGAGGGGATGGAAATAGAGGTGTGTAGACGGGGAGAAAGGGGGACCGGGGTTCGGGTAAAGAGACCGGCAGAATTCGGGGCCGGGAAGCCGAGGCAAAGAGAGAGAGCGAGAGAGAGAGAGAGATGCGCGAAAGGCTGGTGGGGCAATAGTCACGTGAATGGAGAGGGCAGAGAGACCAGGGTTCGATTAGGCGAGGAAAAGAGCCACCAGCCGACCGGCCACGATGGCTAGACGGGCCGGCAGCAGCGGGGGGCAATCGGAGGAAAACCGGGGCCATACGAGTGATATGAGAGCCGTATAGATACGGATTATTACGGCGACACTTAATACAGGTGGTCAACACCTTTAGAGGTGATTTTGAGGTTAATTTGACCCCCAAAAAGTGAAAATTCACCTAAAGGGGAGGAAACCTGAGGCCGTACCAATGATATGAGGGCCGTAAAAAGACGGATTATTACGTTGACACTTCATAAAGTTGGCAAAACAGCTTTGGAGGAGTCCGATAAAATTTTTAGCTAAATTTCACGCAAAAAAAACTCTTTAAATCCATATAAATCGTTAAAAAATACCCTTTCCAACCGCAAACTATCGTTAGAAGTCTGTCCTTTTCATTTCAGCGCATGACAACGTTTTAAATCAAATTTAACACTTGTAAACATTAAAATCAAGCGGCGAAAATAGTAAGTTTCTAGGAGTAGCATGTTGTCGAACGTTTCTTTGAAAGCCTTTAGCCTGGAATACGCCAAAATATTTAAAAAAAAACAGTAAAAAGAAGTGTCTAGAAGACTATCCAAAGAGTAATTCTCCAAAATTGACGCCACGTATCCCGGGTGTCTTCCCAAAAAGCATCGAGCGATCGGGGTGGGTGCTGGGACCTCGGGGGCTCACGGGGCGAAATAGTGGGGCAAATAGGGGTTGGGGGCAGCTGATTGTCATGTGTTTGTAGCAGGGGGAAGAAGACGAAAAAGAGAGGAAGAGTGCGGGTCTCTCTTCCTAGACTCACACACAACACACAGCCCCTACCCCGCCATCCACATTGATCGCCGACACGAGGAGGGCGCAGAGAAATGCACGGTGGAAAAGCACCAACAGCCAGCCTCATAACGTCTAGATGAATCCGGGAAATCTTCGTGGATTAAATGGGGCCAGAAATCCAGGCGTATTTTAAAAGCTGAAGCTACTTTTTCAAGGGTGAAGAACATCTGAAAATTAAAGCTTGCAACTTACAAAATACTTCAAAACAGTACGCGTAAAAAGTAAGCCAATAAACAAGCGCGAACAACAAAAGCTAAATTTGCAAGGGTATTTGGCCAGAGTAGCCGCTCGTACCTGAATTTGAGAACGCGACGCTCCACCATACACACCCACCCTGTGCCCTCTAATGTTTTTCACGTAGTGAGAAAAAGTTTATTTCTTTAGTTTAGTTTTAAAATGACCTCCATACAGGAAACGTATCAGAGTTGTCGAGATAGGTACAAGAAATTAACATTATTTTTGAAAAAGAATCAGCAGGTAGACTGTGAAATTAAAATCCGGAAATTGCCCCGTATTTCCCTAGGTTTTCAACTATAAAACACGGCCACCAACCGCCAGGGGTATCGGAAAACTCAACCGCATCACCAACCCTCGAAATGGCCACCCTAGCCGTCGACCCGCCCGCTGGAGCCGTGCCCGCCGCCGGAGGCAAGACCACCCACACGCTGGCCAACACCGGCGCCGCCAAGGTCGTCTTCAAGGTGGGATGCTGCGAGGGACGCCCCGGAAATGCGTGCCATTTCAGGTCAAATCCTCCAACAACACCGAGTACCGCCTGAACCCCGTGTTCGGCTTCGTCGAGCCGGCCGGCCAGGCCCCGATTGAGGTCACCCGTCTCGCCGGGCCCCCCAAGGAGGACAAGCTGGTGATCGAGTACGGTGATGCTCCCGCCGACGCCGCCACCCCGCAGGATGCTTTCAAGGTAAAATTAATTTGATTTCCTAAGCGGATGTATCGTCTGCCCGCCTTGACCACGTCCAACAACCGGTTTTTCAGGGCGTCGCCGCCCCGCAGAAGCTCACCGTCCCGATCAAGGCCGAATAGGCCGCCCCACAAGCAGCAGCACCCACCCTCGCGATGCGGCGAAGCCACCCACCATCCGTCACCACCAAAAGACCCGAGCAAACGCTACGCCTGATCACTTTAATAAATCGCGTCCAAGCCACATTGTACAGATATACAAAATGGATTCACATGTTGATTGACACTTACAAAGCTACACTTTACGACCGGATGACTATTCGTTTTTCGGTGTTCTTGACAGACTCGCTTCGAGTTTGCGAAGTTTGACATGAAATGTAACAGCTTGACAGATTTGAGTCCTGATGGATCTGTCGCTTCTCGTTCTCTTCTCACCTTGAAATGGAGGTAATTTTAAAGACCGTCAGAACGATGAAATATCGTTTAGAGCAAGAAAGTTGCGCACCGGGCGGGGGTCGAACCCGCGATGGTTCGCTCCACAGTCCGACGCGCTAGCCACTACACCACAGGGCCAAGTGGGGAAGGGAGTCAGAGGCGCCCCAGAGGGCCTTTGCCCAATACGGGGCACGACTAATGACGCCTCTCTCCGCGCGTTCTTGGGGGCAGCACCCTCGGGGTGACAGTGCGCGTTCCATCGTTCTGGTAGTCTTTAAGTTAGTACGGTTAGAACGGCATGTAATCTACAAGACTGGACAATCTCAAACGATTAGCATACGGCAGAAGACTATCGACGCTAGCAACCAGTGCACTCTGCGCTTTTCTGTTTTCTCTGCTATGTTTTCGTGTTCTCCAGTCCCTTTAGTTATTGTTGGAAGGCGGTCGTTGATGCAAAAGCGGAAAGTGCTGTTGTTCGGACTTTTTTCGAACTTTTTTTGGCGGATCGTAACGTGTTTTTTTAGAAAACAGAATATAGGGCTGTAGTGATATCTCGAGAAAAGTCTATAGGAAATTTGACTCAATTTTTGAGCGCAATTCCACACACTAGTCCCTCATGATGAAAAAGAATTAGCAAAATTTCCCCCCTTCAACCCCGCAAATCCCCTTGATTGCCGGGCCCACCCGATTACGGGGCCCCGATGCAGCCAGCCAGCTGAAGGAGGAGACAACATGCCTTTAGTATTTTTTGTGTGTCACCTCCTCTTCACTTTGCGTGCATTTCCATGCTCTCCCATCGATTCTCGCCCCTGCTCCCTCCTCCTGGCCCTCCGCCTCTTCTTTCCCCTCGGCCGCACCCAAACAAAAATCCGCCCAACTCCTCCCCATTCGCTCCACCCGCCACGGTCCCGTCACTGTTCGTCATGTCTAAACTTTTACTATATCGAAACCTATTTTACGTTCTTGCTCTTTGCACCCGGTGAACATCAACTTTTCTCTTGATTTCGTTGTGTTTTTTTCAAACAGCCGTGCACTTTCTCTCGATAATTTCGCCGTTTTAGAATGGCCGATCAGCCGGACACGAACGTCTTCCTCTTCTACCCGAATCTCATTGGATATGCCCGTATTGTGCTCGCCATCTGGGCCTTTTGGGTGATGGGCCATGCGCCGATTCAAGTGAGTATGACTTTTTTCTGCCTTCTAGGCCATATCTTTTTGGGAAATACAAAGTTTTAGGGTTGAAACTTTGTAGAAAACCCAGAAAAGAGCAGAAGCTCTCTACGCAATCTCATTTTTTCATGACGAAATTGAACATAATTTGGACGTTTTTGTTTAGTTTTTGGTGGCTGACAAGTGTGACTCATCGGATTACGACGTCAGACTGTGAAATCAGCAGGCGGAGAATTGAAAAACGTTTACTAGAGTAGTGGCTAAAGTTTTTAAAAGTAAAAAGTGCTATAATGTTATAAACCTATCTTGCCTCCCGATTTTGACCTTTGGTTTAGGCAGTAATCTTGTATGCCCTCTCAGCTGGCCTGGACGCTTTCGATGGTTGGGCAGCGCGGACTTATAATCAGAGTGAGTTTACGCTTCCGAATTATGATAAACGATTTTCTTTTCTTTTTGGTCAGCTTCATTTTTCAGGCTCTCGCTTCGGTGCAATGCTCGACCAGTTGACGGACCGGTGCGCGTTGTTGGCGATCAACATGGCGCTTTGTGCCCTCTACCCGAGCTCGGCCTTTTGGTTCCAAATGAGCGCCGTCGTGGATATCGCTAGCCATTGGTAAAATAGTTGGAAGCCTTTTTGAATCATAACTTTTAGGCTGCACCTTCACGCCACCGACATCAACGGCAAGTCCACGCACAAAGAAAGCAAGAACCCGATTCTGCACCTCTACTACACGGACCGTCTCTTCCTCGGCTTTATGTGTGGCGCTAATGAGGTATCGATCTTTATTTTCGTGTTGAGAGGCTAAAAAAGTCTTTAGTATGCTCTGTTCGAAGTTTGTTATTTTTTTAAACCCCAGAAAATTGTTACATGTTTTTTTTCAGGCGTTCTACATGCTGATGTATCTCCGCGCCTGGTTCCCCGGACCGACAATCTTCGGCGTCCATCTGATGTCCATTTTCTGCACGATCGCTTTCCCGTTCGCATTCGTGAAGGTAGCTTACGATTCTCAATCCCGACGGTCTCAGAATTTTCGTTTTTTTTAAACGCTAGTGCATAGCGCAATGAAAAAAAATATGTTTGTAGCTTGAATTCCGGCTCAAAATAAGGGGATATTATGGAAAAAAACAAAAATCGCTAAAAATTATGTTAGAAAGCTGATTTCCGGGATTTTCACTTCACACAACGGAAAACTATCGTATTCCGTTTTAATTTTTAGCTCGGGTCACAATAAAAATTTCGGACTAAAAGCTCATTTGCAGGCAGCCATCTCCCTCATCCACCTCGGCACCGCCGCCCAAACAGTCGTCGAGCACGACCAGAAGCAAATCCTTGAACGGGGCAAAGCCAAGTGAGATCCCTATCCCTCACCCCCACCATCCCCACGTGCAAAAAGGTTGTCATGTTGATCTCAAGCCCCCCCAATTCCCGGATCTAGAGCGGTTAATAAATTTTCTATTGGAATTGGTTCTTATGTCTATTTTATGATATTTATTCGGCCGCACGATATTATCATCAGCGCCTTGAACCGTCCTCGAAGAAGATACCGCCGTCCAGGGCGCAGTACTTGGGGCAGATGCCTTTCTCGCCGGCACCACCGGAAGCGCCGGCGGATCCAGGTTCTCCGGGCGCTCCATCCTCGCCGGGTGGGCCGTCTGGCCCGTTGGGTCCCTAGAATTTGGTATTCTGCGCGTATTTTGGAAGTGCGTACCTTGGGTCCAGGGGCGCCGGGGGCTCCATCGACTCCAGATTTTCCGGGCGGTCCAGCGGGGCCCTGCGGACCGGCTTCACCGGCGGCTCCGGGCTCTCCGGGGCTGAGCGGCTCATTTGGTGCTGGGGTTCCAGGCTATAATGGTGGGGTTTGAGTAGCCGATTGGAATCACAGACTGTTGGCAGGCGGAAAAACAATTTTTGTTTGTTTTCTCGTCTTACCTAGCTGTTAGCGATAAATAGCGTATTCGTATAATGTTTCGTAGTTTTTCAGCGCTAGAACGTTACAGAAATCTTTAAACAATTTTTAAATCCAAAAAATTTATTTTTGGGCATTTTTCATAAAGCTTAAAATTTTTATAATTTTTTTATGAGATTTATAGATCTAAAAACTATGGAAACTCCTATGAAAATGGTTTGGGTTTCGTGTAGGATTACAGGCAAAAATTAGGGCTCCCCCCCGCTAACAGTCCAGTACCGAATCACTCACCTCTCCAGGGGCTCCCTGCGGTCCGGGTTCTCCAGGTGGTCCGGGCGGCCCTTTAGGACCGGGTTCTCCGGGGGCTGCATCATTTCCAGGTCTGCCCGGGGCTCCATCGGGCCCAGATTCGCCGGGTTGACCCTGCGGGCCCTGTTGGCCAGGTGGGCCCTGTGGGCATGGCTTGCATGGGGGCGGTGTGACGGCCTCGCAGGGTTGTTGCGGAGGTTTTCCGGGGCTTCCGGGCAGTCCGGGGGCGCCAGCCTTTCCGGCACGGCCGGGCTTGCCTGAAGAATTTTTGACAACAAAGAATTTATGCCATAAAGAAAATCTATTAGCTGTAAAATACTGTAAGCTAACGGTTTGATCACGAACGTACAAATTTGACCAAAAAATACAAAAATTTCTATATATATCTACAAATTTTATTAGATTAAATTTTGACCTAACTTTTAAAGGACCATTCAAGGTAAATTTCGCTCACCAGATTGCCCAGGAGGTCCAGGCTGCCCAGGCAAGCAACAGCCCTCACAACCCGACGAACTGGCTGGGTAGACGGCTTGGCGACGCGTGCGATTGGCCGGAATCACGCGCAACACCGAGATCTCCTCCCAGAGATCCGTAGATGATCCCTGAACGGCTCCAAAATAATGTGTGGACTGCGAAAACTTACCTGGCAGAACGCCATCTCCTCCTGCATCATGTCGCGGGTGGCGTACACATGGGTGTAGAGGAGCGGCACGGAGACGAACACGGTCATCACGGCGAGCAGGGAGAACGAGACGGCCGCGTACGAGACGAGCTAAAACACAGGTTACGGTAGTTTGTGACAAAACGCACCTTGTAGGCCTTGATTCTTGTATCCCAGTCCATGGTGAGTGAAAGTGAGAGAGAGCGAGAGTGTCGGCTGGTTGCTTTTTGGCAGCGCGGGCTTTATATAGCTTCAGGCTCCGCCCACGGGGTTTTTGGGGTGAAGCTCGTGCTCGGTTTCTGTATGGCTCTGGCTCTGGCTCTATCTCCCTCTCTCTCCCTCTCTCTCTCTCTCTCTCTCTCTCTCTCTCTCTCCGCTTTTCAGACCTTCTTGAAGTTCGAGCTTGGCTTCAACTTTGGAAACTACACAAATTTTCTGAATATCGATTACGCTCGGAAACCCTTTCACACACCCTTTTTCTCCGTTTTTTTTTGTCAGGCCAACCAGGACGCGCCAAACAAGAAACGAAACTTTTGAAGCCCTTGAAGCCGAATATTCCTCATAAATTCGAATTTCCAGCATCTGGCCGCGCAGGCAGCGTTTTTGCAGATTGGCCATCTCCAGCTGTGCGCGGCAAGAGTTCCACCCATCCCCGGCTAAAAGGATTTGCCACTTTCGCCAACGTTTTTTGCGGGTTTGGCAGATTGCCTGGGGCTAGAATTTTTGGCATTTTTGGCAATTTTTGTCTTGTATACTTTTTAGAGACTTTTTCGAACTAAGCCGGCCAGGAGCTCGTTTCGAAAGGAAAACAAGTTATTCTCCGCGTTTTCCAGCCAACCACTTCTCTCTTTTCCAACTTATGCTAATCGAAGAAGATGATCTGAGCGAGGGAAGAATGGGGAATTCTTGTGGAAACAGCCTTGAGGCCGCGAGAATACACATGCAGATCATATACCGAGATATACAGGCCCCCTCTTATTGCTTGCCCTCCCGAAAATTCCGTAAAGGTCAGCCTCCCCATTGTGTATGCAAATTTGATGGATGGCCCGTGGCGACCTGGAAAAGACGCCCAAAAATTGTGAAACAGCGCTGGAAAAACGAAGGTGCAATAAAATCGAGAATTAATCGAACATTAATTTTCTCACCTTTGTAGCTATAAAAATTCAGTTTAAAAATTCAAAAATCCAGTGTAGTAATATAAACAACCGCTATAAACCAATGAAAGAAAAAAAATGAGGTTTTTCTAAGAATAATTCATTTTTGTAAAAATCGGCACCTTGTAGTCCTTTTTTTGCTAAAATTCTATATTTTTTTGAAAATCTCGATTTTGTAGGTTCCGCAATTCCGTCAATAACGGCAATCGGAAATCCTGAACGTAGTGTCCGTCCGAAACCGGGTGGCAAAAAGTGCAAGGGGCCCACGGAATTGGCCCCAATCCACACGCTCTGGGGCCCCAACGACCCCTCCAACCATTTTACAACCAAAACAGTGCTCGTATCGATTTTCAACTATGAAAATCCCGGCTTCTGATGGCCTTGACGACGTCGGTGACGTCATCATCAACTTCATCACCCGTGCCCGAGAACGCTACGGGAAATTGGCGTTGTTTCCACTGCTGGAAGGCGTCGAATTTCAGTACGGTTCGTCCATATTATTGTCTTTTTATTAGTGTTCGAATTCCAGAATCTGCGACTAAGGATTCAAAGGAATTCCCGGAAGAGATTTCGCAAAGCGGTCGATTCTTCATGTCGCAAGTGAAAGGGAAGGGCCTTTCGGCTTCTTGTCTAATTCTGGAGGCAAAATCAGCCGAATCGTGGGCTAATCCAGGTGGAATTAAGCGTATTTTTGACGAATTTCCATTTTAGTCAAGTTAGAGGGCTTGGAAAATGATTCGAAGCTTCGTTTCCAGCTTCAGCAAGTTCTAAAACTCGAAAAATTGGAGGTTTTATCGACAAAATCGAAGCAGGAAATGGTTGTTCACGTGGAAATTGGGGATAATGAAGTCATTAGTGATCTAGAGGTAAGAGAACACCATATGATATCTTTAATACCGCGAAAAACGGCGTCGGCAAGGTTTGAAGATTTGAAAATCAAAATTAGGATTTTCTGAACTACTATTGACGGTGCCGCGACGCGTGGCGCAATGGTAGTGCCTTGCTTGCCGCGAACAGGGTCAGGGTGGATCCCGCACTCCGTCGAAAGTTTTCGCTTTTACCTCCAGTGGTAGAAAAGTTAATTTGTTTTTAGCGGAATGGTAAAAATAGCTAAAAAGCGGGAGCGCTAAAAATCTGCTAAAAATTTCTCTAAAAAATTTGAAATTTTTATCGAACTTTTTCTAGCTCCAAAAACTCGTCATCCAGCTGCTCGCTTCCTTCGTGGGCCCTCAAAAACCCGAGAGGCTGCAAAAAATCGCCCGCATCGAATTCCCAGTCTACCTGATCGGCAGCTTTTCCGTCGTGCTGCAGCTCACCGACTCCAACAAGGTCGACATAGACCTATACTCGACTTTTGCCAACTGTATCCTCGGACGATGGATGGGAGTCGAATTCGGAAAATCACACAGCGCCCCGAAAACCGTCGAAAAGCGCACATCGCCCCCAAATGCTATGGAGATGTTGGTGGTCGACGAGTTGAAGGCGTTCGAGCTGGACCCGCACGATTTCATAGTTAAACCCGAAAAGCTATGCGAACCCTTCGTCCGTCTCGGGCTCGATTCGATCCAAATGGCCGAGGTCGAACAGAAAATGAAGCTCAAATTCCCCAAGCTCGTGTTTGGGACGATCCTTCGACAAAATACTGTCGAGAAACTGGCCAAGTACCTGGACGCCCTGCCCAAGGCGGAGAAGATGATGAACTCGTCGAAGTCGGGGCAGCTCGACAAGGGTGATGGCGTTTGGCATGCATTGGCCCTATATGGTGTCATTCCCACTACAGTACCCCAACAGCAAATACTGTTTGAGTGCGAGATTGGGCCCGAGCGAGTGGCGCAGGTATCTTTGGATTTGGGGGCCGGGCAGGCTAGCAGGGATCATTGGGGATATCAAGAGACAGGCCAGCAGAGATTCTTTTAGGAATTATAGAGGGCAGGCTAGCTGAGATTCTTTGAGGCATTGGGAGAGGGCAGGCTAACATAGATTCCTTGAGGAATATCTCGAAAAAGACGATTAATTTCTCCCTCTAGTTCAACGAGTACTTCCATTTCACCGTCGACACCTCGAAAATCTCATCCAAAAATTTGCTCCAATCAATTCGGAAACTGGTGATGGAGCATCGGATCTTACGGTAACGGTCCAGAACTCCGGGTTACGGTAATGCTCCTCTTACAGTACCATCTACCCTGACAGCGCCCAGCAAATTCTGAGCGGCACCGAGCTCCTACTCGATTTCGAACCGTTCGGGGAGCAAGAAGTCAGAATCGACGTCAAAAATCAGCTGCCACTACGAATTTTCCGGGAAGAATCGGATGGGAAAGCGTGAGTACAGCATTCACCACCTAAAAACCATTTTTTAAGCCGAATTCTAATCGTTTTCCACCACATTGCTGTCGACGGGGTGGCGCTAAAGCGGTTTGCGCAGGAGTTCGAGCAGCTGGTCATTGGAGGAGCAAAGTTGAGCATCACCAACAGGTAAGAAAGCTCCGCAAGAATCTCTGCCTGCCCCCTCCCAATTCCTCAAAGAATATCTGCTAGCCTGCCCTCTCCCAATTCCTCAATGAATCTCTGTTAGCCTTCCCTCTCCCAATTCCTCAAAGAATCTCTGCTAGCCTGCCCTCTCCCAATTCCTCAAAGAATCTCTGCTAGTCTGCCCTCCCGCAATTCCTCAAAGAATCTCTGCTAGCCTGCTCGAGCTACAATCCCAAATTTAGCCGACAATTCGCCGAATATTCCCTCGAGAGATCCCAATCAACGCTGACCGTACCGGATCGCGAATTCTGGAAACAACACCTGAAAGGGATGGCACACAACAATTTGCCGGAATACCACGGCAACAAGAGTGCGACTACGGTACACTCCGTCGTCAGGTATACCGTAATTCCATCGCATAATCGGTTGGTGATTCAGGAAAATCCCACCAGAGATCCTCGGCGCCATGCAAAAACATGCGAAAGCTAGTTCGATTTCCATGTATCGGCTTTTCGTGGCTGCCTACACGGCTACGGTAACGAAGGTGAGCGGGGAGAGAGAAAAGAGAGTGGGAGAGCGAGGGCGAGTGCGGGAGAGAGAAAAATAAAGTGGGAGAGAGAGAGAGCGGCAGAGCGGGTGAGAGAAAGAGAGAGAGAGAAAGAGAGAGAGAGAGAGAGAGAGAGAGAGAGAGAGAGAGAGAGCGGGCGGGCGTGAGAGATAGATTCGAAAAATTCTCGGGTATTAATGATCTGAACTCGGCAAAAATCTGGCTTCTCTGTCTAGTCGAGACCTTCCGGGTCTAAATTCTACAGAAATCTCTGCTCGCTTACCTTTAAAGCTTTAAACGTTTCCAGGTGCACGACTGGGACGAAGCAACAATTGGACTTGCCGACCAAAGCCGCCCATCCGACCACCGCGACACGATTGGTTGTTTTGTCAACATCCTCCCATGCCGTCTCCCCTACCATGGCCACGAAGCGATCCCCAACTACCTCACCCGGGTCGATGGCCAAATCTCTGCATGCCAGCAGCACAACATCCCCTACGGCGAGATTCTGAAGTGTGTCGACGTGCCGATGACCAATCAGAAGTCGCTCTTCTGCGTCATGTTGATTCAGGATATTGTGCCGGGGATGGGAGGGCAAGAATACGCTCGAGTACTACCACCACCACCCAGGCCTCCCAAGTTTGATCAGGTGGTCGGCTATATTGGTGTCTTTCTCTATCTCTGACACTATCTCTCTCATCTCTCTTTCTCTCTCTCGCTCTCTCTTGATCACTCTCTCTTGTTCTTGCTCTCTATATCTCTGTCTTAAAAATACATCTACACTTTCAGGTGTGGTTTTGGCAGCGTGATGGCCCGGAATTCCGGATCGTCGTCGAATTCGACCCGAAGCGCTTTTCAGAAGACATCATAAAATGGTTAGTCAATGCGAAAAAGATACGAAGAGAGACAGAGAGAAAGAGAGGGGGGAGAGAATCGGTAGGTTAGCAGAGACCATTTGCTCTACCAAATCTCCGAAATTCCAGGTACATCCACCGCGTGCTGACGGTCCTCCAGGATTTTTGCGGCCCAGATAATTCTACCTCGCTCGCCGAAATCAATCCATACTCCGGCTCCACAACTCTTTATCACCAACGTAAAATCCGGAGCCGATGGACGGATATTCCGCAGGGATACTCTTGGCTCGAGATTTTGAGAAGACAAACTACAAAAACGGGACTTACCTCGAGAATTATCGACTCCAATGGGTCGTTAAACTATCAGGAAATGGATTCCGAATCCACACTCCTGGCCCGCCGGATTGAGCAGAAGATGTGGGCGCAGCTAGGCGTAGGGCCAAGGAGTGACACCCCGGTGGCGGTGTACTGTGGACAGTCGCGTCGTCGTGTACTGTTGATGGTTGCCGCGTGGAAAGCCCGGCTGTACCCATTTAATATCAATATGGATTGGCCGCTGTTGAAGCAGAGGGCAGCGACTGGATTGTTTGGGAATATTATGTTTATTACGGAACATCGAGAACATTTGGGGATGAACTTGCCGCTGACGGTGGATGTGGGGAAGTTGTTTCGAGGAATGGAGAGGATGGAATTGAAGAGGTGAGGGAGAGAGAGGGAGAGAGAGATAGAGGTATGGAGAGATCGAGAGGCAGAACAAGAGAGAGACAGCGAGAGAGAGAGACAGAGAGAGAGAGAGAGAGCGAGAGAGAGAGAGATAGAGAGAGAGAGAGAGAGAGTGTGTGTGCAAGAGTGGGAGAGGAAGCCAGGCTAGCGGATCAGGTTTAAGAATGCGGAGTATGAGCCTTTTACGCGAGCGAAGGTGTTGGCTATCGAAAAACTGAGCCGAGAGAGAGAGAGTGAAAAAGAGAGAGAGAGAGAGCGAAAAGTTCAATCGTTTGAAAAACCTCCAGATTCATCTGCAACCACCCGGTAGACGTCATGTACATCACCTGCACGTCGGGCACAACGGGAGCCCCGAAATGTGTCGTCACCCCGTTTGAGGGACACAATAACCTCCCCGCGGCTTATGCTCGCTCCTTCCTAATCTCGAACCAATCGATAACCTATCAGGTATCATCTGCCTAGAAAATCTTGCTAAAACGCGAGTACGACTTACTACTAAATACGAGCTGTAGGCTGCCAACTACGCGTTCGACATCTTTTTTGGCGACTTGACGATGTCGCTGTCGCACGGGTGTACGATGCGGATTGCTGGAAGTGGAGTGCCGTCTGTTGGTGAGAGTTCGCTTCTTTCTCTCTCTCTCTCTCTCTCTCTCTCTCTCTCTCTCTCTCTCTCTCTCTCTCTCTCTCTCTCTGTCGCTCTTTCTCTCTGTATATGTCTCTCTCCCCCGGCTCTGTCTCTTCCCCTCTCTCACACTCGCTCTCCAGCTCTCTAAATCTCGCACTATCTCTATCTCTCTCTCTCTCTCTCTCTCTCTCTCTATCTCTCCCTCTCCCTCTCTAACCTTCCCCATTCCAGAAGAGATGCTCTCCTCCTCAGTCTCCCATTCATACATCATGCCAGCCTTCCTCAGCACCCTCTCCGATCAGGGCATCTCCAATCTCGGTTCCCTGGAGCGCATCTTCTTTGGCGGCGAACAGATCCAACATGGTGTCAAACAGAAGCTGCTCAATTCCGGCACAATCCCCTATGAGAAATATGGCACATCCGAGCAGACGGTCTACTCTACCAAATATGGAGTGAAGGCTGGAGGGCAGAGAGGGCTGTGCGGGCTGCCGTATCAGAATCTGTACATGGCAGCGTCGACCCGGGAGGGATGGGTGGCTGATGGGAAAGTTGTGGCTGAATGTGTACAGTATGGAGCGGCAATAAGTCGAGGGTATCATTCGATGAGGGTGCGGAATAAGGAGCGGTAAGTTGGCTGAAAAGGTGAAGTGAGGAATAGCCCGGAACAATTGATGGCAAATTGAGATTCACCAATTTTTTCGCAGCTCTCAGCGCCGAGCCCTTTACACAAACTTTAAAGGGACTGACAAGGCATAGCTATGAATTTTTGGCTCGAGATTCCCCATGGATTTTGCTTCCCCCGCGGCGCGGAGTTTCCCCATGGACGTGCGTCGCTTGCCCGGCGTTCGGTGCGTGTTGCGTGCTTTGTGCCTTGCGTGGCGTGCGTGCGTGCCTGCGTGAGTTGCGCTGATGGAGCGTACCGCCTTGCACTACAGTTTACACGTTGCGTCGCGCGCTGCGTTTCGCTTCGCGTTACGCTGGGTGTCGCGTTCATCGTTGCGCACGTCTTTGGGTTGCGCATTGCGTGATGCGTTGCGTGGTGCGTCGCTTGTCGCCTTGCGTTGCGGCACGCGGTGCGGTGCGCAGTGCGTTGCACGTTGCGATGCGGCAATGATGCTTTTCACTAGATTTTTGGTCATGTGAGTTCGATAAAATCCATAGCGCAATCCATAACCATCAAAACCCATAGCCATACCTTGCAAATCCCTTTAAAACTGTTCTTGGATAGAATTTTGCATGGAAAATAAAACTCTATTTTCTAGATACCTACCCTCGTCTCTCTCCACCCATCAAGACAGCGTGGCGGGACTCCCGTGCCGCAGCTACCGTACCGGGGACCTGATCCAGTTGGCCCACCCGGGTTGCTACCAATTCCACGGTCGGGCCGATTCCCAGACAAAAATCGGAGGGAAACTCGTGCGCCTCAACGAGATCCAAGAAGAAATCTCCTCCACCCCAAATGTCCATTCTTGCTATATAATTGAAGATCGCGACGCGTACACCTCCTTTCTGATCGGTTACGTGAGGTTTGTAGCGCACGGTGATGTTGAGGAACTTCGTGAAACCCTCAAGAAACGAATGGCCCCTCATGAGATTCCGAAATTTTTAGTAAAAATGGAAGAATTCCCATTGAATCAAAATGGAAAAGTGGATAAGGCGAGGCTACCAAAACCACAGGAACCTGCTAAACCCCTAGAACCCACCCAAACTACCGTAGTCGAGCCACAAAAACATGGCGGAGAACTGGAGGCGAGCATTCTGGACGTGTTCAAGTCGGTGTTGGCAAACCCGGGGCTTACAGCGCTCGATGACTTCTTCCAAAATGGAGGTGACTCGATCAGGGCAATGTTTATGGCCCGGGATCTGGGGAAGAAGCTGGGTAAGGAGGTGCCGTTGAGGGTCCTTTTTGAAAAGACGACGGCTAGATCGTTGGCTCTGTATTTGGACGATATTGAAGAAGCGGGAGGACCGGAAGAACCGGAAAAACAAGTCAAAAACCAGGAGGACGGTCTCGAAAACTGCCCGGCCAATTACGCAGGACTCCAAACTAAACCGGAAAAATGTGCGCCGGCTGCTAAAGACAAAAATGAGCATGAAGAGCCCGTAGAAGCAGCGACGAGCGTGAAAAATGGGTCCTTAAACTTCAAAACCGGGCCAACAACCGCGCACGGTTACGCGAAGCTTCAGGGTACACCTGGAAATTGTGCACCAGTTCCACAAGTCGAAACTGTAGCTAAAACTCCATGGATAAAGCCGGAAGACGAAGACAAAGCTATAATCTCTAATTCTACGGATTCCAAGACCTACGCGACGCTCGAATGTACATCTGAAACGTGTGCCCTCGTTGCCAAGACCAAAATCTGCGCTCAAAAGCTTGACAAGTCTCTGGAGGAACCGGAAACTAAGGACTACGCGGCACTCCAAAGTGCGTCCGAAGAATGTGCGCATCTTGGTGCTGCCCGAATGCAAAATTTTCAAGCTTCCCCAATTCCACCAGCCTTTAAAGCCCCACAAAATTTGACAAAAACCCAAACCCAACTCTGGACCCTCCAAAAAATGAATCCCAGCAGCGATAGGCTCGGTGTGGAGCTGGAGATCGAAATTTCTAACACGGAAAACACTCGAAACACTGAAGAAAAATCGCTACAGTATGCCCTGAATTGGCTGCCCGCCAAGTTTCGCGTCCTATGCATCGAGATTTCAGCCGATGAGCCAATTTTTGAGTATCTCTCATTAACAGAGAGCTATGTGGCCTTGAAAAATCGCAAAAATTCTGTAAATTCAGTAGTAAAATGCGATCCTTATTCCGTATTTTCCGTCAGAACGGAAAGAATGGAAAAGATTGATGATTTGAGCATAAAAATTCGGCTGAACCATTTGGTAGTCGATGGAAGAAGTTTAGAGATCTTGGGGAAACACCTCGTCATGGCGTATAGTGGTGGAATTTTGGGATTTGCGGATAAAATAGCCAAAATTGAAGCCGTAGCCGAGGGCCAGGTCTTCAAAGCGCAGAAAGAGGCTTTTAAAGCCAAAATCGAAGCCGACGAAGCCAATGCGCACGCTTCCAAAGCCAAAAATCTCGACTTCTGGCGCTCCTATCTAAAAGACGCCACAGAACTAAAGCTCCTGGAAATCCCGAAAATCGAGAACAACCCGGAAAATAGCCTGACCATCCTCGAAACCAAGCTCCCCTTCGACTTCCAGGAACTCCGGGGCGCTCCACGATTACACCTACTAACCACGGCGGTTTTGGCAACCCTCCAAGAGGCTTCTGGAACTGATGACGTCACGATTGGGCTCGTCCTGGCCAATAGAACCCGGGAGAATCACGATGACGTCGGGTTATATGTGAATACCGTACCGATAAGGTGCAAAATTGGGAGTGGAGAGCGGAATTTTGTGGATGAAGCCTTTGGATCGATCGATAGAGTATTGGAGAATCAGGAAACGGGATTGGCGGATATTCTGGAGCTGACCGGAAGTCGGAGGGATGATGGACGACATCCCGTTTTTAATCAGGTACGGGGAGAAGGGGAACGAGCAGAGATTCTTTGGGAATCGGGGGGTAAGAGAAAGGGAGAGAGAGAGGAGAGAGAGATGAGATGCTTAAGAAAACATCTATAAGTTCTAGCCTTCCTAGCCCCTTTAAACGCAAAATCCGCTTGATTTTTGCCATTTTTCATCTTGTTTTCCTCTTTTCCTCACGAATCTTTGCTAGCCACCCATATTTCTAATTTCTCATTGCAGGTGCTCAATCTCCGCAGCGCACCCCTCGAAACCCGGGTTACGGTGGCCGGCACGGAATTTAGAATGCGAGCCCGAGAAAACCTGGAAAATCCCTTCGACGCTAGCTGGATCTTCGAGACTGATGAAGCCGGGAAAATCATGCTAAAGCTGCTCTACGACCCGCAAATTATTCTGGGGGAACAAGCGAACAGCCTTGTCCGTAAATTTCTACAAAAATTCCAAAAAATACACCTCGAAATCGACCGTGGACTACCGTACCAAACCCCCAAAATCGATTTTCCAACGGCGTCGATTACGCACATTTTTAAGCTGCAAGAAAAACTGAGCCCAGATGCGCCTTTTCTACAGTATTCCGGTGTAACCACAGACTACAAGACGTTCCAGGAGATGTTAGATTTCAAGGCGCGTCGTTTAGGGCAAATGGGGTGGGCGAAAAATGGGAGATCGGCCAGGGCGGATGACATTTTGGCTTACCAAATCGCGGAATCGACGGAATCGTACCGTATCCTGTTCTCGGCGTTAAAGCTGGGGCTCGGATTTCTATGTTTACACCCCGATGCACCGAAAGAACAGGTGAAGGGGATCATTGAAAGGTGTCGGCCATATTTGGTGGTGACTGGGGGTTTAGAAGGTGCCCTGGATACCGTAACTCGTGATTCAGAACGGAGCCTAAAATGTGGCCAACTTAGTGCACCACAAGGTTCAAGGGCTAGTCTACAAGCTGACCCAAAGACCGTATCCCTAGGCTCAGGAAAGAGCCTAAAGAGCTACCCAAATACCGTCACCGTGAGCTCGGGCGGTATCCTAAACGATGGTCAAACTACCGTATCACTAGACGCAGATCCAGGCCTAAATGATAGTCAAGGTAGAGTACCCAGTGTTTTAGGAAACAACCTAAACAGTGCCCCGCCTACCGTATCCCTTGGCTCAGGACAAGGCCTAAAGAGTGACCCAGGTACCGTAACCCCAGGCTTGAAAACCGCTCCGACCTCCGTAGCCCAGCGTCAGGGCATTTCGAAGCACTATGAACCTAACAAAGGCCTAAAACCCGCCCCGCCTACTGTAGTCTCATTCTCAAAAACACGCCCCGAAGACCTACTGTACGTCATCTACACCTCCGGCACCACAGGAGACCCCAAAGGTATCGCGGTCAGCCATAAAAACGGCGCACTAATGACCCAAAATTTCGTTCGGCTGAACTTGGTAAAGTCGGCCTCAAAGATGTCGATGTTCTCGACCCCATCCTTCGACGGCGGCATCGGAAATGTCCTATCAGCTCCCCAGCTCGGCGGCGCCCTCTGCGTCCAGGGCAGTCCGGCGGAGTTTGAGCGGAATTTGGAGCATTTTGGAGCGCTGGACCTGGTGCATTGCACCCCGGGCATTGCTGCTACGCTATTTGACGACCCGGAAATAGCCTCGAAAATCGGTGTATTTAACGTGGGAGGTGAGGCTTTTGGGCGAAGGTTGGTGGAAAAGATGGGGGGCAATCGGGTGGTGCAGCTGTACGGACCGGCCGAGGCGACCTGCTACCAGACGGCACTCCACATGCGCCCCAACCATATTTATGCGAATTTGGGAGCGGCTGGGGTACAGACTACAAACTCGAAAGATTCGCTGAGACTACAAACTACAACAACCCTCGTAACCCCAATGCGAAACAATCGCCGCCTGGCCCCGTTTGAAATTGGAGAGCTGACCGTCGACTCCGAGCAGGTCGCTCGCGGATATATCGGACAACAAAATAACTCTGGATTTACGCAGCGGAATTTGTACAGGTATGTACTATAGACAAAATATACGCCTTTTCTGCATTCCTCATACCTTTAAATTCAGGACTGGTGACTGGGGATGGATCGACCTGAAAGGCGGACTGCATTTTATCGGGCGGCAAGATGACCAAGTGAAGGTATGGGTATTAGGGCCAGATAGTAGAGATTCTTTGAGGAATTGGGAGAGGGCAGGCTAGCAGAGATTCTTTGAGGAATTGGGAGAGGGCAGGCTAGCAGAGATTCTTTGAGGAATTGGGAGAGGGCAAGCTAGCAGAGATTCTTTGAGGAATTGGGAGCGGGCAGGCTAGCAGAGATTCTTTGAGGAATTGTGAGAGGGCAGGCCAGCAGAGATTCTTTGAGGAATTGTGAGAGGGCAGGCTAGCAGAGATTCTTTGAGGAATTGGGAGCGGGCAGGCTAGCAGAGATTCTTTGAGGAATTGTGAGAGGGCAGGCTAGCAGAGATTCTTTGAGGAATTGTGAGAGGGCAGGCTAGCAGAGATTCTTTGAGGAATTGTGAGAGGGCAGGCTAGCAGAGATTCTTTGAGGAATTGGGAGCGGGCAGGCTAGCAGAGATTCTTTGAGGAATTGTGAGAGGGCAGGCTAGCAGAGATTCTTTGAGGAATTGTGAGAGGGCAGGCTAGCAGAGATTCTTTGAGGAATTGGGAGCGGGCAGGCTAGCAGAGATTCTTTGAGGAATTGTGAGAGGGCAGGCTAGCAGAGATTCTTTGAGGAATTGTGAGAGGGCAGGCTAGCAGAGATTCTTTGAGGAATTGGGAGAGGGCAGGCTAGCAGAGATTCTTTGAGGAATTGGGAGAGGGCAGGCTAGCAGAGATTCTTTGAGGAATTGGGAGCGGGCAGGCTAGCAGAGATTCTTTGAGGAATTGTGAGAGGGCAGGCTAGCAGAGATTCTTTGAGGAACTGTGAGAGGGGCAGGCTAGCAGAGATTCTTTGAGGAATTGGGAGCGGGCAGGCTAGCAGAGATTCTTTGAGGAATTGTGAGAGGGCAGGCTAGCAGAGATTCTTTGAGGAATTGGGAGCGGGCAGGCTAGCAGAGATTCTTTGAGGAATTGTGAGAGGGCAGGCTAGCAGAGATTCTTTGAGGAATTGTGAGAGGGGCAAGCTAGCAGAGATTCTTTGAGGAATTGGGAGCGGGCAGGCTAGCAGAGATTCTTTGAGGAATTGGGAGAGGGCAGGCTAGCAGAGATTCTTTGAGGAATTGGGAGAGGGGCAGGCTAGCAGAGATTCTTTTGAGGAATTGGGAGCGGGCAGGCTAGCAGAGATTCTTTGAGGAATTGGGAGAGGGCAGGCTAGCAGAGATTCTTTGAGGAATTGGGAGAGGGCAGGCTAGCAGAGATTCTTTGAGGAATTGGGAGAGGGGCAGGCTAGCAGAGATTCTTTGAGGAATTGTGAGAGGGCAGGCTAGCAGAGATTCTTTGAGGAATTGTGAGAGGGCAAGCTAGCAGAGATTCTTTGAGGAATTGTGAGAGGGCAGGCTAGCAGAGATTCTTTGAGGAATTGGGAGAGGGCAGGCTAGCAGAGATTCTTTGAGGAATTGGGAGCGGGCAGGCTAGCAGAGATTCTTTGAGGAATTGTGAGAGGGCAGGCTAGCAGAGATTCTTTGAGGAATTGGGAGAGGGCAGGCTAGCAGAGATTCTTTGAGGAATTGGGAGAGGGCAGGCTAGCAGAGATTCTTTGAGGAATTGGGAGCGGGCAGGCTAGCAGAGATTCTTTGAGGAATTGGGAGCGGGCAGGCTAGCAGAGATTCTTTGAGGAATTGTGAGAGGGCAGGCTAGCAGAGATTCTTTGAGGAATTGTGAGAGGGCAAGCTAGCAGAGATTCTTTGAGGAATTGGGAGCGGGCAGGCTAGCAGAGATTCTTTGAGGAATTGGGAGAGGGCAGGCTAGCAGAGATTCTTTGAGGAATTGGGAGAGGGGCAGGCTAGCAGAGATTCTTTGAGGAATTGGGAGCGGGCAGGCTAGCAGAGATTCTTTGAGGAATTGGGAGAGGGCAGGCTAGCAGAGATTCTTTGAGGAAATGGGAGCGGGCAGGCTAGCAGAGATTCTTTGAGGAATTGTGAGAGGGCAGGCTAGCAGAGATTCTTTGAGGAATTGTGAGAGGGCAGGCTAGCAGAGATTCTTTGAGGAATTGTGAGAGGGCAAGCTAGCAGAGATTCTTTGAGGAATTGTGAGAGGGCAGGCTAGCAGAGATTCTTTGAGGAATTGGGAGAGGGCAGGCTAGCAGAGATTCTTTGAGGAATTGGGAGAGGGCAGGCTAGCAGAGATTCTTTGAGGAATTGGGAGAGGGCAGGCTAGCAGAGATTCTTTGAGGAATTGGGAGAGGGCAGGCTAGCAGAGATTCTTTGAGGAATTGGGAGCGGGCAGGCTAGCAGAGATTCTTTGAGGAATTGTGAGAGGGGCAGGCTAGCAGAGATTCTTTGAGGAATTGGGAGCGGGCAGGCTAGCAGAGATTCTTTGAGGAATTGTGAGAGGGCAGGCTAGCAGAGATTCTTTGAGGAATTGTGAGAGGGCAAGCTAGCAGAGATTCTTTGAGGAATTGGGAGAGGGGCAGGCTAGCAGAGATTCTTTGAGGAATTGGGAGAGGGCAGGCTAGCAGAGATTCTTTGAGGAATTGGGAGAGGGCAGGCTAGCAGAGATTCTTTGAGGAATTGGGAGAGGGCAGGCTAGCAGAGATTCTTTGAGGAATTGGGAGCGGGCAGGCTAGCAGAGATTCTTTTGAGGAATTGTGAGAGGGCAGGCTAGCAGAGATTCTTTGAGGAATTGGGAGCGGGCAGGCTAGCAGAGATTCTTTGAGGAATTGTGAGAGGGCAGGCTAGCAGAGATTCTTTGAGGAATTGTGAGAGGGCAAGCTAGCAGAGATTCTTTGAGGAATTGGGAGCGGGCAGGCTAGCAGAGATTCTTTGAGGAATTGTGAGAGGGCAGGCTAGCAGAGATTCTTTGAGGAACTGTGAGAGGGCAGGCTAGCAGAGATTCTTTGAGGAATTGGGAGCGGGCAGGCTAGCAGAGATTCTTTGAGGAATTGTGAGAGGGCAGGCTAGCAGAGATTCTTTGAGGAATTGTGAGAGGGCAGGCTAGCAGAGATTCTTTGAGGAATTGTGAGAGGGCAAGCTAGCAGAGATTCTTTGAGGAATTGGGAGCGGGCAGGCTAGCAGAGATTCTTTGAGGAATTGGGAGAGGGCAGGCTAGCAGAGATTCTTTGAGGAATTGGGAGAGGGCAGGCTAGCAGAGATTCTTTGAGGAATTGGGAGCGGGCAGGCTAGCAGAGATTCTTTGAGGAATTGGGAGAGGGCAGGCTAGCAGAGATTCTTTGAGGAATTGGGAGAGGGCAGGCTAGCAGAGATTCTTTGAGGAATTGGGAGAGGGCAGGCTAGCAGAGATTCTTTGAGGAATTGTGAGAGGGCAGGCTAGCAGAGATTCTTTGAGGAATTGTGAGAGGGCAAGCTAGCAGAGATTCTTTGAGGAATTGTGAGAGGGCAGGCTAGCAGAGATTCTTTGAGGAATTGGGAGAGGGCAGGCTAGCAGAGATTCTTTGAGGAATTGGGAGCGGGCAGGCTAGCAGAGATTCTTTGAGGAATTGTGAGAGGGCAGGCTAGCAGAGATTCTTTGAGGAATTGGGAGAGGGCAGGCTAGCAGAGATTCTTTGAGGAATTGGGAGAGGGCAGGCTAGCAGAGATTCTTTGAGGAATTGGGAGCGGGCAGGCTAGCAGAGATTCTTTGAGGAATTGGGAGCGGGCAGGCTAGCAGAGATTCTTTGAGGAATTGTGAGAGGGCAGGCTAGCAGAGATTCTTTGAGGAATTGTGAGAGGGCAAGCTAGCAGAGATTCTTTGAGGAATTGGGAGCGGGCAGGCTAGCAGAGAATCTTTGAGGAATTGGGAGAGGGCAGGCTAGCAGAGATTCTTTGAGGAATTGGGAGAGGGCAGGCTAGCAGAGATTCTTTGAGGAATTGGGAGCGGGCAGGCTAGCAGAGATTCTTTGAGGAATTGGGAGAGGGCAGGCTAGCAGAGATTCTTTGAGGAAATGGGAGCGGGCAGGCTAGCAGAGATTCTTTGAGGAATTGTGAGAGGGCAGGCTAGCAGAGATTCTTTGAGGAATTGTGAGAGGGCAGGCTAGCAGAGATTCTTTGAGGAATTGTGAGAGGGCAAGCTAGCAGAGATTCTTTGAGGAATTGTGAGAGGGCAGGCTAGCAGAGATTCTTTGAGGAATTGGGAGAGGGCAGGCTAGCAGAGATTCTTTGAGGAATTGGGAGAGGGCAGGCTAGCAGAGATTCTTTGAGGAATTGGGAGAGGGCAGGCTAGCAGAGATTCTTTGAGGAATTGGGAGAGGGCAGGCTAGCAGAGATTCTTTGAGGAATTGGGAGCGGGCAGGCTAGCAGAGATTCTTTGAGGAATTGTGAGAGGGCAGGCTAGCAGAGATTCTTTGAGGAATTGGGAGAGGGGCAGGCTAGCAGAGATTCTTTGAGGAATTGGGAGCGGGCAGGCTAGCAGAGATTCTTTGAGGAATTGGGAGAGGGCAGGCTAGCAGAGATTCTTTGAGGAATTGGGAGCGGGCAGGCTAGCAGAGATTATTTGAGGAATTGTGAGAGGGCAGGCTAGCAGAGATTCTTTGAGGAATTGTGAGAGGGCAAGCTAGCAGAGATTCTTTGAGGAATTGGGAGCGGGCAGGCTAGCAGAGATTCTTTGAGGAATTGTGAGAGGGCAGGCTAGCAGAGATTCTTTGAGGAATTGGGAGAGGGGCAGGCTAGCAGAGATTCTTTTGAGGAATTGGGAGCGGGCAGGCTAGCAGAGATTCTTTGAGGAATTGTGAGAGGGCAGGCTAGCAGAGATTCTTTGAGGAATTGGGAGAGGGCAAACTAGCAGAGATTCTTTGAGGAATTGGAAGAGGGCAAACTAGCAGAGATTCTTTGAGGAATTGGGAGAGGGCAGGCTAGCAGAGATTCTTTGAGGAATTGGGAGAGGGCAGGCTAGCAGAGATTCTTTGAGGAATTGGGAGAGGGCAGGCTAGCAGAGATTCTTTGAGGAATTGGGAGAGGGCAGGCTGGCAGAGATTCTTTGAGGAATTGGGAGAGGGCAGGCTAGCAGAGATTCTTTGAGGAATTGGGAGAGGGCAGGCTAGCAGAGATTCTTTGAGGAATTGGGAGAGGGCAGGCTAGCAGAGATCCTTTGAGGAATGTCCATTTCAGATCAACGGCGTGCGCGTGGAACTCGCCCAAGTCGAGGGGGCTGTGGAAAAAGTCCGTGGTGTCGATAGTTGCGTTGTGTTGCTGGATGGCCGAAAGAAAATGACGGCTTTTTACACCGGAATATCGATGCAAGCACAGGAGATCGAGGAAAAGGTTAAATTTTTGAAAGTTAAAAAGGTATTAAGGATTTTAAAGGGAACAGGAAGGGAAGTTATACTGAGATTTTCTTTTGGCGCATTAACAGAAAAGCGAACAACGCTTTTTAAAGAGACTGTACTACTTGAAAATTATGCAAATTTAGGTTTCCCGCTGGTTGCCCTATTTCCTGCAACCCACCAGCTACCATCACCTCCAAAAATTCCCCAACACCCGAAACGGGAAAGTCGATCAAGGGAAGCTGCTAGAAATTGCCGAAAATTCCGAATCACTACGCCATGACGCGGTAGACACGGAAATACTCGGAAATATCCTCCAAATCTGGGCAACCATACTCCCAAAAACCGATAGTATCACACCGGAAGCAAACTTTTTCGCCCTGGGCGGAAACTCACTAGTGGCCCTAAAATTGGGGCAGAAGCTGAAGGAAGAGCTCCAAGTGGAGGTCGGGATCCGCGACGTATTCCGCTACGCTACTCCGAACGCCCTAGCGTTGCATGTCGGAAAGTTACGGCCTCTAAAACCTGCCCCAACTACCATAATCCAAGCCCATGATCCCGAGAACCCACTTCCGGCCCCGAAAATCCTTCAAAAACTCGCCAAAACCCTATTAATAAGCCAGGATAGGACTTTGAAAATGGCCTACAATTGCCCGGTGTCGATTCGTCCGAAAACTGCCAAAATCGAGAAATGCCTGCTGGATTTAAGGCATATTTTAATGAAGCATAGAGCACTACGATCGTTCTTCAAAATCACGGATGATTCTACCGTAATCGTGGAGTTCTACAGCGGGACCGAAGCTTATTTTGTGCCCTCAAAAACTGTAGAAACAGCCCTTGAACTTGATTACCATGATGATCTGCTACTGCGAATTTTTGTGGACGAGCAAGACGGCAAAAATTCGCTGATGTTGAACACCTCCCACCTCGTGACGGACGGGATTTCGGCCCAAGTCATTGCTGCCGATTTTGAGGCGTTACAGTACAATACAATCCAGGAAAGTACGGAAGAGTACAAGACATTCCGAAAGGATACGGTAGCCCTGGACGCGTTTTATCGAGATCTGGACTCAAAATGTGGTGAAACCAAACCAAAAACCTTTTTATCAAATCGTATCGGGAACTCCACGAGTTATTGTAGCCAGCCAAAAACCAGATTTACCACCAAGAAACTGGATACGGTAGCTTTAGCCTTAGCAGCTGTCAATAGGAAATCAACCGAATTTTTAGTAATACTCGAAAAACTATGCCAAGCCCTGGGACCGCTAGCCGCCAGCCAAACCCATCCGATTACGATAGCGTATCCAATCAATGCAAGAAGTACCGAATTTTTGGATACGGTAGGGTACGGTATTCGAACTGGAACTGTCACTGTTGACCTGAACACCGTAACCTGGAGAGAAGAGCTGCTGGAGCAGGTTTTAGAAAGTCAATCCCAAGGAGGCGGGGCCGAGAATTCTGGAGTAGTGGACGTGATGCTCGTTTTTGATAACTTTTCCAAGCTCGAGACCAAACATTTCCGGGTGGAGACGCAGATACGGGTGCCGGGGAAATTTCCAATGACGGTGTTTGTGGATACGGTAGCTGGGGAGCTGGAGGCACATTATTGGGAGCACGTCTTTGAGGAGGATGAGGTGGAAGGGTTGCTTAATGGAATTATCGATGATTATGAAGATGTTAAAGCGGAAATTAAGCCCGAAAATTCCGAAGCCAACCTCCTTACGATTGACGGATCGATACATAACCTGAAAAATATTCGAAAATCACTAAAATCACTGTCCCGCCCTATAGAAATCAACCCCATTAATTCGAGCTCCTGGAACTTGACTATATTTGGCCCCGAAATTGACGACATTTGGGAAAAACTGGAATCGATGCTGTGCTTTGAATTGCTGCCGAAAAATGTGGATTTTAAAGACGAGCAACCAATGGCAGAGTGCCAGACCGAATTAAAGGGACTGGGAAGTCACGAAAATCGGGATTTTGAAGCAGTAGAAAGCTCGGAAACTTGCCAAAAACAAGCTAGTGCTTTGAAAAATAGATGCGGAGCAGATTCAGGGTGTTTAAAGGGGCCAGGAAGTTCTGAAGAGCTGAATTTTGACGAATCAGAAGACCTGGCAAACCGCCAAAAACAGGCCATCTGCACCAAACATAGCCTAGAAGCGATTTCTGGTGGTTTAAAGGGGTGTGGAAGCCAAGAAAACCGCGATTTCGAGGAATTAGGGGACTTGGAAAACCGCCAAAAACAAGATAGCGTCCGGAAAATTGGATTAGGATCAACTCCGAGCTGTTTAAAGGAAAGTGGAAGCGTCAAAAATGGCCTAGACACACCCGCTAAACTCGAAGAATCCTTCCTAAAAACCCTTGAAACCTACCAGAATGGGTTCCCTCTCTCCCCGCAACAATCCCAAATGTTCTACCTGGCGCTGACCGACCCGGAAAACTATTATTTAAACCCGTACATCAATCGATTCCCAAAACCGGTGCCCCAGAATTTCTTGACGCACTGCCAGACGGCACTCAACCGAATTGTCGCGGAGCAGGAGATGTTCAGGGCCAATTTTGGGTACGGTAGTCGAGGGCAAGGGATAGAACCCACTCAACAGGTACTGTCGTTGACAGAGTGCTACATGGCGAATAGACCGGAAATGATTGAGGAAAAGCGCCTGGTCAGGGCCTTGAAAGCCAGGCACAGGCGCCGGTATTCCCTGCTAAAAGATGGACCGCTAAAGGTTTTCCTCTTTGAAAGTGATGACTCGATTACCGTACTCCTCCTCATCCACCATATCATTATCGACGCGACCGGGACACAACTGTTTGCCAAGTTGTTCAGGTATGATGTTTTGGATAGATTGAAATTGGTATAAAAATGCCGAAATTTGGAGCTTTTGCATTATCCGGGGGATAACGAATTACCGCCATAAAGCCGAATTTCTTAATCCCGAATTTTGATAATCCCGAATTTTCATAGCCTTTTTTTGAATTCTTTTTTCCCTAGCAATTTCATACAATTTCCAGGACCCACCTTGCCGAAGCTCAAAGCGGTTCAACTAGCCAAAAAATACCGACGGCTCCACGACGCTCTTATATCCATTACGCCATCGAAAACCAACATCCACAGCAATTGGACGAAGAATACGTGCAAGAAATCCTGGCTTCACTTCCGGATAGCGAAGCCCTAAGCACCAGGAAAAAGCCCGACGCCTTGACGTCCAACCTTGGGCCCCAAGAACATCTTCTAAAAATTGCCTCCACTTTAAGAACGACCCCCTTCATCATCCTGGTCGCCCTCCTCTATAAAGTGCTCGCAAAAACGAGCCTGAGCTTCGGCATCGTCTCGGCGAACCGACAGCCAGAATATGATAGCGTAATCGGATACTTTTTGAATTATCTGGTCTTGCGTTGTGAGGATGAGAAGGTGAAAAGATTTGAAAAATCAGGCCTACAACGTCTGCAGTCCAAACTACAAACTTTGATCCTGAAAAACCCCGATTTTGTGGCGCTTCAAAAAGCGGTGAGCACGAGAAGTGAGGGCCAGAAGCCGCCTAAGTACCTCTACGACGTTTTTCTGAATTGTCGTTATGAGTTGGAGTCTGAGGAAAGCTTAGAATTGGAGGGGATGGATCGGGGGAGCATGAAAATTGTCGAGCTCAACATTGCACCCATCGACGTTTCAATAGATTTCACGGCCGGACAAGTACAAATTGAGATCTCGTCCTTAATCCCGGAATTCCGAGAGGCTACTATAGCCGGAAATCTACAAAAACAATTTCGGAATTTATACGGAAGGATCAACCCGAAACCCGTCACTTTTAAACCTCAAAAACGAGAATTTCCAGCTCGTAACTTCATCGAAATCTTTGAAAAACAAGTACGGAAAACACCAAAAAACCCGGCTTTTAAAAATGTCCAGGGCAAAGGTATGGAATACCTCGAACTACACCACAAACTACACTCCCTAGCCCTACAACTCAAGAAAAAGTTCCTGGCCGCCACCGGCCGATCCCTACGCCCCGACGATACGATTGCCGTAATTAGGCGCAAATCGGAGGGCGCACTAATGGCGTGCTGGGCCGTGCTTGCCGCCGGGGCATGCTATGTCCCCATTGATGCCGCAAATCCGGAGGCTAGGATCAGGAAAATACTGGAGTCGTCAGGCGCAAAAATTAGCATTGGCGAAAATGCCGGCAATTTCGGGATTCCTGGACTAACCAGCGTGAACCTCGAGCACAAACTACAAATTCGGAGACACGCTTGGAAATCTGGGGCGCAAGAAGATAGCGCTTATATTATTCACACTTCCGGGACGACCGGAGACCCCAAAGGGTCGGTCAATCCGCAGAGCGCCATCTCGAATCTGTGCTGCCAGGCCGCCCGCGAATTTTGGTTGAACCCGAATGACGCCATATTTCAGGTAGATTTAAGGCTTCAAAGGCTAAAAGACCAAGAGTCGAAATGCCGACAGTTACAATGCCGACATGTTAAAATGCCGACAAACTAAATCACATGTAAAAATCTGCCAATCCTAAAGTGTTTCTGTGTCGGCATTTTGGCTTACCGGGCTTAAAGTATTACGGAAATTTTATCGCGCGCAGCGTTTTTCACCCGGAATGTCGATAGGTTAAAAGGCCGACAGCCGACTTTCGACAGGTTAAAATGCCGACAGATGGAATGCCAAGAAAAAACCCGTCTATTTCGAGTGTCGGCGCGCCCGAATTTTTTATCTGTCGGCATTTGCTTTAGCTCGTTTTTCGTTGTCGGCATTTTGGCTATCGGAATGGGGCTATTTGGTTTGTCGGCATTTGGGTTGTCGGGATTGCTGCCGGCATGAAAATAGCTCCTGCTTCATGGAATCTCTGGAAAAGTTTAATGCCGACAAGCCAAAATGCCGACACGGCAACATTTGGAGGAGAAAGGCCTTTGCATATTTGCATAGCCTGTCGGTATTTTGTCTGTCGGCATTTCGGTTGTCGGCTTTTGCTTGGCACGACGCGTACCTGACGTTTTTGTCCTTTCCAGTTCACCAATTTTGTGTACGACAACAGCGTGCTGGAGTACACAATGGCGCTGGCGAACGGGGGGCTTCTGGTCTTTGACGATGCCCCATTTACGCCCAATCGTTTCGGGATCATCCGCCGGAAATATGGCTTGACTTTCGCGCTGTTATTCCCTGGGCTTGTCCAAATGTTTGGCAACGAGCAGCTCGAAGAGCTTCGGGAGTTACGGTAAGTCGTTTAAAGGTATCGGCAAGACATAATAAAATCAATTACAAAATAAATTTTGTTCACTACTAAACAATGAAAAAAAACGAATTTAGATACTGGATCGTCGGGGCGGAAAAGCTACCCCGAGAACTCTTCGCAAAAGCCCTCGAAAACCATATACATATTCTCCAAAATTACGGGCCAACGGAAACAACATGCTTTGCCTTTTTCAAATTTATGAAAGCCGGCGATCACCCAAACAATCTTGGTCGCCCCATCGCTAATGCTGGGTATATGGTGGAGCAAGAGGAGGAACCCGAAGATACCTCCTCTGAAGAACCCAAAGAACTTCTCATCGAAGGCCAAGGCAGGTGCTTTTGCATTTGCGGGGGGGGGGATAGCGGATAATTAAACGGAATAGCGAGAAAAATCAAAAATTTGTAGCATTTGTAATTTTAGACAACGCTAGTCGAAAAAATATCATGTAAAATGAAATGTAAATATCATTTTAGCATGAAGAATTGTAACACGTTGAGGCTAAGGAAAAGTAAAAAAACCTTACTCAAAATTTGCCGCCCCCCGTAAGTACCAAAGTACCCGCCTAGGCCTAATGCGCGGATATATGAACCGTACCACCCAAGAATCATTCCGCTTCCGAGATGGGCGGCGCTACTATGCTTCTGGAGACTTGGTACAATGGCTGCCGACCGGGGAAATCTTGTATCTGAACAGGAAGGATGCGCAGGTATACAAGAAAAACCTTGAAAAATTCGTCTTACCACAAATAATCAACTATAATAATTTTGTACTATTATAATAATCCTGCACTACGAAATTTACCGTAGAATTCGATCATTTTCAGATAAAACTTAATGGACATCGGATTGAACTCGGCGAAATCGAGGCCGCCTTCCTCAAACAGCCCGGCGTTGTGCACTGTCGATGCCTGGTGGTGAAAAATATGATCGCGGCTTTCTATTCGGGTGCTGAGCAGCGGGGTAAGTGGCATAAACGCACAGGTTCACGCGTCGCTTGGCGCCTTGCGTTGCTAACAATCGCGATACGCTTGGCGCCACTGGACGGATGTATTGTCTGCGCGCGTTTCAGCCTCAATTGGCCCAAAAATATGGCCTGATACCTTAAAATAGGAACTAAGAGGTTTTAATATGTAATTTTTAGCTATTAGATATGTTTATAGGTAGTTTAATTAAGTTAGCATCGCGTAGCAGTAAACCTCAGCCTAAGCCTGAGCCGTAAACTAAACCGAAGCCTAAGCTAAGCTCAAGCCTAAGCGAAACGCGCAAATTTCTCTCTTTTCAGATCTCCAAACAAAAATAGCCGCCCTCCTCCCGCGTCACATGCTCCCTCAAACCATTTTCCACCTAAAAACCATGCCCCTAACCCCAAATTGCAAGGTCGACCTCAACGAGCTGCGCCGGTTGGCCAACGAAAAATTTGAAGCCGAAGGGCCCGCTACCACCCCCGATAATATACAAGCACCCACAAAATCTCAACTATCAATTGAAGCCCTTTTAGCCCTCGCTGATAAGTGTCTAAAAAGAACTGGCATCCGCCGGCACCACGACTTTTTCTATGTGGGCGGCAATTCGCTAAATGTTGCCCTATTTTGCGAGGGCATTCGCAGCCAATATTCGGTCGAGCTAAAGCCGGAGATGATCTATGCAAACCCGAAATTTTTGGATATTCTATGTTTAATTGAGTCGAGAATCGGCCCGGTTTTGGAAATAGCTGAACCGGAAGTGAGTCTGACTGAGGAGCTTGAAGCTCAGAAACAGCAGCTTGATGAAAGCTCTATTGCCGAAAGCATGGCCGAAATCTGGGGCAAAGTCGGCGCAAAGTTTGGCGACGGCCAGATGTCATTTTTCGTGGCCGGGGGCAGCTCGTTGAAACTGATCGAGGTGCAGAGGCTGATAAAGGAACATTTTGGGCTTAACGTTCCGATACCGCTGCTTATCCAAAATGGATCCGGGCGCCAAATGATGGATTTGGTGCAAGGGGCCCGGAATAGAGAAACGATCCCCGAGATGGAGGTCGTACAAGTGGCATCAGAAGGATTGGGCGAGGTTTGTCGCTTAATTGGTACTGGACTGTTAGCAGGGGGGACGTTAGCAGGGAAAAATAATTTGTTTTTTTCCCGTATATTACTGTTAATAATGAATAGTCGATTCTTATAATTTTTAGTAATTTTTTATTGCCAAAAAAGCTACAAAAATATTATAAGCATTTTGAAAACTCGAAAACGTTAATCTTTTTTGGCCATTTTTCATGCATTTTGACTAAAACCGAAGCATTTTCTACAATTATTCTAAGCCTTTAGGAGCTTGTATATTAATTTTATATAACAAAATATCTAAAAAGTCATAAAAACGTTTTTAGAAAATTCCGAAAATGAGATCTTGACAATTTACGTCATTTTTTACCGAAAACCAACAATTTTCTAAAACTAACAATTTTCTGTGAACTTTCTGTACTTTAAACTGTGCAAAAAGCTGCATAAATAGTGGATAGGTCTCCCCGCTAACAGTTCAGTACCATTTTTTCCTGTTTAGAAAAGCCCCGTGACGATCGTGTTCTTCCATCCGCTACTCGGCGGTTCCTACATCCCATATCGGCACCTCGCCGAAGAATTGCAACAATTCGGACATCGCATTTTGCTGGTCGCCCACCCGCACACATTTGTCGAGCCTGCCGGTAATAAAAATAACAATGAAAAAATCCGGGTGCTGGTTCATTAGGGGGGGGGGGGAAGCGGGCAGTTTTGCCTATTCCCCTCGATCGAACTATTTTTATAAAAAAGCTGTTTTTGGCTATAGAACGCATTAAAATGACAAAAAAAACACCTGTGTTTTTCAAAATCTGTGAAACACCTATTTTTTACCACAATATCGCATTTTCAAAAGTGGAAGTAAGGTTGTAAGGCGATTTTCATGTGTTTTATTAGTAATCGGAAACTGCTAAAAAGTTTTTCAGGGCTTGAGCTGAATTTTAAATAACATAGAAGGCGTCTCTAAACTTTACAACCACACATTCTATTCTATTAGATGACGAACCGTACGCGGAAACGCTAGAAGAACTGGTGACGAAATACACCGTCGAGCTGTCGGGCAAAACATTTGGACGTCGCGTGCTCATAGGCGCATCCTTCGGGGCCAAACTGGCTTACGAGGTTTGGGGTTTTGTCTTATAAAATCGAGACGTTAAACATAAAGTGGTATTTTAGAGTCTAACTAAATGTAAGGGTTAGAAAGTGGGGTTTGAATAACTCGAAAACTTCCAGTTTTCAACACGTGATAATCTCGACGATACGCTGGTGATCAGCCTTGATGGGTCTGCCGGCGGCCCCGAGGAGCTAGACTTCGAAAGCCACTCGAAACAAATGACGAGCATTTTAAACGATTGGACGGGTTTCCGGTGTTCAGACCAGGTGAGTTGAAAGAAAAGTTTTCTACCAAAAACTGGGCGTTCCTATAGATTTTACTAATTTACAGCACGTTTTATGATATTATCTATTATACCCCCCGCAAAAAGAACAGCACCACATACTACTTCTATTCTCAATTTCCCAGATTCTGCTGCATCGACTAATAGCTTCGTCTTGGGAGCTGCTGGTTATGGCTTCCGAATGGACGCCTGCTGCAAGTACAAAGGTGTGTTTTAAAAAGCACTCTTTTGCCTACGGTAAGCTACGGAACAATACGCGCCTCTCTATGAGTTCAACATGACGCTTTTAGGCGAAAATGCATCTCCTCAGCGTTGATGGAGGAGATTTGGGTTGGCGGAACGTGTTCAACGATAACCCGAATTCTTTCACCATCCAGAAATTGCCTAACGATTTGGACCATCAGAATATGCTCGAAAAAAGTTATGCCGCATACATGGCTGGTCTAATCCAGGCCGCTATTTTGCAATAAATGATTCTCTTCTCGTGAAATTGTAAGCGGCCTTTTTACTACACACATAATTACTTCTCCGTTGCTATAAGTTTTACGGCGCTCGCTAAACAGCAAAGCTGCTTTAGTTTGGTGTTGACACGAAGATTTGTGCCAGCGCTTCTCTTTCGTTTTGTTTCAGCGCTCGCGACGCCAAAATGTCGTCAGTTGCTTTTTGCTTTGTTGCTTTCAGTTTTTGCGCGCTCGCCAGTTTATAAACGTGTATATCGATAATAAAATTTGTTTCAATGCTCCTCCTTCTTTCCTTTTAGGTAGGAGATTCAACGAAGTAACTCGTATAAGCTCACCCAAATCCCAGCCAACGATTTTTTTTTTGTTACGTTCGCTTTAGATAGCTAACGACTTTTTTAAACGTTTATGTCGACAAGTACCTCTGTACCATAGCTTTGTCGCTTTTAGCTCAAAATAAGAAATCCCTCGGATTCATGTTTATTTTGACCAACGCCTCTACCACCCCTTGTTCTGCGTTATTTCGGTTTCCCAGTCTTCGCTGAAACTTTCCATTTATCCAGACAATTCCCTGCTTTCAGTCGATGGCGCCACCGCGCAAGAAGCGCCCCTCGGACGCAACGACTACGCCCAATCGTCGACAAAAGGTACTCCGTGTTTGTTTCACTTACAAATCCTTTGTTTTAGGCAAGCGCCTCCGCCCAAAAGCCCGCGCATGAAGTAATCTGGTTCAAGGACCTGCTTCCACAATTGAAAGTCAACCCACCGGTGGATTATGTTCTACCGGAAGAGTTCAAGAAATTCAAACCCCACCCACCGATGGATTACATTCTACCGGAAGAGTTCAAGAAACCTGGTTCGCTTTTGATATTGATTGGAATGTTCTTAGGTCCGGTGCTTCTGGAGTTTACGCTGGGCCCAGCACCTTCCGCTGTTGCTGTGAAGAAAGGTGCTCGATCTGGAAAGAGGGCTGCTGCCTCAACGGAAGGTAAATTGTGGTTGTTTTTCACATATGGTAAAACAGCTGCCGAGCCCGTCTTCAAAACACCAAGACTGGGGACCAAGAAGAAGAAGAAACGCATTCAAGAATCACGTGAAAAAGCATCCACGGAAGGACCGTCAATTGGCCCCGGTCTACTGGAAGACGAGGAAAACGCGGAAGATGCTTCAGGTTGGGTTTTTGCTTATGACAAAAAATTGCTCTTTAGGAATGTCTGTAGGCGAGCTACTCATAGGTTGTGTGCCGTCTTTGGAGATTGTGCAAGTCGGCCAGCTGCCGCCCCCTGACGTGCTCGAAATGCATAAAGTGAAGCAAGAAGTTGATATGGATGTTTACGACGTTCCCGAAATGCTAGAATTGAAACAAGAAGTTGATATGGATGTTTGCGACATGCCGGCAATGATAGAAGTGAAACAAGAAGTTGATGTGGATGTTTACGACGTGCCAGGTCCGCTTCCGCAAAAATTTTTAACGTGCCTTTAGTCTGGTTTTCCGGGACGGTTTCGCAAGAAGTGGAAGTTGCGGATGCGTCAGAAGATAGCTATGTGGATTTTTACAATCTCGCCCTTGACGTCCTAACCGATCCGGTTAGTTTCTCTCAGCTGTCATTTTGACTGAAACTTGTTTAGGCTTCTTCGCCTCAACCGATCAACGCTGACAACAATAATACCGGTGAGACACCACTTCCGCTTCTATTGTTATTTCTAGCTGAAATCGATGCGTTCCTCAGTGTTGCCTTGGGTTCTGCTCTGCTACCGGTATTTGAAATTTTACGTTAAATAAATTGTTTTTGAGGGCACTTCACAAGGCGGCATACAACCAAAAGCTGAAAGCCTGGATGAGCCGATCGATGTTGATATCCAGGATTTTCTTTCGGTATATTCAGAATTCTTAGAATATCCGCTACTCGGGTCACCTTGTCCGGCTGCACTGGCGATTTCAAAGTCGAATCGGATGAAACGGTTGCCGGTCGAAAACGTGCGAGCAAAGGTCTGGCATTTTAGTGAAAATCCACCTACTTTTCATTTGTAGTAAGGCGCCATAGCATTTCGGAGGAGAGCACGAAGATCGACCAGAAAGTGTCGCTGTCTAACTTGCGCGTGGTAAATCGTTTATTGAATCTTCTTAAATAATGTGCGTAGACCGATCCGCACACTCGTATGCGCATGGAGCGTGAGAAAGCGGCACAGAAGCGGCAAAAACAAATCAGGCGCCATGTGGATTTCGGTACGAAGAAGAACGCAAAGGCCTCAAAACACCCGGATAGCAAGACCAGCGTCGATATCAAGGTATATCAACGTCATGAATTTCAACTGCTGTTTAGCCGCACATTCATCATCATACCGAGACGCCCGATCGCAAGCCGGTGGATCATATCATGGCATTGGGCAAGACACCGTTGGAAAGCGCTTATCGACGGACCCGCACTTATATGGTAAAAACAATGCTGATATTTAGAAATGTTTTTAGCACAACACCCCGGACCCGCTGCCGTTCGAAGAAAAACCACACATTACGCACGACTCTGGAGATACCCAGAAGGCAACGGTACGACCGGGTCTTCCCTGTTGGACTAATTTTGATTCAGAAAGTGATGAAGTCCACAAGTCACCACGGGTCCACACCGCTTGTCGACCGAAGCGTCGATAGCCCAGAAATCACCACCGAGCGTTCGACCTCGAATGAATCTTTCCATCACTCGGATCGTTCGGTCTTGTACTCGCCAAGCTGCCCGACTCCCCCCGACAAGTGCAGAAGCAGCACCTCTCTGCAAGAAGCGTGCTCCTCCGTTGCGACTACGCGGCCACGCGTTGCAATATCAGGTAAATTTTTGATTCTTACGGTTCTTGTTCGGTATCGGTGGACTATATTTTGGCGATTTTCCCTTTGGCCCCGATAACGAACCAGAATAAATTTTACTCCGTTTGCTCTCTTTTTTCGATTCAACTAAAGCTGGCACTGAAAAAAACAGGGCTATCTAGTTCAATCTATGTTTAGAACACCAACTCAATGGCATGGTGAAGAAGGCCAAATCGAAACGCCCGGACCCATCGTAAGATTTGGCTAACTTCGCAAAATGTTTTTTTTAGGGAATCACCACTGGAGTACGCCAACTACCGGCTCAAGCGGATGGGTGAAGCGGTGGTGGCCATAGACGAAGTGATCGAGCAGCTGCACGCCATGGACGAGGCTGACTTCTAGCCCTGTATGGAAAAATTTCACTTGTTCACCACGTTGCATCTCCCAACTCGCCACCTCGCATTTGCATGATCAAAATACCGTTGTAATAACTGGCACTGCGCCCTTTTACGCATGTTAACAATACCGTTGCAATAAATATGTTCGTACCAATGAAAGTGGCCATATTATTTTTCCGAAGCGTTTTGTGCGCTAATTGCAATATTTTTTATGGTTTTTTGACTGGAGAGTTGTTTGGAGCAAGTTTCTGGTAGCCACGTGGCGAAAATTGGGTGGAAGAAAAGACTGACCGCTTTCGCAATGCGCTCATGACCACCAATTCGCAGGAATTCCCCGCTTTTATAGATGTTTTGGAGTTCCGGTGTTGATTCCGCTTTTGTCGTGAGGTGCAATTTTACGATTTTTTTTCAGAAATGGACGATTCTCCTCCCTCCTCCGCTGAGCATCGCATGATCTTCCGCTCGGAGGAGATGAGCCTCGCCCAGCTCTATATACAAAGCGACTCCGCTTACAACTGTGTTGCTGAACTCGGCGAACTTGGACTCTTTCAATTTCGAGACGTGAGTCTGGCTTTTGTGTCGCTAACCCCGAGATTAGTTAAACCCGGATGTGAGCTCTTTCCAACGGAAGTATGTGAAGGAAGTCCGCCGTTGTGACGAGATGGAGCGAAAACTGAGTATGGAGTTTCCTAATTGAGTCATTCAGTTTTCAGGGTTCCTTGAAACCGAAATCCGAAAGGACTACGTGCCAATGTTGGAGGCACGCGATGACTGTCCCGTTCCCGTACCAAAAGAGATGATGGACCTAGAAGTATAAATTTTTATGGTTCTGATAAATCACCTCTTCAGCTCACATTCGACAAGCTGGAGGCCGAGCTGCGTGATGTCATCCGCAATGAAGACACCTTGAAGAAAAATGTCAAGTATGCGTTTTTTGTGATAGTCAATTTTTTTAGTGAACTCACCGAACTGAAGCATGTCCTCCGCAAAGCGCAACTGTTTTTCGAAGAAGTAAGACTACTGATACCGGAAGCTCTAAACCTCTCTAGAATCACGATGACCAAACGGCCGAGGCTACATTGATCCCGCTGGATATATCTCGGGACGCCACAGCAGAACTATCCTTGCTGATGCAGCTCAAGTATGCCAATTTGCTGCGCGCGTTTTACGATTTTTAGCTTTGTGATGGGCGTCATCAGACGAGAACGCTTCCCCGCTTTCGAGCGACTACTCTGGCGTGTTTGCCGCGGCAATGTCCTCATCAGACAAGCGGAACTCGAAGATCCAGGGCAATGTCAGATTACGGTATCTTTCTGACAACGTTCTTATCAATATTTTAGGGCGAAACCATCAGCAACACGGTGTTCATCATTTTCTTCCAAGGTGACCTCCTGAAGCTCAAAATTAAGAAGATTTGCGAGGGGTGAGGTTGAGGATATTTGGTTGTGAATCATTACTTAGATTTACTGCCACGCTTTATCCCTGCCCAAATACGGCCCAAGAAAGACGAGAGATGTCGATTGGCGTGCTGACCCGAATCGAGGATTTGAAGACCGTCCTCGGGCAGACGCAAGATCACCGGCATCGTGTTTTGGTATTTTGTCACTTTTTTAATTTTCAGTTTTTTAGGTGTCCGCTAGCAAAAACGTCCAACTGTGGCTGAAGAAAGTGCGGAAAATGAAGGCCGTCTACCACTCGCTGAACCTTTTCAACTTGGATGGCACACAACGCTGCTTGGTCGCCGAGGGGTGGTGTCCGACGGATGACCTGGACAAGATCCGATTGGCGCTGATCAGGGGAACGGTGAGTAGGCGCCCCGTCGCTCATTTTTGCTTAGGAAGCTTCCGGCTCTCAAGTGCCATCGATTCTACACGTCGTCGACGCCGCCGAAAATCCTCCAACCTACCACAAATCGAACAAGTATACGAAGGGATTCCAGAACATTGTCGATTCCTACGGCATGGCCAGCTATCGGGAAATCAACCCCGGTAGGGAATTTGAGCAGTTTTGAACTTTTTTCATTTTATAGCGCCCTACACGATGATCACCTTCCCTTTCCTGTTCGCCGTCATGTTTGGCGACATGGGCCACGGATTAGTCATGCTCATGGCCGGCCTCTTCTTCGTGCTCTGGGAAAAGCGCTTAATCGCCGCCCAAATAAAGGATGAGGCAAGTTGCGCAATCCCAGCATTAATTTTTTTAGATCTTCACGACATTCTTCAACGGTCGCTACGTCATCCTGTTGATGGGCCTTTTCTCAATCTATACCGGCTTCATCTACAACGATGTCTTTAGGTAAAATTCTCCTGCTTTTTAAGAAAGCTTTTTTAGCAAGTCGATGAACATCCTTAGCAGCTCGGCCTGGAAAAACAGCTACAGCCAGCGCTTCCTGAGGGAACACTTGACTGTTGAGGGGCAGGATCGGCCGTACATGCTGGTGCCGGAGCGGGCCTACAATGTATGAACATTAAACGTTGATGATTTTCTTTTTTAGAACCTCCGCGGGCCTTACCCATATGGCGTGGATCCGGTGTGGAACTTGGCCGAGACCAACAAGGTAATTTTGCACGTTTTATGATTTATTGTCTTTTTTTAGTTATCTTTCCTGAACTCCATGAAGATGAAGGTCTCCGTGATCTTGGGCGTGGCACAAATGGCTTTTGGGCTGCTGCTATCGCTATACAATCATCGGTATGTGTTAAAGCTCGTCGAAACAACATTTGTTTTTAGATATTTCAAATCGGATTTGGATATCAACTTCATGTTCATCCCCCAAGCCCTCTTTCTCGGCTGCATCTTTGTCTATCTGTGCGTCCAGATCATTGCGAAATGGGTGCTGTTTACCGCTGAGGTATCTTTCGCACTGTTCTCGCAAAGCAATTTAGCCCGGCTACATTTTTGGGATTGAGTATCCAGGCGCGAACTGTGCTCCATCGCTTCTCATCGGCCTGATCAATATGTTTATGCAAAAGGTGCGAAGTCCATTTTTGTGCTAATTTTTTTTCTAGCCACGCCCGTCTGGCTTCGATACTCCGGCTTGCTACTTGAATTTCTGGTATCCTGGACAAGTGCGTATTTTTCAGTTTGCTTTATTTTTTTCGAAAACCAGAATGTCGGAATTCATTTTTCGAGATTTCGTTTTGTGGAAGTTCGCCTTGTCGAAATTTCATGTCGCTAACAAGATAAATTTCGGCATTCTGATAATGACGAGCTATCGGAAAGTCAAATTTTTCATGCAAAGGCCCAATTCCAGCGCCCAAGGCCCGCGAAGCGGGTTTTGGGCGCTGGTTCTGATAATGATTTTGAGGTTTGCCTGTTGCTCGATGGCGTACCGTAGCTCTTTATCGGCTCTCGAATTTCAGTCTTTCATCGAATCGCTCTTTCTGAGCATAGCCATTTGCTGCGTTCCCGTGATGCTGCTCGCGAAGCCATATCTACTCTGGAGGGAGGATAGGCTCCGCCGCCAACGAAACCAGTCCAATTTGGTATTGTGAACGGGCTAAAAAGCACTCCCCCCTCCCCGCGCGTAGCCATTCAAAAAACTGTTCGTAAAACATAAAGCCTCATCGAAACGGTCCGCTTCCAGGACAATGTCGAGTTCCACTTGTTGGTGGTGGCCCTCTTCCAAGTGCCAGTGATGCTATTTGTAAAGCCGATTCTGCTCTGGAAGCGCGCCCGAAATTCGAGCCTCGACGCGCCGCTAAACGATGTAATTGACGAAGCCGAGGCAAGCCAATTTTTGGAATTTTGTTTTTGCGGCCCAGCAAAAAAGAAGCGGCGTTACAAGGAAGCCTCACTGGGATAGTTGCCTTGCGTTTTGAATCTTTTCTCCGCGCTTTTAAAAGGAAGGCGGTTGTTTTCATAATTCCGAAATTTTGTCGAATTTTAGCAGAAACAAATCTCTCACGATATGACATTTCGTATAGGAAATTTTGAAAAAATACTGAAATTTCGGTATTTTGAAAATAAACCGGCGGGTCTGGGTTACCTAAAAATCCGTGTTTTCGCAGCAATAATCCTGCTTTTTTAGAGCGTCCGTGTCGATATTCACCAAGAGGACGTCGAGGTGATCCACGCAGAAGAGTTGCCGCCCGGATCAAAAGCCAACCACACGAGCCATGGACACGCCTCATCCGGACCGGTATCGTTTTGGACAACTTCGATTATGCAATTTCAGTTTGACCTGGGCGATGTAATGGTCTACCAGGCGATCCATACAATTGAATTTGTGCTCGGCTGCGTATCGCACACCGCTTCGTACCTCCGATTGTGGGCGTTATCCCTGGCTCATGCGCGTGAGTTTTTTGTTTTGTTTTTGCTATTGGCTTATTTTTGAAATGCCGAAATTACGACCTACTTTTAGAACTTTCCGAGGTGCTCTGGACGATGGTGTTCCGACACGCGTTCGCCTTTGACGGCTACACAGGAGCCGTGCTGACCTACGTGCTGTTCTTTGTCTTCTTCTTCCTCTCCGTCGGCATCCTGGTCCTGATGGAAGGCCTGTCTGCCTTCCTGCACGCGCTTCGTCTGCATTGGTTTGGCTTCCACTTTTTAATTTATCCGATTTTTAGGGTCGAATTCCAATCGAAGTTCTACGGCGGCCACGGCTATCCATTCACCCCATTCCGCTTCCGCAGCGTGCTCGAGGAGGCTCAAAAGGATGACGACCAGTCCTAAGCAATCGCACTCGCACACAGCTCTCTCTCTCTATTTTCTGTATATCCATTGGCTCTTTTCTGAATTTGCACACGTCGCTTCCATGGTAACTGCTTTTGAACGCTGATCTCCAATTATCCTGCTGTTGCTCTCTGTGAATTACCGGTAACCCCCGCTCCATGCGTGCTACTTGTTTCCAGTCCATTGTGCATAAAAATTTATTTAGAAGTTCTTTCAAGTACACTGTCTGTCGCATTTTAACCATATTCAAAGGATCCGCAGTTTCTAGCATTGGGCCAAGACTGCCTGCGTGGAGTTGATCAACTCGTTGTTGTTGTGCTCGTCTTTGGTCTGAAAACGCCTGAAACAGTTGTTAGTTTTGTTTCCGTACCGTCGACTCGGTCAACCGCTTGAAATGGACATTGCAGTAGAGGGTGTTGTTCCGATCGCGCTGCACTTTTTCGATTCTGAAGGTTATATGGCTTTCCGGCGATTCGTAGGCCCAACCTCAACGATTGCTGACAGACGGAGCACCGGAAGCAACGTGTATGGAAGGGGTAGCCGAAACAGTGCGTCATCTCGGCCGGGTACACCGCTTTTTCGCATGCAGCGCAGCGGATTTGCGCAACAGGGGCCCAGCGGGAGAGCTGAAGTTAGTTTAGAAATGAGCTTCTGGATTCTGGGATTGCAATAATAAAAACACGTTGAAAAATGTGGCAACGTAAAACCAATATTTTCTAGTTTTTAATGAAAGTTTATAACGTTTGCGTTTAGAATCATAAAAATCAGTTTAGAAACACATCTCTGATTCATATTAGAAAAGCTGGATGCTAGAAAAAGCCCCCTCCGATAATGCAGGAGAACCGAAATAGAATAATATAAATATGTTGTAGGGGTTTTATCTAAACCCAAAGGTGGAGTAAAATAAATGTCACCAAAACACGTTTTTTTCAATCTTGTTTTTACGTGGTTAAGAAATAGCCGGAAACTGGAATTCGGGTAACCCGATGCTGCTAAAAACTTCCTGTATTCTTCTCAAAGTGCCACCATCACCCACACAAACCACAACGTGAAACTTTATTTATCAAGGGCAAAAAAAACAAGTTTTTGCGTAAAATATGGCGCAATAGATTTTCGCAAAAAGCGGAACCGTCTTCTCGGAGGGTGATTGGGCAAAAAATGTTCGATTGGGGTGGGATGAGCATCGGGGGCGCTTCACGACTAGCACATAATATAATGACTGGGGTGGGTGGCTGGGTGCTTATTTACAAACACGACGATCGGACGATGTGAATGCAATTCGTGGGGGGTTTACAGTGAAATTCTTGAGGTTCTATGCTCAACAAAATTTTAGAAATCCGAGTTTAGGGAAATGGGTATTGGACTGTTAACGGGGGGGATTTCGCTCCAGTAATTTACGGTTTAGCGAAATATAGAGATTTTATAGTAATTTATACGGTTTTTGGAGATAAAAAACGTCAAAGAAGGATAAAATATCGGAAATGTCAAAGCTTTCCGAGTTTTGAAACTTTTACCTCATTTTTGTGCAATTTTCTACCCACGAAAAACTCTAAAAATACGTTATATAAACTTAGCAGGCGGTTATATGCGAAAAAGAAATATTACCCCCCGCTAAAAATCCAGTACCGAAATCGATATCGATATCGAGGAGGAGCGACAAGAAAAACAAATGGCACGGGGTGCTGGGCGTGAAATCATCGGCGTTGTGTGATTTTTTGGTGTGGTGGGTGGGTGAAGTTTAATCCTAAAATTTAAATTATTGTTTTTGATTATTTAGCTCTTTCAGATTTTTCGGTGCTAGCTTCTACCAAAAAAAAACCTACGGTGCCCGTTTTTGTCGGCATCCTCGATTTTTCGGCCTTGCGCGCCTCCTTCTGATGGATCTTCTCCCATTTGGCGGCCATCTTCGACGCGTGCTCCGCCTTCACGCCAATTTCTTCCTTCTCCTATAGGAGTTTTGAAATTTTCGATTTAGAAGTTATAAAAAAGTAAGCTTTTTTAGGAATTTGAAAATTTCTGAGCGCTAACGCATTTTGTGGCGCCTTCTAGGCTAAAAACCCCGACCTCTAGCCGCTCCTTCTCCTCTAGGTCGCGCTCCTCCTGCAGCCGCCGCTGCATCTCTTCACGCTCCCCTAAAAAAATTCCATATTGAAAATTCTGCTTTCCCAGGACTCACTTTTCAACCGCTGGAACTCGACCTCCATCTCGCGCTTCTTCAGCTCCTCCGCTTCGTGCCCGTCTTCTGGGCCCTAAACGCACTTTACCGACATGACCGGCAAGTTCACCTGCTCGAACTGTTGCTTCAGATTCCGTGCCTGCACCCGGATACGGTCGAGCTCGGCTCTAAACCGGGATTAGAATTCTGGCTCGATTTCCCCAACCTCTGCTCGCTGTTGACCGCCTTGCCGCTGTCGTCGCTGATGTTCTTGAACTTGTTCATCAGGTTCTTCACGTCGAACTCCTCGGAGTCCTCGTCGGATTCGGAGGCTAAAGCGAGAGAAGTTTATTTTTTAGGGTGACGGGACTCACCATTTTCGTCGGCACGTCGGTTGACCACCTCGCCGGCGCTGGTCTGCTCCTTCTTGTCCCACTTTGACGGCTCCTAAAATATTTTTATGGAAAAACCATCTAGAAACCCGTCGCTGCTCCTTGGGCGCGATCGGCTGGGCGTTCGTGTCGAGCTGCTGGAACTTGGCGCGCGCCTTGCCCGCCACCTTCACCTCGACGTCGATGGCGCTGGTCGGCCGGCCTGAGGCTACGGTAATTTGGACGCGATTTACGGAACACCGACCTTGTTCTCCTCCCTGGAAAGCCTTGCCCGTGTTGAAGTTGTCGCGAATATTGACGACACCAGCCCCACTGACCGCGTCCGCACCGCCGAGCACATTTTGCTCCTCACCGGAATCCTGAATTTTTAGCTTCTACTTGTCGTCAACTACTGAAATACCGCCATCTGCTGGGCGCGCTTGGTGGCCGCCTTGCGGGCGAGCTTGTAGCGCAGGAATTCGGCTTCGATTTCTTTTTGCTTTTGGTCGGCGCGTTCTTCGGGGGTCATGTTGACGGTACTCTACAAAAAATTTCTCCCTCTCGATGTCTCTCTCGATGTCTCTCTCTCGCTCTCTCACTCTCGCTCTCTCTCTCTCGCTCTCGTTCTCTCTCTCGCTCTCTCTCGCTCTCCACCTACCCTTCCCTTCGCCTCAAAAGCACTCTTCAAATGTCCCAAGCTGATGCCGTCGATCTCGACCTGCGTCTTCTGCACCTCCACATCCCCTTCGCCCTGCTCGAACTTGGCCTTGAAGTTCTTCGCATTGCCTAAGTCACGCGAATCCAGCCACGGTACTCTTCTCCTCACCCGAGATCGGTATATCCTCTTGCTCCCTCTTCGCCGGGCTCGCGCTCTCGAACGCCTTGCCCTCCATGAAGGATCTGCGGGCTTCGGCAGCGGCTTAAAAAAGCGCGGTTAAAACTCGTAAAACGGGACTGACAAGAGGTATTCAACTGGCTGGCATCGTACGACCGCTCGACGACCTTCTCCTCGGGCTCGGTTCTCTCCTTGAAGCGCTCCTTCACGTTGATGCTGCCCTAAAAGATGAGCATGTACTATGATAATAGCGACAACGTGAATTCTGAGTCCACAAAATACCGACAGCCTTAATACAGATTCAATGGAACTGCCTACTTATTTTTAGACGGACAATGTCGGGATTTTAGCTGTCGGTATTTCGGATCCTGCTCCTGCTGCCTACCCTTAATGCGTCGAGATCCTCCTTTTCCTGATTCTCCTGCTGCTCAGCCGTCTCGACCTGCCCGGTCTTCCACTTGTTCTTGATGTCGCCGACCTGGTCGAAGTGCAGCTCCTCGCGCTCGATCTTGTGCTCTTCGGTGGCGCCGGCGGCGAATCTGAGAATGAAAATTCCCTGCTAGCTTGCAAAAAAAATAGTTATATTGCCATTAAAGGGACGGGAATGTGAGGTTTTTTGAACCCATAGCATTTCTGCCTTGCCGGTCCCTTTAATAAAGCTACCCCCCCCCCCCCCCCCAGGTCTCTGGGTCTAGACCAATCGATTAAAATATGCCTATAATAATACATCATTTGGAGCTCCCTATAAAACAACTTCGACCCACCTGCCCAAATTCTCGCGAACTTTCCCGGCGGCAATCTCCTCCTCCACCCCGACGCCTTCTTGTCGGTCTGCTCGGCTTGTCGAACCGAACTCTCCAGCTCTCCCTTCTTCTCCTTCAATGATCGAATCTGCGCCAACTCGTCGCTGATGTCCATCGCGCCGGCTGAAAATCGAATTTTTTAAAGATACATGAAAGGCTCGGCTATGGATTCTCCTATGGCTCTTTCCGCACCGCGAAACGCAACGGGCCTGCCATTTGGCGGCGGTGGTCGTAACCAGTTACGCAAGGGAAGGCGAGCGCGCGCGTTGCGTATTACGGGCACGGCAAAACCTTTGTGGTATAGAAAAAGCACCCACATTTGACGACGTTCTTGTTGACCTTGCGCGGCTTGTTGGTGACGGCGTATTCGTCGTCTCCAGAGTCCGACGCTTCGCCTTCTGAAACGCAAAAAAGAATTTACCAACATTTTCATGGATTTCTGGCTTGAAAATGTGGATTTGCAAAACCGATTTTTCCGAATTTCGCACTCTTAAAAAATCTCTGCTAGCCTGACCAGATTCCGGCCCTACGGAAGCCGCTTCATAGGAGAAGCTCATAAAAAGGTTAGAGAGAGAGAGAGAGAGAGAGAGAGAGAGAGAGATATGGAAAGAGAGCAAGAGAGCGAGAGGGAGAGAGAGAGTGACGGGAGAGAGAACGAGAGATAGCCAATAAGAGTGAGGGACGGAGAGAGGCTGAGAGTAGCGTAATGAGAGAGAAAAAGAAGGAAAGAAAGAGTGAGTAAGAGAAATCGCGAGTAAGGGAGCAAGAGCTGATTTTTTCTATACTTTTTCAGAAAATTTTCTTATTTATAAGAGAGAGGCCTAGCATACAGGGCAGAAATTTCGGTAATATGAGTAATTCAAAGGACTTCCAAGGACAGACAATTGATGATCCGTTTGAAGTGGGGGGGGGGGAGGGGGTGTCGATTCCGAAGAAGGAGAAATGGTGGGCGGGAGAAATGGTGAAAGTGCAAATGGTGGAAGGGAGGGAGAAGGAACCCCTGGGGGAAGGTGATCCCATCAAATTTGGCATATTCTCCTTTGAACGCCCGGATATTTGGGTCAGTAGCCTCCGACAGGGGGAGGCTATATCCAGCCGCCAAATACACAAGGGGAAAGCGATCGCATCGAATTTTTAAAGGGGTTGGGAAGGAAAAATGGGAATTGGGAACTGAGAACTACGATACGAGGCATGCTAGCAGAGACTATCAGAGATCATTGATGAAACCCTTAACAAAATTTCTAAAGGGACCAGGAAGACAGTGATCATCGCGCATTTTCACATTTTAGCAAAGACCTTTGTGGAAATAGAAAATTCTCGTTTTTTCTTGACTTCTGGCCCAAGGCTTTTAGATTCAGGGCAATCGAGCAGGGACCATTTGCGGAAACCAACCATCAGAATCGAGGTTGTCAGGCGCTACGGTAGCTCCAGGATGCAGCGCCTCCCAGAGATGGCCCTTGCAGAAAAGCTGTCCCTCGTGCGAGCCGTAGTTTGTAGCCCTGAATTTGATTTTTAAAGGAATCTGGAAGCAAAACTTGACTAAAAAATGAGGCTGAGAACTACGGCTAGAACTACATAAACCTACAGCAGCTTCTTGTTGCACTTGACACAACGGAAGCAGTTCTTGTGATAAATCGTTCGATTCGCCACCATCCGCTCGACTGGGTACACGATTTTGCCGCACAGGCCACAATCGCGAGGACCGTCGTCCAGTTGGAGCTCGCCCTGTAGAAGCAGTTGATTTAATAGCGTAATCGGTTAGCTTACCCCGTGGAAAGCGTTGAGCACCCTTTTCCGGTCGGCGTCGGACCGTGTGAACTCGACCTTCTCCTTCTGTACACCATTATCGTCACCGCCCTTCTCGAATCTGGAAAATTCGCTTTTACAGGGACGCGGAAGGCATGATTGTTTATGGATTGGGATCAGCTATCCAAATAACCCAAAAATTCCGATACTTGCCTATTAACAGCGCTGGCCAGCCCGTCCTTCCCCAACCCAATCTGCTGCTTGTCCATCGCCTTCAGCTTCTCCTCCAAATTCTCATCAAGCAGACTGTCCAGCCGCTCGAATCTGTCCTTGAACTTGGAGTAGTTTTCCTGAAATTTTCGCGTAGCTTGAACTCGCATTTTCAGAGCGTTAGATTCGGTTTTTTCGCCCAATCCAGAGCTTTTTTTGCCTGAAAGCGCAAAACTCTACCTTAGACGCCTTGGCCAGCCTGGACTTCTCCTCCTCCCTCTCGGCCTTTTCTCGCGCTGCCATCTCGGCGTTCTCGCTCACCGAAAGCTGCCCCGTTTCGAAGCCCTAAAAGTGATTTTTGGACGTTTCAGCCGGCACTATGTATTTAGTGCAATCGATCCTCAGCTGACCTGCTTGATGTTCTTGGCCTCATTTTTGGCCTTCAACTCGGCAATTTCCTTCTGCCGCTCCTCGTCTTTCTCCGAAGACTTTTGTTCGGTGAGTGCCGTTTTCTAAAGGGTGGCAGTTTTTAAAGGGGGGCGAGAGTGAGAGACAGAGAGAGAGAGAGAGAGACAGAGAGAGAGACGGAGAGTGAGAGAGACAGAGACAGAGTGAGAGAGTGCTTCTGAACAGCTTCACCCTTACCAGCTGATTCAGCTGCCCGCTCCTCTCGCCGATCTGGATCTTTGGCGGTGGCTTCCGCTCTTCGGACTCTGAGTCCGAGCTGACGGCATACGGGTCCTCGGTGTCTGACATCGCTTGTGTAAAGCCCTAAAAATTGGTCATGATATCGTACTCAACAGCAACAAGTACAATCGCTTTTAGGAGCAGAATTGGCTTTGTAGCCAACGAGAAAATTGAAAAAAAAAACGCAAAATATAGCCACTTCACAAAAATCTTTTTTGGCATGAAGATGGATTTCTGGAAAAATGCGAGTTTACATGGCGTAATCAGTGGGTCCAGAAAACCGAAAATGCTCCAAAAACCGTCAAAAAAATTGGAAATAAATTTAGAAACAGAAACTTCGGAAAAATTGCATTTTCTAAAAAAATTTCTGATAACTCGAAAAATAGCCCATTCGTTCTGAGTTCTAAGTAAATTAATTAACAAAGTCTCGTCAATTTTTAAAATCTGTGGGTATGAAAAAGCAAATAAAAACTACGACCTGGAACACAACAAAAACCCCGTTATCAATGTTGAGCAGGGAAAAGCTGCCCGATTTTTGTGTTCCATCCGGTGGGTATTGGCGCACAACAAGAACAGCTGTTGCTCCTTGATGGCCTCCAGCCCCAGGGAGGGGGAGGGCGTTTGTAAATTGGGCACTTGTGAAATTGGGCTCAAGCCCGGGGGCTGACTAATCGATTGGGAAATCGAAGGAAAGTTTGTGCTATTAAAGGGACCGGCAAGGGATGACGATATATAGTCGCACGCAACGCGCACGCCGGGCGTCAAATCCACAGTCAAAATATCAAGACCACGCCCGACCTTTCCCTTTAAAAATACAAACTGCGTGAGCACGAGCTCACATCAGCCAAATCGATGGGTTCAGAAGGCAAAAAACCTAATTTTACTTCAGAAATTTTTTTGATTCTCTGGGTAACCTAGCAGACAGCATTGGGGAACAAGAATTTGGCAGAATTTGACAAACGCGCTACGCAATGTTTCTCGAAACGTCACTAACAACAAATGCTCCGTAAAGAAAAAATTAGAAGGTTGGGGAACGCGATGAAAACACCGAAAAAATGTGATTTTCTTCCGGTAATGATCAAAACTGGGAAAACTGGACAGATAATGCATTTATTATTTACGGATCAATAAAGTTCATTAGCCGATGTACATTTTTTCAGGTTAAAATTTGGAAAATCTTTAAAGCGAACATCGGAGGATCGAAAAAATTTAAGTTACGCATTCCCAAATTCACCAATTTTAACTTGAAAATAAAGAAATTATGAAAAGCCAAGTGATAGAGATTTTTGACAGCTGAATTTTATAAATTGTTCAAAAATCGGGGTATTTCGATGGATTCGTCGCAAATTCAGCGACGTCCGCCTACTCAGTGCGCCAAAATTCTGACGGATTCCCAGCGCCTAAAAATCCATAACCCTGTCTTGCCGATCCCTTTAAAGGCATAGAGACATCTCAGAAAAAGAAATCCATCACATGAGATCAGCCCGGCAAATCCATTTGGAATTTGAAGTCTCTTCGAGAGGCCCAGCTGGGCCATTCGGGCCACAGTCTCTTCTCGTGTACTCGAGTTGACAGACGACGATCGTCTATTTGCACCCCATCCCTCTCTGCCCCCTCTCCATTTTGCGCACTCTCCCCCCTACCTTGGTCTTTGTTTGAGGCTTCTGGTTGGATTGCAGGGCGCTTCTTCATCGTCTGCTCCCCCCGAGATTTGTCACCCACACTCTTTGCTATTTCTTGCCCTCTCGCACCCCCCCGCCACCCCCGCTTCAACAATCTCTTCGGAAGCACCGGCTCTGTCTCTCTCTCTCTCTCGCTCTCTCTCTCTCTCTCTCTCTCTCTCGCACTATCTCCCTTTTTCCATACAGTTCTTTCTGAGAAACCGGTTCCCTCCCACTTCAGATACAGCAATTAAAGGACAGCTCATGTTTCTGGTAGACAAATTTGGGGATCCTTGTACTTGATCTGGGCAGGCTAGCAGAGATTCTTTGAGGAATTGGGAGTGGGCAGGCTGGCAGAAATTCTTGGGGGAAGAGGAGCCAGTTCCCCAAGGTTATAAAAAATTTCACAGACGTATAGCCGGGTAAAAAAAGAATCGAGAATTCGGAATGGAGGTGATGATGCATCGAGGATAGAGATAGAGGGGGAGGAGCGGGTTTTCGAAATAATGGGCCCTCAAGGCACACACATACCACCCAGGTGCCGTCGATTGGGGTGTAACGGTCAGATAGGCAGAGAGAGAGAGAGAGAGAGAGAGAGAGAGAGAGAGAGTGAGAGAGAGTGAGAGACGGATGGATACGCTTGTTGTGGGCACGAGTATAGAGGAGGGTTCGAACCCCGGGGACTAGTGAGTATAAAGGGGGGAGCCAGGGAAGGGGGAAGGGTGTAAGGGGGCGCCGTGGGCATTACAGCAGCACAAACGGACAGACAAATAGAAAAAGAGAGAGCGAGAGAGAGAGAGAGAGAGAGAGAAGCGCAGAAACCAGTGAGTTGTATAAGCGAAGAAAATTACATGAATTTAAACAGACTTTTAGAATGTTCGGTGTTTAATGCATGCCGTTACCGCTGAGCTCCGCACTGATGCAAGCCTCGACTTGGTTTTCGTTTTGCGAAGCGAAAAAATTAGAGGAAGCCCATCGCCAAACCGTTTCGCTCCTTGAAAGGGACGGAAATCGTGAAGTCAACCCTAGCGAAAGGAAGAACACCAGGCAAGAGAAAAGGCAGAGAGAGAGAGAGCGAGCGAGAGATAGAGAGAACCAAATCTACGACCAGCCGTTCGTAAATCCGCGTCTTTCTGCTTCTTCTCTGCCCCCGGGCGGCCCAGATGGAATGTTTCACGTGTCTCTGCCCGCAGAACCAGAAACATCCACCGGCTATGCCAACATATTGCAGATGCAGATCCGGGATTCCGGGCGCGGTTTTGAAGGGACCGAGAAGGTAGAGCCTATTTTATAGGTACTGTAGTTTGCGTATCACCGTAATTCGGAAGGGGTCGTACTCAAGAAGGTGCGAGAAATTTAATGAGAAATTTTGAGAAATTTTGCTTATGCAATTAGCATCTTGACTCTCCGGATGTTTGCCAGAGGGTTGGACCCGGAAATGTTTGAGGGCATTTTTCGATGGCTGAAGCGGCTGAACCGGTTTGCGCATCCGATCGGCTACCCGCCGCCGGGGATGTCATCGTCAGCGGGCAGGCGAGGTACAGTTCAGATAACGCTAGTGTAATCGTTCAAAAAATGTCTATAAACCGACGTCATGTAAAAAAGGTGGAAAACAGAGATGCTTTATGCAAATTGCAAACCCAAATCCGGTTTTATGTAATTGACATGGGCTTTTCTGATTCGCTTATTTTTTTAAAGAAATTGGCAAGGCATTTCTGCTTTTTTTGCTATGGATTTTCACGATCCCCAACACTACGTTCATCAAGAATCTGTTCAGCTACCGCCTGGACACGGTGATCGGTGACGGCGGCTACGGCCAGGTGTTTATGGCCAGCGAGGGTGGCAAGTGAGGCTTCGTTCTCTCTCTCTACCTCTACCTCTACCTCTACTTCGGGAAAATTGTCGTATCCGGTCACTAAACCGATTTTGGATTTTTATATGTCAAAATGCTCAGCAGGTCGAGCTGATTACAGATCAGTTGAAAAAAACTTTTGGGAAACACTTCTAGCTCGAGATATGAAGCTTCAAAGTTGGCAACTGAAGTATCCGGTCACTAAACGGATTTTGGGTTTTTATATGCCAAAATGCTCAGCAAGTCGAGCTGATTACAGATCAGTTGAAAAAACTTTTCGGAAACAGTGCATTCGCGAGATATCTGTGTTAAAATGCCGTCCAATAACCAGAAATATTTGAAACTGAGGTGGGGCAATCGAGTACGTATGGCAACACATTGCGGAAATCGGAATGAGTACAGGGTGGAACAGCCGGCCGATAGGTTTTTTTGCTTGTTTTTTCAAATTCCTTGTCATTATCCCATCTCAAAATGAAGCTGATCGAACTACAGAAGATTTGCGACAATCCAAGAAGCCTTTTGGAAAACCTACGACTTTGGGGCTTTATTCAGGCAAGGTGGGCCGTCGCTTCGGATGGGCTGCCGCTCCACTCTTCCGAAATGGGGGCGCCCCCGGCCGCTTCGCCGGCCTTGGCGCCCCCATTTCGAAACCCTGTACGAGCTCGCGCCCATCCGAAGCGACTAGGCCCCGGGTGGCACGAAGCCTTATTTTTAGGCTCAAATTGGGTTGTAGAGTAAGCTTGTATCGAGCACATACCCATCTTTAGCAAAGCTACCCGGGACGGGGTAAAGCCCAACTTTTAAGTGTCATATCTCGCGAATGCACTGTTTCCGAAAAGTTTTTTCAACTGATCTGTAATCAGCTCGACTTGCTGAGCATTTTGGCATATAAAAACCCAAAATCCGTTTAGTGACCGGATACTTCAGTTGCCAACTTTGAAGCTTCATATCTCGAGCTAGAAGTGTTTCCCAAAAGTTTTTTCAACTGATCTGTAATCAGCTCGACCTGCTGAGCATTTTGACATATAAAAATCCAAAATCGGTTTAGTGACCGGATACGACAATTTAGCCTCTACTTCTACCTCTACCCTTGCCTTTAGAAAGTTCGCCGTCAAGTGCGAGAAGTACAGCCGGTCGATGCTGCGCATCGAGTGCAACGTGTTGCGCGAGCTGAACGCCGCCAAGTGCAAGCATATCTGCGAGATGTTCGCCTATGTGAGCGGTTTTACCGATGACTACGCGTATCTCTCTTCAGGGCTCGCTGCGCAAGGAGTACGTGTTCGTGGCGATGACGCTGCTCGGCCGCGACCTGCACCGCCTTCGCTCCGAGATGCGCGAGCGGCGCTTCACGCGCCCCACCGCACTTCGCGTCGGCCGACAGTCGCTCCAGGTACCCCGGGAATAATCAGATCTCGGCCGGGGAATGTTGGCTAGGACAGATGAGAAAAGTTCATCTACAACCTCACCTCTTCCAGGCCATCGAGGAAATCCACAACGTGGGCTTCTTGTCGCGCGACATCAAGCCGGGCAACTTCGCGCCCGGCATCCGCGACAACAACCAGCACCGCACCATCTTCCTCTACGACTTTGGCCTAGCCCGCAAGTACGTCGACGCCAACAACAACGTCATCGGGTCGCGCGGAGAGGTCGGCTGGCGCGGCACCACGCGTTATGGCAGTCTTTTTGTGGGTTATTTTGGGTGCCGGCCCCTTTACGCGCGCTGCGCCTGCACTGCCCACGCCAGGCTTGAAACACTGCCGATTCAGGCCCACCAGCGCCTCGACCTGTCGCGCCGTGATGACGTCGAGTCGTGGTTCTACATGCTCGTCGAGCTCACCATCGGCGCCCTCCCGTGGCGCGCTATCTCAGGTATGCTCAAGGGTTCTCCCTCGCAATTTACATACCTAAACTTCCAGACCGCCACGCCGTCCACACGTCCAAGCTCGCGGCGCGCACCGACATCACCTGGCTGAACGGATGTCCCGAGGTTTGCAGCAAGTATTGCAATGCAAGCTCCGTGTCTCCAGCAATACACCACGATGATGAGGCTGATCGACGCCGTCGACTTCCTGTCGGCGCCCCCATATGAGCAGCTCCTGAAGTTGATCGAGGAGGTGGGCTTGAAGCTAAGCCTACGCCTAAAGCCGAAGCTCTTAAGCCTAAGCCAAGTCTAAAGCTAATCCTAAGTTCTTCATGCTCTTTCCAGGCTTGCCAGCAGGCCGGCGTCAAGGGCAAGGACCGCTGGGATTGGGACGACGAGAACGCCACCAATACGCCCACCATCAGCAAGCTGGACAGCAAGTCCGAGCGCGAGCAGGTTAGGCTTGAGTTGACCGTGGCCTCACCGTACCCCGAGCTGCCCGTCATGGAATCTGACGGAACTGACCGGTCTATCAGCCCCGTTATCACCCATTTTTTCAGAAGTGCAACCGCGACGCCTCGCAGTAGATGACCAACCCGCCCGCCCGCCACGCACACACACAACCAACTCGAATTAAACGAAACAGCGAAAATACACCCCGACCCCCGCCCACGCCGCCCGATTGGGGAATTGTTCGTCGCCATTAAGCAAAATGTTATATAAACGTATTCGGTATTTTGTGTGTCAATACACTGGATCAACCTCGCGCTCTCTCTCTCTCTCTATCTCTCTCTCCCTCTCGCTTCCTCTTGCTCGTCTCCGCCTCATTTACAGCCTATGGCTTTTTGTCGATGTCAAAATAAATGAAAGTATGAAGCAGAAGAACAGACAAAGTGGCTAGGCAAAGCGAGAGAGCGAGAGAGACAGAGAGAGAGAGATAGTGAGTGAGAGCGAGGAAGAGCTATAGGGAGAGAGAGAGAGAGCGAGAAAGAGCGAACAGAGAGAACGGAAGAGCAAGAGCTTCCAACTGTGTGTTATTTTTGTGTTCCCTTATATTTATTAAACTTTTTAACTGCCAGACGTCTCAAAAATCCGATTGCACATCGAACTTCTGCGTGTGGAAGACGCAAGCGGCGTACGTGTCCTCCGGCGCGCACACCGTCTCGATTGACCGCAGCAGCGTTTTCTAAATTTAAATTTGAATCCAATTTTCACTTTAAATTCAATTCTAAATTTCCATTCGAGTGTTGAATTCGGAAATCAAGGTAGTTAGCATACCTTTGGGCACCTATAAAAAGCCCGGGCGGCAATCATCCGTTTACATTCTCTATATTCACTTTTCCTAATCCCCGGTTCGGAAACCGTTTCTAATTGTACGCGGTAAGTTGGTGTTTTTGAAGGTTCCAGTAGACGACCATCGATTTATAGATGTTCATCGAAATTGAAGAGACTGTCTGCTTCCTGTCCAGCTACCTGTACGGCAAGATCCCGAGGAGGTACGCTGGTGTACACACCAGTACAAATTACACTGCTCTTCTACAGCCGCGTCGACGTGTTCTGCGAGAAGTTGGCCAACGGCCTCGCCGAGCGCATTTACGACGCCTCCGGGCAGCCGTGCAGCACGTTCAGGTTCGCCCCCAACCACCCCCCAAAACCTTGCTCATCTCCAGCCTGGTCGTGAAGCAGAAGGGCGGCGCTGACCGCATCGTCGTCGAGGCGGTGCAGGAGGCGTACCTCAAGTTCGCCCTGGTCTACGACCTCCTCCCCGAGCTGTCGATGGAGCTGGCCCAGGGGTCGGTGCTGGCCGTGTTCGCCGACCCGCAGCCCACCAAGCAGATCTATCCGCTCGACAACTTTCACGAGCCCATCCTCCCCCATCCCGTTGAGCAGCACCAGCAACAACAGCATCCGAAGGACATGGCCGCCCACTCACCACCCACCCCCGCTCGCCCCAAGTTCCATATCGAGTTCTCGGTGACGCCCGGGATGGAGAAGGACGCCAACGCCAACCCCCGCCCGTCTTTTGAGGTGGGAATGGTCGAACATCCGGTTCATCGGCCCCATTTAGGTGCAGGGCGAAGAGCAGCTGTACACCGCGCAGGCGTTCGCCGCCACTCGCTTCGGCAGCACCAAGTTGAAGACGTACCAGGAGGCCGGGGACGCGATGCAGTCGCGTTTTGGCGGCGGCTCGTCTCCTAGCCCCGACTACGGCTCGCACCCGTTTACCATGCCCTCGTTGTACGCCTATTTGAGGCTTCTCGTGGGTGTTGGGCTACGATGTACACCTACAGACGTGTTGTAGTCTTTCCTGAACGCGGCCGCGTGCGTGGCCGGCCGGCCGGAGAAGCGCGACGTGGGAGAGTGCCCGCCCAGGAGCCCCAGCCTTCACACCGCCGCCTCGCACTCGAGCATCAGCCAGGTAGACGATAGAGCCAAGAAGCCGACTCCAAAACTTGCAGCTCTCCTCGGTGACTGGCGTCACGGACAACAGCTCGGACCTGTCCGGCGAACCGGAAGCCCTCACCGATCAGCTGCTGAAATGCGAGCTGCAGCACGACTCGGGCGCCTACACGGGCAGCAGCAGTGGTGGGTAGCCCTCATCAATCCATTAGCCCGAAGCGTTGACGCACTTTTTAGTCGCCTCGTCGGTCGATTCGGTCCGCGCCCCCGAGCAGCACACGGCACACATCCGCGCCGCCAGCCACTGATCCATCTCGACATCTTCTAGCCCAACACAAGAACATCCCCTCCCGAAAACCCCTCACTCACACACCCGCCCTTTTCTTGCTGTATTTTCCTTTGCCCCGTAACACGCTGCAGCACTCATTTTGACCGTTAATAAATCGTGTCCAACTTGACCTTGCGCTACCTTGTACGTCTTGCTCACGAGCTTGTACTCCACCCTGTACTTCTTGCCGACGAGCTTGTGTGCCATCTTGTACGTATTGCTGATGAGGTTGTGTACCATCTTGTACGTCTTGCTCACGAGCTTGGCTTGTCCGGCATCTTGTACGTCTTGCTGATGAGGTTGTGCACCATCTTGTAGGCCTCTGACGAGCATATGTGCTAACTGGCATTCCTTGCTGACCAGCTTGTGCGCCATCTTGTACGTCCGGCTCACGACCTGATTCGCCACCTGCTACGTCTTGCAGGCGAGCTTGTACCCCCGTTAAAAGTCAAATACCGCAACCATTTTGACCGTTAATAAATCGTGTCCAACTTCAATTTGCGCCGCCTTGTACGCCTTGCTCACGAGCTGGCGCCCCCCCTGCTAACAGCCCAGTACCGCCAACGCTTTACACTTTAATAAATTTTATCTAACTCGACGTTTCCCTACCTTGTACGTCTTGCTGACGAGCTTGTTCGCGCGCTGCGTGTGGCACATTTGGTTGCACTTCCTGGACTGCGGCCCGGCGCGGTCCAACACGTGGATGACGGTCGTCATCACCCCCTGGAAAATAGCGATGTCTAAACTACGCCAAATTACTGTTCACCTGTTTCAGGTAACCCCAGTACTCCTCCATCTTCTCGTCGCCCTCCTTTTCGCGCATCTCCTGACGCGACGGGGTGCACATCTACAAATCGTTGCGGCTGATTCATTTTTTGCGATAGACAAACCCGCATCGAAATCGTCTGCCGACCTTGTTTTGTCTCGCACGTCTGTTTGCTCGATGATTGTACGAATCTGAAATTGTCAATTGGGTTTTCGTGTGAGATGAGCCTTACTTCTTGATATCCTTACCCTGCTTCACCGTGTCGCAAACGTTGCAGAATTGGCTGAAAGATGGTTATTTTATCGTCATTTTTGCTTAACGATAATACCATAACGATTACGATATTAGATTTTTACCGTTTACCGGAAGACTCCAGGCCGGCCCCCAACCTGTGTATCTCGTTTCCATGTTGCCCTAAATGCGTGTAAAGTACACCAAAATGTTCGTCAAGGTCTGGCGAGTATTTTGATATACTTTACACACATGTAGACCAACGGCGAGCCGAGGTCGTGCAGTTTAGCCTTTTTAATACTCACCAAGTACTCTTCCCGTCCAACATTTTTCTCAACTGCGAATTGCGACTCTGCGGGCACCAATTCTTCTTTGAAATGTTTGTGCAAATGTCCTTGGTTGCGCCTGAAAAAAGCTCAGCATCGAACTTACCTTCCAAAATGATACCTTTCACCTTCGACTTGCTATCGGTTCTACATGGTAAATTGGTTCCCAGCTGCAGGAATGCCTCAATGTATCTAGGAAATTTAGTTTATAGACTTTCCCCAGAATTACGGATTCTTCAGCGGCCGATTCATTGCGAACGACACTTTCACGTCGTAGCAGCCGGGGAACCGGACTTGTCGCGATTCGCCGTTTGAAATCACGGTTACCTAAACCGAAAATAATTCATAATTAAAATGACGGTGCTACTTCATCGCCATCCGGATCGCCGCTGACAAATTGAAAGTCGACGGCCACGGATCTGAACATAGTTTTAGCGTCAATTGCTTAGAGGTCAATCGTTTTGCGATTTTGGAGCTTTGCGATGAAAGATTCTTGGATAGATCTTGAAAAACTGAGCAAATCTCATGTTTCAAAATTGCTGAAACACTACGGCCTTCGCGAAAATTTGCTCTAAACGGTATTTGTCTCTTTTTATCGAAAACCGTAGCCGCACGGTAGTTTTCTCTTTTTATCGAAAACCGTAGCCGCTCAGCAATTTTTCGAAGATGAAATCTATTTAGAACTTCAAACCCTACCGAATAAGCTGATTGGCTCCCGCGACAAAACTCGAAAAGCAACTGAAAGCTATTTCTTTTTAGACGAACCTCGAATCGACCAGCGCGCTAACGATACCGGGGCAGGGCTGCGTCAAATTCTCGCGCATCGTCAGCTGGACCATCCGTGCCGACGAAACTCCAGCAAAAGCCAGCAATAGCAAAAACATCATGGCTCAAAATTTCCCAAAAAAAAAACCGCGACACTCGCATACGAGGGTGCAGTGTTATTTATAAACGCCTCAAACCCCTTGACCCGATTGTGGCTTGGAACCGGCCCAGCCACTCTCCCTCCCCTCGGATGCTCGCCAAATTCGGGGCTCTAACAACTGTAAGTGTGCTTGAAATGGAACGTGATTCGCCGGGGGGTGAAAGAGATTCATTCGAAGACTACCCAGAGATCAACAAATAACGAAATGACAAGACTATCAATCGCTTTCATAGTGGGCGGGCGGCTTCCACATGCACGCGTCGTCAAAATAGACCTTCTTGATCTGAAAAGGGAGCGTATTTAGTGAACTCTAAAGGAATTATACCTCATTTGTAGAAAGTAATCGAAGGACGAGCGTCTCCGTTCGCTTATCCTTGTCCTCGACGACGGCCGGCTTGCCCCGGTTTTTGCCGCGGACGATCATCACCCGCTCGCCGGCGTTGCGCGGCACCACAGTTTCCACCCATGTTTGCCGGATTTCTGAAAAAATCGTTGCTGGTTCCTTAGCATTTGCTAGAAGAACTAACTTCTTCTAAGGATCCCATTCTTCTTTCTGATTTCGTTTTCTACTTAAAAAATAGTTTAATTCTGTAAAACACTATAGAAAGCTGTATTATTAGATTAATGGGCAGTTCTGTATTTATAGGAAACAAATTATTCCCCCTCCCCCTATAATGAGAAAGAACCTAGTTGCTAAATACGTTCTAGCGTTTAAAAAAGATTAAAAATTAAGGAAGCTGTTAGATGATGATATTAAGAAAATCGCAAATCTTGAAGAACTCACCATAGTGCTGATTCCCAGAATCATCTTCCAAAGTTAGATTTTTAATATCGGCCACGTCGACGACCCGCATCTTCTGGCTCATATACCGTCCTTTTTTATAATCTTCATTGACGAATCGAACGATAAGATCCGGCCGCACCCAGAGCTCTTTAGGGTCAATCTACAAAAAAAAGTTTGTGAAACTACGATAAAATTCAACCTTTGGCACTTCACGATAGTCACGCTCATCTCGCCGCCGGTCCCTTTTATCGGATTCTCGACGATCATCCGTTTGTTCCTTCGCTCGATAGGATTCGCGTTCCGCCTTTAGCCGCTTTGCCTCCTGCTCGTAGTTGGCTTGATCTAAATGAGAAGAATACAAGAAATAAGAAAAAGCACTCACTCAATACATGGGCCTTCGCATCATACTCCTTCTTTGTCACTTTGGCCACCCCGAAAAGTGAGACTCGGACGACGTTCTTGCCAAGAGCCAGCCGGACAAAGCACGAATTGTTGTCATCGTCACGCCCTTCTACCTGAAAATGTACATCGTACATAATCCCAGTCTGAAGCAAATTTAAGGAAATTCTGGGTACTAAAACCTACCATTCCATATTTTCCTATATTTGGCTTGACGGTAATCTTCACCCGTGAACCCTAAAAATACTGATTAGATCGGGTTTCTCGTAATGAATTATACCTTGACAATTTCTCCGGACAGCTCCTCTTCTTCCTCTTTATTCTTTCCCACTGCCGTCTGAGGGGCCGGCGGCTTGGCGCCAAGGCCCAATCCTTTCGGCCGCTGATGGCTGACCTTCATTTTTACAATCTGAAATCGACCTATTATCGAAAGGGGGAAAATCTTCAAACCTGTGGGTTTTTTCCGATGCCCTCCCCATCTTTCCAACCGCATCCTCGCAATATCGCCAACCCGAATGATTCAATAGGTATCTACAAAAAACATTTTCACTCCACTATCTAAAAACTACCGCTGCATAATCCGCGTCTTCTGTCGATTTCTCGTTGGGGTTTACAACAACTGCAATCTCTTCAGTGGTCGTTGTCGTCGTGGTTTCTGTTGTCATCTCGGAAAAGTCCTCTCCGGTCAACAGCACCAATTTAGCGCGATCCTCGTCTGTTATCGTCCCGTTTAGAGCCATTTCCTGAACAAGATTAGACACACAACGCGAACAAAACCTTTAATTTCTGCACCCGCCAATCCGATTCTTTGACTAGAGGGATCACGAATTCTTTCTTCGGCTTTTTCACTTTCACCTCATCCTCGTCCAACCTAAAAATACGTATACAATGTATACAAACAAATATAGCGCCGACAAGTCTATAAAAACCTATAAGAAAATTGAAAACTCACGTGATGACTCCATTTTCCATAGAAAAAAGCTTTCGCTTCGTCGTAACTTCCACTTCATCCTCGCTGTGCTCCGAATCATGATCGATGACGGTGACCGTTTGCTCAATCTAAAAGCTCAGGAGTAAAAAGGTTATAGTTTACCAAAATTACCTTCTGTTCGACCTTCTTCTTAACTCCGAATGAAATTTTCATACCCGTAGTTGGAGCACCGCCCTGAGGGTCCATAGTTGGCCTGGAAAATGTGGAAATAGTAGAAATAAATAAATTATAAGCAATTATAATATTGAAAAACAACAAAAAAACAAGCGAAATGACGTGATGAATCAGCGGCGAGAGCGCAATTCCGAAATGCGGGGTTTCAACAGCCGGCGAGAGGGGCGAGTGCAGGGGCCTTCGAGAGAGACGCAGACGAAAAGTGCAGCCGCGCGAAACGCGCTCAACCTGGCCCACCAAAAAACAGCTGGTATATAAGGCCCCCGTCCGGCCTTGGCCTTGTTCATTCCTATGAACATATACTAAAATTGGAACAATACAGAGAAGATTAGCATGGCCCCTGCGCAAGGATGACACGCAAATTCGTGAAGCGTTCCAAATTTTTTGCGTTTTTTGCTATGCACGCAATTTGAATTCTGAATCCCGGTTTCGTCTCAGGAAGGCGAAGTCTTTGAAAATGCGGCATTTTCACAGCTTGGATTTTTTATAGTTACACTAAACTTGTTAAAGGTAAGCGTGCAGCTTGATTCTTTTATTTGCCTGTTTTCTAGAAAAGCGAATAGCAGTATCATGAGTAACGACGCGCCGTCCCCGGATGAGAAGCAGAGTCTGAGTTTGATGGAGAGCAGCAGTATGGACGTGACGCAGACTCGATCCGGGTATACCTTGCAAACGGAAAGAAACTGTTCGTTCAGATCCCACACCGATCACCCGAGCTTCCTCGTCGACCCGCTGCTATGCGAGCCGGAAAAAGTGGTCGAGGCTTACGGATTTTGGGGAAGGTTGGGTTGCTTCCGTCTGATTTTATCCATTTGCAGATATCAATGGTGGACGGCGATCCAGTGCTGTTCGGTGATGTTCATCTACGCCGCTAACATGCACATCGTGCCGTTCATCAACGATCCGTCGCGGGTTGATTGTCTCTGGCAGGTCGGTTTCTCAAATATAATAAACGCTAAATCAAATGCTTCCTCCAAACCTGGTTGCTTTCAGAACGAGACGAACTCGGTGCTCTACAACGATATGCCGGGATGTGTTTACAGAAAGAACAGGCAGGTGGAGCGGTAGAATCAAACGATATTGTTTAGAAGCCTGGACGCAGAAGAGACACCGAAAGTAGAATTTGTCTGCGGCGAAACGACCGGGACAACGATCCTCGAATACAAGTTTCCATTTTTGTTCTATTAATTTCTAAAACTCCTTCCAGAGACCACCAACCGATCACCTCAAAGATGCACGAATTTGGCCTACATTGCGCGAGCAATTTCGCCAGAGAGGGCGGACAAACGGCCTTCTCAATGGGTAAGCCGTCCAAAACTTTTGAAGAACTGTTTAGGCGCGATGCTTGTCGTCCCGTTGTTTTCCTACTTCGCCGACCATTCCGGCCGCAAGTACACCTTCTTAATTGCCGTCTTTGGAAGGTACCTTGTCCCAGCAGTTAAACGAAAGAACATCTTAGCATCGTCGCCAACTTTTGCTGCGTGATTGCGCCCACCTACTGGTACTTTATCACGCTGCGCTTCATCGTCGGCGCGTTGAGTGATGTTAGTTATTGAATTTCTTTAAAAAAGTATGAGCCGATTCAGTCCTACTACACGATTGGCGCAAACTTTGTCTGCGAGCTGTTCACCGAAGAGCAGCGCTCTTTCGCCGGACTGCTTGGGACAGTGTTTTGGTCACTCGGAATACTCTTTCTCGGCGTACTGACCCAAGTAACCATTTTTTCATTATCAACAACCCAACCCTCTAGTTTGAAACCAACTGGCGACTGCTGTACTTGTGGATGACGCTGCCCTCGCTGATATGCTTTGGGATGATCTTGTAAGCAATTTTCGACATCAATTTCACGACCATCAGTACGCTTCCCGAGTCGCCACACTGGGCCATCCAGCATCACAACCGCGAGCGCATCCGCAACTACATCAGCAGTGCGAACAAGTGCAACCGGAAGAGGCTCGATATGGTCTCCTGTCTTCGCGAAAACCCAGTTGGCACCTCGACCCACTAAAATTCCAGCATTGTTTTTAGAACGAAAAGCACGAAAAGGTAAACATCGTGAAGGCGCTGCTGAAGATGGTGAAGAGTCTACAGATGTGGAAGATTATGATTATTGCCAGTTTAATGAGGTCTGTTAAATACGTAGGAAACATCTGCTTATTTACAGCTTCATGATGAACTTCACCTACTTTGCGATTTCGTTGGAGGCAGTCGACCTTAGCGAAGATCGTTTTACGGCCTATATGTGGAATGGTGTAGCTGATTTGCCAGGTAGACTTATTCGTTCCTTAGATTCATTCTGGGCGCTTAGGCTCGGCTCTGGCCATCCCGTTGCTCCACTTCTTCGGCCGAAAATGGGTGGCCATCGTGAGCGGGCTACTGTGTGGCGTATTCCTCGTCATCGCCCCGTTCTTTGAATGTACGGCTTGGTCCTGTAACAAAATATCACATCTTATAGGGTACGAAAACGGCTGGCTAAAAGTGGCGCTGATCCTGACGTCCAAATTCTGCAACAACATCACCCAGACGCTGATCCCAGTTTGGTTCCCGGAGATGCTGCCAACGAGCATACGGTAATTGCAACACAAAGTTTTGACGTTGGGGTTCAGGCGTTAATCGCTCTATTTTTAGTGTAATCGGTTTCTCCATCATCAATTTCCCGCAATGCATCGGCCAGGTCTTGGCACCATTTTTCCGGCATCTGGTGGGAAAAGGCGCGCATCTTTTAGTCGACGCCCGCTTACTCAGAAATACGATTGGGCGCCAACAAAATACGTGGCTGTCGGCTCGGGATGTATCGCTTGCTCGCTGCTGACGATGCTTCTGAACGACACGAAGGGACAGTGAGTAAAAATGGAACTCGGACGCCCCGCAATCTTTCAGATACATGCCCGGCGATGTGCGTGACGTGGCCCCGACCCAAAATAGCATCACCAGCCGGTCGGCCTCGAACGACAGAAGCCGATCCAACAGCGTCTCTGACAACTAGCTACCAGTACTCGCCAAGTGATAAATTGTATTATTGTATTTGTAATGTATTTTCCCACAAATAAACATATCACCGGAAGCGTTTATTTGAGACCAGAAATTAAGAAATGTACCCATAATTAAAATCGATAAAAATTGCTCTTCTGCGTGTGCAGGTCGACCACCAGCGTGTTGTCCAACGGCAAATATTGATTCGTCGCCAACTTGATAACCTTAAAAAAGGAGTACAGGCGGAAAATGAGGTGTACCTCTTGCGCTGTGATTCCTCCCATCACGGCGGAAGTGGTGTGCAACATGCAGGAACCCATCCTGAAACGCAATCTTGAAATCCAGTCCCCAATCACGTACCTGACGGCTTCATCTAACACTTTTCGCGTCACTTTTTTCTTGGCCATTTGTGCGCACCCGCTCTAAGATAGGACATGAGGGCGGAGAACTAGCAAACCGTCGACTCGTCAATGATCTGCGTCACGCACTCCTCGAGCATTGTGGCGTCTATCGACAGAGGGACGCCGTTCGTACCCGGATTTCTAGGGACAAAATATTGATTCAAGCCGAAGCACTGACCTTTGTTTCGCCGACACAAAGCGATCCACCGCACGCAACATCACGTACCAAATGACGTTGGGCACCTCATGCTCCTCGCAATAGCCATTAGCCAACTCGTCGATGACGGCCTACAAGAACGGGCGTAAATCTTGTGAGAAGCCGCTTACATTCCATCCATCCTCGATGTCGTGCCGAAGTGATGTGCCGGTTTGCAGCCCCAGAAAGTGGGCATTTTTGCAGAATTTCCGGCAACTTTCTGTGGAAATAAAATCTTCGCAACCCCGGGCCTGTTGGATCTAGAAGCAAAATATTGGCTAACGTTAAAGTGGACTTACTCCTTTTGCCAATTCCAGCACAACATTGGCTTCGGCTTCGGATTGCTGCCGGAACGCGTTGACCAGGCGGACATAACTAAAAAATTATAGCCAAGAAATCCACACAAACTTTTCGGAACTGGCCGCCATATCGGGGATCGAATCGGAGAGCGGCAGGTGGCCATGCTGATCCGCGAAGATTTTCAGACTAAAGAAAACACCTCCAAAGAAACGTGTTTGCTTACGCCGAACACATCATCCAGAATGGGTCGGTCGAAGTCGAATTCTGACTGCAGCCGGGATGCTCAAAAATTTTGCTGACAGATTCCGGGACCTAAATCCACATGGAATTGATGTTTCCGGAATTTTTTTTGCTTACCGTAGTCTTGTGCATACACCGATTCACGGCCGCTTTCGCTTGATCAACGTTTTCTTCCGCCAGACCGTCGGAGGGCGAGATTGAATCCAGCAACGACACAATTTTCTTGCGTTCGGCAAAAGATGCAGGGAATGCCTCACGATCACTTTTGCTAAAATTAAAAATCACTCGAATATTACAATCGAGTTACCTTTCCCGGAAAAGCTCCAACGCACGCATCAGCAGAAAAATGTAAGGTGTGTGCTTGAACTGTTCTGTTGTCAATGAGGGGAAATCAATGGATTCGTAAAGCTGCTGCAGGCCGCCGAAAACTTCATCTAATCTAGAGAAAAAATCAACCACACCATAAATGATACCGAAAATCGGGTCGCGGGTCCTCTTTCCGGGAATTGAAAATATGATGCTCTTTGACGGAGATTCGAAGATATCCGATCAAGCCGTATGCCCTAGAAAGAGTTAAAAATGCACTACGATTCATCCTTTAATAAAAACGCGCACGAGAGGGGGCGAAGGGGCTAGGCTACGGGGCGCTCCAATACCCCCTCGCGTAATGCATTGTTAAGCTAAGGGGTGCTATCTTTTCCACTTTCAACTGGCTATAACTTTTTTCTGAGAAGATTTCATAATCTACTTGAGTGTACAACAAAATAGAACAGCTTCTGCTCTATCGTTTGGTCAAGGTTTCATGAAAATCGTACACGGCAATCGGGCGCCCGGTCGGTTTGAAGTTGAAAAAAATGAGGTACCTAAGACAACGGGCATCATAGCGAAGCTAAATGTTTGTCCATAGCGCCTCAATTGCATTTTTTTTGATAAACTATAGACTAGTATCCAATAAAGTCCCTTGACATCTACATCAGGCTGCAATAGAAAGTTAGTTAAAATTTTCAACTGGCTATAATACTTTTTCTTGGCTGTTCTGGAATCTGCTTGAAAGCTAGGAACACAGAACAAACATCGCTCTATCTGCCGCAACCAGTTTTAGAATGTCGTAGCGTTGTGATTTTAACAGCGGTTGATTTGGATATATGCATGAGTCCGCTGTTTTTCTTCATCCATTCTGCGCGAAAGAAAGTGATAGGATGCTTCTTGATTCGTCTAGAGTCATGACATTCCACTAGGAACATTTTCCGCAAAAAAGCAAAACGAAAATGCGGAGGCCTGCGAACCCGGGAACCGAACCCGCGTCCCCTGTCTCGGGGCTGAACCGCCGCCTTAGACCACTACACCACGCGCCGACCACCCCTCCCGTGCGCGCTCTGAAAGGCAGTGAATGGATAAAAAAATTCAAACCGGCAACTGATCAACGGGACTCCAGCACCAAATAGTTCATCGCCAATCATCACCGATCGATCCTCATTCATGTCAGTGAGGACGACGACCGAAAATTTTCCCATTGACAGGATCTCTTGGCCGGTGATCTTGGACAAATCGGCCTCGAATGCACGGACCGTCACGGCGCTGTTTAGTTCCTACATTACAGTTGTTGGCTGGCAAGAAAAACAGAAAACCTGTAGCAAAAAGGCAGCAGCTTTTGCCCGGTTCATTCCAAGCTGGGATGGTTCAAAAAAGAAGTTGGTGCCGAGATCTCGTTCCTATAAAAGAGGTTTGGTAAGACTCCAGATAACCCCCCAGCCGGCACCCAACTTTTGTATCTCGGCTCCCTGTTCATCTACAGGTGTGTAAAGTATACCAAAATGTTTGTCTTGCTCTGGCGAGTATTTTGGTATACTTTACACACCTGTAGATGAACAGGGAGCCGAGATACGGTAGGTGGGGTTCGGCTGGGGGGTTAACTGGAGTTTAGCCAGAGGTTTAGGCAAAATGAAATCAGGCATTACCGTCACGCGATCCCCATCAACGATCACGACCGAACTGACGCCGGCAAGGACGAGCGCCTTGATGGCTTCAGTAGCTAAAATCGAGTTAGCAACAAAATTAGAGGCTTACCGGTCGGATTCGCGCCCAGCACGCAAACGCTCGTCGTCTCGATCGCATTCTGGCCCTCGTCACCCCAAAGTCGCAGCTGACGGTCGTAACGTGCGTCACGCTGACCCGTTTTTTGCATGCTGAAAATAGACATAAAAATAGCATGGACGATAGGAAAGGCAATCTGGATAAAAATCGCGCGTTAAAATGGAAACCCAAAGTTTAAAAAAATCATGACTCTTCAGTGGAATAAAGAATTTCCACAAATCTAAAGTAACGTAAAAATTCACAAAAACAATGAATGATAAATTTTTAAATCTTTCAAAACGTTTTGTTTGAGATTTGTAGTGCTTTCCAAAATTTTAACTTGCGAATTTTTTGAGTGGCGGTACAGCAAAGTACTATGGACGCGCCGCCGGGTCAACCGATTCAAACCGTACATCTGTTTGTGGCTTTGTTGTTTGTTCCTGCACTCATAGATTCTCCAATTTTCAAAACAAAAATTTTGAGCAAACGATAAATGTCGTCGACAATTCGAGGCGGACTCCGGCTCGTCGACAACCAGCAGATCAGCGGTGCATTGGACCGAAAGGCTTCATTAAACAAGGTGGAACATTAACGCCCGGATATAATCTTTATTTAGACCCCATTACCAGTACGGAAGGATTCGAAGAAGGTTGACAATGACGATCTGCGAAAAGAAGTCGCAAAAGTTGACACTGCCGCAATCACAGCTGCGCCTATCGAAAAATTAGTAGGTTAAGTTATTATTATTATTAGTTGTTAGTTATTATTAGTAGTCTCGCGCAAGTTCATTTTTGCCTCAAACTTTCGACAGTTGACGGTTTTTCAGAAAGAATTCGGTTGTCAATCTGATGTGTCGTGTATGAAGGAGTACGGCCCAGTAACTGCCGAAGATCTCACATCTGAAGAACCGTCCACCGCCTACTGGGCAGACTGCGATCGCTCCTACAGCTCCAAAATCGACAAAGAACTCGAACGCTCCATCGATGTACGTTTTTATCCCCTCTTCAAAACGTATGTATTTTAGTTGACAAGTGAACTGCTAAACATCACACACGAGCTGGAGGAGAAGGTCGGGATGTACAGCACGTTGCAAGAGGTGAGGTCGACTTGAGTTGGCATTTATTTTTATTTTTTTAGTTGCTTGATGAAGAATACGATATTATGATCCCTGACGTCGAGGAAGTGCTGGAAGCGGACCCGGAAACGTTTGGTATCGAGCCGCCCGCCCAAATCGAAACAGAACCACGGGAACAATAAGCCATTTGTTGTATCAGTTTGCTGGCGCCGCTCACTACTAAAGACCAAAAATGTTCCAGGCCCGGACACCCTCATTCACATGTCTTTCTTGCCTATTTGTATATTGCCCAAGTTGCATAAATATTCTGCTAGCAAAAGGCTTTGTTTCCGCGTCGAATGCCCGGGTGACGGTTCGCCATGCGATGGGCCTTGTTGGTGTTCTACTTGATCGCCGTGGCGACCAGCCGAAGGTCAACGACGATTTGCATCTTTGATGATGGAGGGGGTAAATCGCCTACATTGGCAGATTAAATATTTTAGGAAACGCCACCGAAAAGTATTGTCGCAACTCGATGTTCTGCGTCTTTGTTATGGAGACTCGGGGTCGCCAGTTAGAGATTTTTCGGGGTTGTGATGAGGACTTCCAACACCGCGTGGGCCAGCACACTTTGGTATATCCTGAAGTATCCAGTATGCCGAGATGAACCACTTGGCCATCGGCGGGCCGATGCCTGGATGTATCGAATCATTGCTCAACCATCATACGACCTATGCCTCGTAGGATTCTTCCGGTGACGGTCATTGTTTCAGGATCGTGTCGTGGAATTTGAGCACTGGAACGGAAACACTCATCCAGCGGGCTTGTTGTCAGGCGCCGAGGCTCCGTTTCTCAAACCGTCCATTGACCTCTTTTTAGGTGCAATATGGATCTACCGATCTGGAATCCCGAACTGTTGCCAGAATTTCGCGCCGATCACGTGCGCAAAACGAAGGAAATGCAGAAAAATTTCGAAGAGGACAGGGTAGAACTTTCGCTAATTGCTGTAACCGACTTAGGTCGAAAGCGTCAGCGTCGAAATCGCGTTTCTGCTCGCCGGCAGCATGTTGATATCGACTATATTGGCCGGCAGCCAGGTCCGTCAATGCCTCAGAAAGCTTCGGCCGGCCGAGTAAGTCGCTTCAAGTCGCTAGTGGATTTATTCTCAGATCTCTGGGCGATGACCTGCACCGCAACTTAATCCCGTCGAAATACTTCTATACTCAGCTGCAACGTCAGAAGGTGGTTTTCCGGTCATTATGGATGGCTAAAATAGGCCAAATCTGCCGTGACCGGAAGGATGAACCTGGAAGGGCTGGCTGAGACGTTGTTCTCCATCGAATATCCACTGAAGAAGCGCAAATCAACGGCGCTAGGCTACGCGAAAAGCAAGGATGTACGCGCTATTCTTATGTACAGACAATGTATCTGATTTAGAAGGGAACCACCACACAACGCCCGGCTACCGTGAAGAACAGCAAGCGTCGCAGCGCGGGCGGCTCCAACAGCAAATCATCCCGGAAATCCTCCAAAAAAGCGATGGTTTCAATAGCTTTGATTCTCATGTGTTATTTCCAGAGGTCTCTGCGCTCCCGCAAGTCCTACAAGAGTAGACGCAGCGTACGCTCGCTCAAGCACAGCGCCGAGTTGACGGTATCGAGGAAGAAAACCAAGCAGTTAGCCGCTCTGTTGCCAGAAGTCACCGGGCTGACCATCAATTTCCAGTAGCCAGACCCACTGGAAAAAAACGTTTTTTAGGGTTTTGACCGGTGCCTTCGCCGAGGAGCCGAATCCGCTGCCGATTGCCAGGGACTATGTTCTGTTCGAATTCGGAGATGCCGTGGCGCGGATACTGGCACATGGCCCCTATATGTTCCCGCACAGCCCACTCGACCTCATCCATTTGCTCAACAAGGCCAGGGTAGGCGAATAAGGCCTATTTTATTTTTTCGTTTAGGACCTCTTTGCCGCTGATCCTGTTTTTATGAGTCTCCCCGGCCCATTAATGATCATCGGCGACCTTCGCGGGCAATACCTTGACTTCCATCGCTGGCTAGATGCAGGCTTTTTGTGCTTTTCCTTCATCAAAGTTTTTTTCAGTTCATTCGATTCGAGGGTGGACGAACGCGGTTTCTCTTCCTCGGCAATGTCGTCGACCAGCGCCACCCTGGCAGTATTGACTGTTTGGCGCTCGTCTGTGCATTAAAGGTATCAAACTCGAAAAATCAACCTGGACTGATTTAGCTGAAATTCCCGCGCTGCGTGTACTACCTCCGCGGCATGAACGAGTCGAGCTCGCTGACGTTGAGCCGACAAAGGTATGTGAAAACAAATCAGAAAATGTAGTCTGCGCAGGTTCAACAGCAACGCCGAGCGCCACCTTCTCGAGCAGGGCATCCGGGAGCTGTTCGGGCAGCTCCCTCTCGTTGCGCTGGTTGAGGGGAAGATTTTGGCGGTTCCGTCCGGAATCTGTCATTTGGTAGGTAGTCAAAGAGAGGTTAAACGCCTCCATATTTTCATACCGCAACTGTTGATTATTCTTGTTTTAGCTAGGCAACAAGGAGAACCTAAAGTCGACGCTGCGGCCATTCGGGCGACGCCTCGGCTACGAGGAGGACCATCCTTTGGCCGAGAAGCTGGCCACAAGCCTTCCCGATCAGGACGTCGGCTGGTACTACCCGGCGCCAGGTTTGCAAGTTTTACAGTTTAAAAAAGTACCTTCCTCCGAATAGGACGCGTCGAATATTACGGCCAAGAAGCGTTGGTCCGCATCTTGCGGTGCTACGGCGCCCAAATGATTGTCCGCTCGAGGAACGTGCTGCCGGTAGTGAAAAAAACCAAAAAGTACAACAACGATTGCAGAGCGGCTTCTACTCGGCGTTTGACGGCCGACTGATGAATATTTGGTAGCCAGGTTCCTCCAGCAAAAACGCCAACTTTTTCAGGTCTGCCACCCATCAGCCGGGCCGCACCGGCGCCATCCTGGCGATCAACGAAAAAGCCACCGAGTGCACCATTTTGCAATTGAAGGGTAATGAAGCAGAAAAAATCCGAAAAAATCTATTCCAGCCACTCTGCTGCAGTCGGATTCCCAGGGCGCCGACCCTTCGAAGCAGTCCGCCCGGCCGGCTTCCACGCGTTGACAGAACGAATGATGTCAAATCCGCCTCGAAAATTATGAATTCGGCTTGTTTTTCGTGTGGATGCTCGTAAATGTTTTGACTGAATGAATAAAGTAAGAATAAAGATTTGCGCTCTGGTTTTTATGTGGTTTTTAACACACTGGGATCGGAAATGGAAAGTATGATCGGTTGCCGGCCCCTTTAGGCCTTTAGATGCTAGCAAGCGCGTGTTCCCTGGGGGAGAACGCGCGTTCCACCGAAACGACGCCAATATTTATCCATTTCATCAACCGTCCTCCCCACGCGACCATGAATTGTCCTATCGACCGGTCCCCAGGGTCCCCACAGCGATGCCGATTTTAATCACACGGGAAAATCGGCGCCCGAGACCCCCATGCGCTTCCCCCACTGTTTTCGGGGGGAAGAGCGAGCGGAGGTGAGGTGAAATACTGGGGAAAAGTGAGAGAAACAGCGTCCGATAGTTAGATACAGTGCGCCGAGACGAGGATGATGATAGATGGGGAGAGGGTGAGAGACGCCAGACGATCCCGCTAGGGCCGAAGACCGATCACCGACCCTCGCCCCCCAACCATGGTTCGGGGGAAGGGGAAGACCGTCCACCGGCCGATGGGCTTTAGCCTTTTGGGTCCTAGGGTAGGGCCCGACGTTTTGGGACATTCTTCTCCACTTCCGGACTCTGTCAGACGTTTTGAGGCTTCATTTTGGGTTTATACACCTGCGCTTCGTCTTTTTCCTGACGTGCTCCGTTCTGAAAATTGCTTAAAGTCCCGCTCTCGTCGACCCCAATTTTCTTTCGTAATATTTTTCTGGTCTTTTGCATTACAGAAAATTCCAAAAATGCCGAATACCATAATCGTCGCAAATCACGAACGCTCATGATAATCTCGAACCACAAAAATCAGCCAGCCAAATTCTTTCGCATTATCGGTGGGGGGGACTAAATTGTGTTCGAAGGATCCAGTAGTTCTAATATCAATAGAGGAAGTGTTTCCAAACTGTTTTTACTATTGCGAAACGTGATAACTTTACAAATTTTTATTGAAAAATCAATGTGAAGAAAGGTAGAAAATACGGAAAGATGGCAAATTTTCGTCCAAATTTCTACTAAAATTTTTACTAAGGGTTTTAAATTGTTTTCCCACTGCAATCGAATGAATTTCTGGACTTATAGGAAAAAGTTGATCCCCCCGTTATTGCATCCTACCTTCTTTGTTGTCATATTTCAACATTTTAAAATTTATTTATCTAGCCTTTCCATTGGAACTTTGCTCGTTTCATTTTTGTTTTCTTTTGCTGACGACCCGAGCAGTGGGAGGAGGGAATTCGTCACAGGGCGCTTGTCATTCCCCAAGCGATTCACTTTGCTATTTCACCGTCAATTTGAGCGGAATATTTTAAAAATGAAATACACTTATGCGGGAATGTATTCCCTTTTCGCACATTTTGCTGCGGATGGAATGATAGGCTTTTCGGTGCCCACGAGGTTGACCTTGGTGCGCGGGCGATTTGCACTCTCAATGTCGCGCCGAGAAAGTGTGATCCTCCAGTGTTGCTATTTGTAAAAAAATCAAACGTCTTAGATGCCGCTATTTCCTTAGTTTCTTTTCTCCTCAAATTTCGACTTGACTTCCGGCTTTCAAGCTTGTTTTCTAAGCAGTACTCTTCTTTTCAGAAGTCCCCAAGACTTCGGACCCACCGCGAAGATGGGGTCCCTCTACCGCTCCGAGGAGATGCGGTTCTGCCAGCTGATCGTCGAGAAGGACGCCGCCTTCTCGGCTGTATCCGAGCTCGGCAAGCTCGGCATCGTCCAGTTCAAGGATGTACGTAATTAGTTTTAAAAGTAATAAACGTTAGAAGTATTTTAAAAGTTTCTAGTTTGTTACCGGGGCGGGGGCAAACTTAAGCCCCTTTATTCCCTTTATTCTCCCACTTTCAAACATTAAAAATCATCAATTTTTGAAAAATTGAATAATTTTGTAAATTTTTTGACGAAAAAGCCAAAATGAATGCTTTTTTATAAATTACCTAAAAAACTTTTTTATCCTAAAAACAGCATAAAAATTGTTTAGGAAGTTTTAATGATAGAGCAGCTACGGGAATATCCAAAAGTTAGCCCCCCCCGCTACTGAACAAGCACCAAAAACTATAGTTTTTTAAAAACTCACTATTTTTTAGCTAAACCCCGACGTAAACTCTTTCCAACGGATGTTCGTGCGTGACATTCGGCGCTACGATGAGCTCGAGCGGAAATTGAGTTCGTTTTCTAAAACATGCCCTTTTTATTGGCTGTTTTAGGATACCTTGAGGGCCAAATCAACAAGGACGGCATTCTGATTGGCGGCAAGTTGAACGATGGCGATTTCACGGTGATGCCCACCGCTGAACTGAACCAGCTGGAGGTCGGTTTTTTTGGGGGTCTTCTACCTCCAAAATGACCGTCCCGAATCGATTACGTTGCGTATTTCCAGGCGACGCTGACGGACCTTGAGCGCGACGTGAAGAACATGCACGAGTCGGACACGACGCTCAAGCGCAACTACCAGGAGCTGCACGAGTGGGAGAACGTGCTCGTCAAGGCCGACGAGTTCTTTGCCGGGGTAGGTGAAAAAATAACATTGAACAATTGGCACTGAAAAATTCGTTGGAGTCCAGAGCTCGAAAAACCCAAATTATTGCCTTGCGAGCTCCTTTAAAGGACGTTTTGCCGGCCATGAAGTAAAATTTCCGCTTCCAGGGCGTCGACGGCGCTGCTCAAGAGGAGTTCCACGTGCAGGAGGAGGGCGCCGATTTTACGCGTGAGAAGGACCCGGTCGAGTGAGTTGAATTTTTTATATTGGAGTGGAATATTAAATCCAGCCTGTAGGGAGCATCGGCTTTGTCTTCCGCGCACCTTTAATCTGGCAGAGCTCGCCCTAAACTCAACCCTATACCTAAAGCTCCGCATAAGCCTAGCCTAAGCCTAAGCCAGAGCCTAGGCCTAAGGCTAAGCCTAAGCCCCAGCCTAAGCTTAAGCATACTTTGCAGGTACGTCGTTGGTGTGATCAAACGCGAGCGTATCCTCGCCTTCGAGCGTATACTGTGGCGCGCCTGCCGTCACACCGCCTACGTTCGCACCTCCGAGATTGACGAGCCGTTCGAGAACCCGGACACGGTAAGTAGTACTGTAGCTCTGAGCATGCGAAAGTCTCGTTGACCAAATTTTCGTGGGAAATAACCTAAATCTAAACTATCTAGTTTCTCGAACCCGAGGAGGCAAAGGTAGTTTATGCTTCTGACTTTGCAACTATTTTTTTAGCTATTGAAAATGGTATATTGCTTAATTGAGGGGTTTTCAGGGCGAGCACGAGCTGAAGAACGTGTTCATCATCTTCTACAAGGGTGATCGTCTACGGACGATTGTTGATAAGGTGGGTGGAAGAGAGGGAAAGAAAGAGAGAGAGACAGAGCGAAAGAGAGAGAGAGAGAGAGACAGAGAGAGAAAACGAGCAAAATTCTACGTTTCTTCTTCCAGGTGTGCGACGGCTTCAAGGCGAAGGTGTTCAAGAACTGCCCGCACACCTCGCGCGATCGCCAGGCAGCCGCCAGCGACGTCCGCGCCCGCATCCAGGTTTTAGGAGACCGGAAAGGATTACTAAATTTATTAGGACATGAAAACCGTCCTCGGCCAAACACGCGAGCACCGCTTCCGCGTCCTCCAAGCCGCCGGAAACAACTACAACCAGTGGCTGAAGCAGGTACTAGTATCTTACCGGTGGGGGGAGGGCGCTTTATCAGAAGGGCTATGGCAATTCACTTCCAAAAATCCATAGCCAAGCCTTGTCAGCCTTCCCTTTAAAATGCAACCTTTCCAGATCCGCATGCAAAAAACCGTCTACCACAACCTCAACCTGTTCACCTACGATGGTATCGGGCGCTTCTTCGTCGCCGAATGCTGGGTCCCCCTCGCCGACATTGACAACGTGCGCGAGGCGCTCGAACGAGGAGTGGTAAGGCGCTTTGTAGTCCCCTGAACACCTCCCTTCCCCAGGAAAAGACCGGCTCCACCGTCAAGCCGGTGCTGAACGTACTCGAGACGCACGAGACTCCGCCCACCTTCAACCGCACCAACAAGTTCACCGCCGTCTTCCAGGGCATCGTCGACTCGTATGGAATTGCTACGTATTTGGAGTTGAACCCGGGTAAGGAATGCAAATCCACGCGAATCCAAGCCTTGCCAACACCTTTAGAATCTCAATTTCAGCCCCGTACACCATTATCACGTTCCCGTTCCTCTTCTCCTGCATGTTCGGCGATCTGGGCCACGGTATTCTGATGGCCCTCTGCGGGTTGTACCTCGTTCTCAAGGAGGAGAAGCTGAAGGACGTCACCGGGGAGGTAAGCCCGATTTTGTAGATGATTTCGGAGCCATAATACACTCGATTTACGACCTAATTCTGTGGCTCCTAAAGGGGCTGTGTCAGAAAGATTTAGCCACGAAATTGATAAATTCCAATTCTATCAAACTTGCAGATCTTCACCATGTTCTTCGGCGGTCGCTACATCATCCTGTTGATGGGCATCTTCTCTATTCACGCCGGTTTCCTCTACAATGACCTGTTCGCCAAGTCGTTCAACATCTTCGGGTCCAGCTGGGTCAACCCGTACAAGTACGTTTTGGAGCGTAGGACGGATATTCCGACGAAGCTGAATCCTAAACCCAAGCTTAAGCCTACACCTAGGCTTAAGCCCAAGCCCAAGCCTAACCCTCATCCAAGTTTCTACGCCAACTTTTCCCTATTAATGCGCCTCAGAATACCGAATTTTCAGCCAAACGGAGATGATGTCCTGGATGCAGACCGAGATCGCCACCGAAAAGGAGATGCTCATCGAGGTGGGCGAGTTTACAGGATCTCCAACCTATTGAGTTTCTGACTTCACGATCCCTTTAATGACTTACATTCTGACCTTTCAGATGGACCCATACACCTCATATCGCCACGAGCTCGGCCCGTACCCCTTCGGTCTCGACCCAATCTGGAATATTGCCGAGAACAAGCTGAACTTTATGAACTCGATGAAGATGAAGCTGTCGGTGATCATTGGCATCTGCCAGATGACGTTCGGCGTCGTTCTGTCCTACCAGAACTACAAGTACGTTGAGATACACTAGTTTTTGCCTTCCGAGTCCGTTGAAAATTGCTGCCGACCTGCTTGAAAGCGTCGCGTGTCTGTACAGCTACCCAAAACCGTTTAAAAAGCGTCCCTTAAATATCATCCACATTCCAGGGCCCGCAACTCGAAAATCGAGATCTTCACGGTGTTCATCCCCCAGATGTTGTTCATGGGCTGCATCTTCATCTACCTGTGCCTGCAGATCATCATCAAATGGCTCTTCTTCTGGGTCGAGCCGGCCACGATTTTCGGACAAAGATACCCGGGCTCCAACTGCGCCCCATCACTTTTGGTATGATTTCCGGAAGACTACGATGAGCTTCGGTTTTTTCTAGATTGGCCTCATCAACATGTTCATGTTCAAGGAGCGCAACGTTGGATTTATTAATGGAACGGCGGTGGGTGTTGAGGGTTTAAAGGGGTTGATAAGGTACTAATATAAAAAAATAGTTTTATCTATAAAAAAATAATACCGGAGGATATCTCAAGGGGGGAAGGGTATTAGGCTACGTATGATACGTCATTAGGTGCGTAATGAAGCCGAGATGACTGCACACATATCAGATTTTGCAAATTATGCTATTTTCGACATTAAAAATCAATTTTTGTTAAAAAATCGGGCAGCCATTTTGTTAGGAATTAATTAGCATAAACCGGAAGTGGCGGCAGGCTATATAACGGAGGGAAGGGTGCATTTTTCATTATTTCTCATCGAAATTCGGCCGAATTATGCAATGTGCAGGATATCATGGGCTCAGACGGGGCCCAGGGTTGAAAAGTCGCGAAGCGGCTTTTCAACCCTGGTAAGGTACTAATTTGTGAGCGGGGGGGGAGAATTTGCATACTGCCCTCTATCAAATATATAAACAGTTTTTAAAACACTTTAAATTCATAACCATGCCTTGTCTACCCTCTTAAAGGGACTGGCAACCCAAAAAAGCTGCAGTTTTCAGAAGTTCGGGAAAAGTGGACGTTAGCATCGTTTTCAGGTAGATGCTGAACACCCGCATGGTGTCTCCTATGATGCTTGCTATCTGGGACAATGGTACCCAGGCCAGGTGACAAAATTTTGACTTTACAAACTCTTTAATCACAATGATGAGATGAGATTTTTTGATGCAAATTTCGACATTGTGAATTTCGAAAATTTTTTTTTACGTTTTTGCTGCCATTCCGCAACGATCCAAATTTCAGAGCTTCATCGAGGCGATCCTCGTCCTGATCGCGGTGGCCTGCATCCCGGTGATGCTCTTCGGCAAGCCGATCCACTTCATCATGGAGCGTAAGAAGGCTAGACGGGAGGCCGGCCAGCGCATCGTTAGTTCTTTTCGGGTTTAAAGGGACCGGTAACCCAAGGGAATTGCAATAATTTGCCTTATTATTTTACCCTAGCGTTTTGACGACTGCCCTTAACGTTAAAGGGACTGTGAAGGCAATAATACACAGCGACCGGGCCCAAAATGGCAAAAATGTCTTGGGAGTTCGTCCTTTGCGGTGAAGCGGGATATATTTTGGGTATTTGGCTAAGCCAGTTCATAATTTTTTTAAAATTTTTAATACCTTAATATTCACTACCGTAACAATAAAATACCGTACCCTAGAGTTTTCGGATCTAAAATCGTGAAAAGTTCTTGCTCCTCTGCCTTCACGGCGCCTTTAAAAGCCCCATCTTCACTCAGGTGGTCTTACGGTAGCTTACGGTAGTGCTAACCCGAAAAAATCTTTGCATTCGGACTTCACAGTACCTTTAAAACAACTGCACCCTGCCTTACTGTAGCTTAATCCAAAAGCGTAGGTTTTGCCTTCATAGTCCCTTTAAAACATCCCATCCCAGTGCTTAAAATTGGCCAGGGGCCACTCAGAACTGGGCCTCCCAATTTCCCTCCTAGAGCTCATGTTTTTCCGCAGAGCTCCGGGCACTAATTGTGCTCTCCACCCGCAGTTGGGTTCCGAATCGGAAATTGGCCTTCACTCTCCATAGCCGTGTGTGGGCCCCTTTTTGGGCCCTTTTGGCCCCCAGGGCCCCCGGGAAACCGAGCTAATTTCCACCCCACCCCCACCCACCCCCAATTCCAGGAAGTTGCCCGGCACGGTGCCCCGGATACGGTAGCTTTTTGCTCGTTGGCCCGTGTGCGATTTGGGCCCCGGGGGTTACGGTAGCTGACAGGTTGTGAGGCTAGAACGTGCCTCGACTACCGTAACCCGTTGAGGTCCACCAAACTGTTGCGTAGCCTCTCCTCTAAAATGACTACTATCGCTTCTCTGTGGCGTGCCGGGAGTGCAAATGTGTGGTGACGGACTAAAAAGTGAAAACTAAAAAAGTTTCTGCATGCAGATTTTTAAATTTAGAATTTATGAATATTCTGGTACGTTGGCCTTAAAACAATGCAATTCGAGCTTTTATCCAAAAAGCAAAAACTTTGCATCGCCCGGGGTCGAACCCTGGTTGTGCACCTGGGAAGCAAACACACTACCAACCGGCCAACCAATTTTCGATTTTTCATAAAATTTCTTTAAAAAAATCAATAAATCGCATGTCGAATTTTTGATAGTCATTTATCTTTCCCTTTGTCTTCTTTTTCTTCTTCTTCTTCTTCGTCGTACTTAGAAATTAGCGAAACGTCGTCCGTCAGTTGCATGGCTTTAAATGTCAAAAATCGGGAATTTAAATTGCTGAATTGCTGAATTTAGAGCGTACACGCGAATGTGCTGAGCGGTGAGGATGGGGAGATTGCCATCAATGGTATCGAGCAGAAGGGAGAGCACGTCGGAAGTGCGGGAGGAGCCGAACATCACGATGAGGTACGGTTCTCGCCGCATACTACGTTGCGGGGCTGCGTTGCGTGTTGCATAGAGTAGCTTCTAGCTTCTACTCGCGTTGCGCGTTGCGTTACGTATTCTATTTCGTATTCGCTCTCTCTAACGTTTCTCCTAGCGTTACGTACTGGGCTGCGTTCTATCTCATTTGAGGAATTCGGTGACGTCATGGTCCATCAAGCCATCCACACAATCGAGTACGTCCTTGGATGCGTCTCCCATACAGCTTCATACCTCCGTCTCTGGGCCCTCTCCCTAGCTCATGCCCGTAAGTTTGCGCATAGCCTTTTGCACTTGAGTTTCGATCGCTTACGTTATAATATTCTTGCAGAGCTGTCCGAGGTGTTGTGGCACATGGTGCTCACCATGTCGTTTGAATTCGAATTCCCATGGGCCGTCCGTTGTATCGTGCTGTACGTCATCTTCTTCATCTTTGCCGGACTGACCTTCTCGATCTTGGTGTTGATGGAGGGATTGTCGGCTTTCCTCCATGCTCTGCGTCTCCACTGGTACGTTTGAGAGAGAAGGGAGGGAGAGAGAGAAAGAGAGAGAGAGTGAGAGCGAGAGAGAAGCGAGAGAGTGAGAGAGGCTATAAAGGATCTCTGCTACCCTGCCGCGCATCCAAGACGGTCGGCTAGCAGAGATTTATGGAGGATTGGAAAAAACCGTGTTAGCAGACATTCTTTGAGGAATTGAGAGAGGGCAGGCTAGCAGAGATTCTTTGAGGAATTGAGAGAGGGCAGGCTAGCAGAGATTCTTTGAGGAATTGAGAGAGGGCAGGCTAGCAGAGATTCTTTGAGGAATTGAGAGAGGGCAGGCTAGCAGAGATTCTTTGAGGAATTGAGAGAGGGCAGGCTAGCAGAGATTCTTTGAGGAATTGAGAGAGGGCAGGCTAGCAGAGATTCTTTGAGGAATTGAGAGAGGGCAGGCTAGCAGAGATTCTTTGAGGAATTGAGACAGGGAAGCTAGCAGAGATTCTTTAGAAAGCTTCTTCCAAAAACAAGTTTTTTTTCTGGAACTTTAAGCTAGCTTAACTCCCTATTTTCAGGGTGGAGTTCCAGTCGAAGTTCTACGCGGGTCTCGGCTATCCCTTCCAGCCCTATTCATTCAAGAGTGCCCTCACACTCGCCGAATCGACCTAGACGCCTGGAAGCTCGGATTTAATAACTATCTAGGAGGCCCGAACACTTAAAATCACATTTAAATAATTTTCTATTGTCATATTGTAGCCTATAAAAGCGACCCGGTTCCGTTACTGTACCCTTGCCAATTTTGACACATTTTCCAGGTCGGTTGTGATTGCCCAGTTTTGTGCAACGACAAGAGTAAAGAGATTTGCAGGATTTTCTTGCACAATTGCAGAAATTCTTTGAGGAATCGGGAGAGGGCAGGCTAGCAGAAATTCTTTGAGGAATCGGGAGAGGGCAGGCTAGCAGAAATTCTTTGAGGAATCGGGAGAGGGCAGGCTAGCAGAAATTCTTTGAGGAACTACGTTTCAAGCCGTAAAATTAGCCCAGCACTTGTTGGTCTTCACTCCAGTCCCCTTCACCTGTCACTGGGAGTAGCATCGTGTAGTCTCACCCCCAGGGGTTGGCGCGATTAATTGGAAAAAGGGAGGGCCCACTGTGGCCTGGGAGCATGAGACAGAGAGAGAGAGAGAGAGAGAGCTATAGAGAGAGAGGGAGAGAGAGAGAGCGAGCCAGAGAGTTCGGCCTCTTGCACCTCTGATTACAGCGATGGCCAGCAGTGAGCTGGCCAGCCGGGCCGGGGAGGGCCAAGGGCCCAACCGGCCCTCCTGTCCCCTTTCTGCAGGCCCCCGATCCGACCGGCACCAACACCCTCCCGGATTCTCGTCCTCCCCAGCTCTTGCTCCTCCTCCTCTGCTCGGTCCAAAATCCATCCATCGATCTTGTAGCCACACGTTGTACGGGGGAGTGGCACCTCCCTAAAAAAGCGTTACGAAAGCGAATTTTGACCACTAGGGCCCTGGGCCAGAGAACAGTTTCTATGTGATCTTCGCAGCTTGTTAATTTGGAGCTCGGTTTTGCTAGCTGTCTTAGTTTTCCTTCCGGTTCGGACTTACCTTTCAGTACGAACTTCCAGACTGTAGAACCAGCAGCACCAGCTTTTAGGCAGCCTTAAAGGGGAGCGCCAGTTGCATTTTTTAGCTTTCGGTTTGATAACCGTCTCCCTCACTATCTCTTTTTCTTTCTCTCTCTCTCTCTCTCTCTCTCTCTCTCTCTCTCTCTCTCTCTCTCTCTCTCTCTCTCTCTCTCTCTCTCTCTCTCCTCCCCTCTCCCTGTCTCTCTCTGTCCTTCTCTCCCTCTCTCGCTTTCGATCCCTCGCTCTCTTTCTCTATCTCGCTCTCGCTCTCTGTCGCTATCTCCCTTAGCTTTTTTCGTTTTAATAATTCCTCAAGAACCGTTGCATGCTGGCCCCAAAAGTTCCACCAAATCTCGGAGTTTTTTCGAAATTTTCACACAACAAAAAAACCAAAAAAATAAAAGTGTTCTTTTTCTGTCCCTTAGGCGTTCGTAGACTTTTTTCCTGCCCCTATCGTGCTCCCGGGCATCAAAAAGAGTATGTGTCTCTGTGGGGTGGGTGTAGTGCAGTGTGGGCCACTCAATCGATCCCCCCCCCCCTGCTAGGGGCCCAGTAAAAAAGAGGCTGTGGCCCGGGGGCCCAGCAGGGCCTTCAGAAGCCCCGACCATCGGCTGTGTCTGTTCGTCCCTCGATTTATATCCGCCCGTTTGTCCGTGTTCCCGTCTACACATTTTTGACGGGTTTCACGGTCCTCAGTTCTTCATTGGAACCCCTCCATTTCACTCCAATAGACGGCAAGACTACACGGGAATACAATGGACGGGGGATGGTGGCGATGGGAGGATTTTGATGACGGCCAATTTGTTTGGTGTCGTGGGGCTTGGAATGGCTATTGCGGGTCTTTTTCAGCACTGACTACGAAGCTTTTCTATAGACGCATTGGTTTATCGGTGGTGTTTTTTGCAATCAATTTTCGTCACTTTATCCATTTCTCTCTCTCTCTCTCTCTCTCTCTCTCTCTCTCTCTTTATCTGTCTCTCTCTGTCTCTCTCTCTCTCTTTGTCTCTCGCTCTCGCTCTCTCTCCCGCTCTTTCTCTTGCTCTCTATAGCTTTAACTCTCACCCTCTCTCTCTCACTCTCTCTCTCTCCTTTTCTCTCTCTCTCTCGCTCCCCTTCTCTCGCTCCGAAACGGCGTTTTTAAAGGGATAGAGCCGGTTCGCTTACTTTGGTTGATGGAGCTAGGCTTAACAAATCCCCGCAAAATCCTCCTATATCAAATTTGACGCTTTTCCGTTCTGCTCCCACTTACCCAGTGTTTCAAGTGATACCGTAACCACCCTTCAACATGTTCCCTTCAACACAGCGTCGCCGAGCGGAGTGTCTCGTCGTCGTGTGCCGCTAACCGAATTACCGACGGCCCGGCGCGGGCCCCTCGACATGAGGGAGGGGAACAAGAAGAAGAAGAATTCGGTGGCCGTGTAATTGGCTCGACCAGACGAGGGGAGGAGGGATGGGGAGAACAAGAACATATTGCCTCAAAACTCGGATGAAGTCTACTTATTTTTGGACATTTTTGGGATATTTTAGCTTTTTCCGAGACTTGATTTGAGCCGTCTGTCGCTCTCTTTCATTCTCTCTCCTCTCTCTCTCTCTCTCTCTCTCTCTCTCTCTTTCTCTCTCTCTCTCGCATCTATCCCCATCTTTGCTAGGTATCCGCGCCTATTCTAAAATTTCCGCAAGAATCTCTGCTAGCCTGCGATTTATAGGTGGCAAAGTTCCTCAACAAGCTCTGCTGGTTTGCCTATTTCGATCAAAGCCCATCTACAAATCGTTTTTCCAAATTATATTCCGGAAAATTCGCAAAGAATCTCTGCCAGCCTGCCCTTTTTCCGTTCTCTGACCAACGGCGAATGGATAGTCGCGTATAAATCTCCGCATTTTTTTGGGCTCATGCCCCAAGGGCCCAGTCAAGGCAAGGCAAGGCAACATGGGCTCCCCTAGCACCTGTGGGCCCTTGGCTCTATTCTGGCCCAGTTCCGGGTCCCATCTTTTGGGGCGATAAGCCGAAAACGGGCTCGGGTTTCCGCTTTTCTCACCTTTTTAGCTACGCTATTTTTTTTATTTAAGCCATGCTTTGCCGATCCCTTTAAAAAGGACTGGAATGTAAGTTGTTGCCTATAGAAAAATGAGAAAAACGTTTTCTGCCATGTTTTATCTGCCTTCTTTTTCGGTTGGCTCGGCACTTTCCCAGCCTTTTTTTGCATTCCCATTTTGAGCGGGAGAGAGAGAGGGAGAGAGAGAGAGAGATGTTTTGTCTTTTCCGTGTCTTTCCCTGTCACACCGCCCCCCTACAGACATACAAACACCTTGTCTTCTGGAGGCTCAGCACCCTCCAGCCCGTGTTCGTGATAAGCCACCAAATGCCATGTCTCCACCCCTTCGAGAATCGATTTTAAAGGGGTCGGCAAGGCAGGATTTTTGAACCTTTTCGAAAATGATGGATCGCTCGTACTCACCTCTAAGACCCCAAATCTCCGATTTTCGCTATTTTTGGGATTTTTTCGATACGATAGAGCATCAAAAATATACCGGAAGCTTTTACTTACAGCTTAAAATGGTCTAATGTAAATTAATTATATCAAAAAGACGCAAAAACTGAAAAACCCGTTAAATACTAACCTAGTTCTATAATTTTTGTAATATGCAATTTTAACCAAAAATCCTGGCGGCTGGAAGCCTAAGCCCAAGCCTATATCCATTCATCCTCCAAAAATGCTCGCGATTTTCCGTCTGGGACCCTAAGTAAATCTTTTGCCCCTTTTGCCCCCACCACCGTAACTCTTCCAGATTCCCCCTCTGGTTGGGCCCACATCACTGCCGCCCCAGGTGTATGGCGGATATTCCGAGACGATCCTCCTTCCACCCTCCACCCTAATCCCTCCTCCTTGGATAATCCCCCCATTGGCCCCCGAGTGTGTCTCTATGTCTACCCCCCTACCCATCCAAAGTCATAATATAGAGAAGTGAGGGGGGGGGGAAGGGCCCGGATATGGGGTCCTAATCCGGCCGGTGTGGGCCCCCCTTTGGCCCTCACCCGGCTGTCCTCGTTTCCGGCAATTACCCTACCGTAATTTCGGCGAAAATCCGATTTCCCTCCCCGGTGAGCTCCGGGTGGCTACAAAAGCCACCCTGGGGCTAAAGCCGATTAACCGGTCTTGTGACTACTCTCGCTGCTTCTTGGCTCCCTGCCAATTCGAATGGTTTTGTAGCGGGGGTATAAGGCGCATTCTCGATAGCTTCTCGATCTTTCGTTCTCTCTCTCTCTCTCTCACTCTCTCTCTCTCTCTCTCTCTCTCTCTCTCTCTCTCTGTTTCCTGCCCGAGCTGCAAATTGCCGAACGCAACCGATTACGCAGTGAAAATCGGATACCAAAATTTTTGTTTGGCCATTGTGATTTTCCGGTCCCTTTAAAACGGTCCCCTTCCCTAAAGATCCTTGCGGGCTTGCCTTCTGCCCGTTCGGTGCTCTCCTGAAGGATCGCCCCTAGATTGCCCCCGTTCCAATCAATTTGGCAGAACGGCCATCACTTAAATTTGCAAAATTTTGAGCGTGTTTCGTGCTTGTTTCCATCCCCTTATCCCCAATTCTGACGCTCCCCGCCTTTCTGAGGGCCATTTTGTGACGTAGCGGGGCCCATCACGGAAATTAGCCCCTACCCGACATCGGAATTCGGGTTCTTTTTTGAGCCGCGCCTCACAGGAGGCTTTTCGGGCCCAAAGGGGCACGAGAAGCCGCATAATACATTTATCGCTAAACCCCGGGACACGGCTTCTCCCTGGCCCTGGGTCTCACACACCGGCGGGCCCTGGCAGTGGGGCAATGGGGGCCCAGGGCCCAGCCCTCGGGCCCCAGTGACGTAGCTGAAGGAGGATTGTTTGGATGTATTTACTCATTTTTGAGTGTGAATTATGCCTCAAAAGAAACTCTGCCAGCCTGCCCTCTCCGAATTACTCAAGGAATCTCTGCCAGCCTGCCCTCTCCGAACTACTCAAAGAATCTCTGCCAGCCTGCCCTCTCCCAATTCCTCAAAGAATCT